AAACCCAAAACCCAAACCCAAACCCAAACCCAAACCCAAACCCAAACCCAAACCCAAACCCAAACCCAAACCCAAACCCAAACCCAAACCCAAACCCAAACCCAAACCCAAACCCAAACCCAAACCCAAACCCAAACCCAAACCCAAACCCAAACCCAAACCCAAACCCAAACCCAAACCCAAACCCAAACCCAAACCCAAACCCAAACCCAAACCCAAACCCAAACCAAACCCAAACCCAAACCCAAACCCAAACCCAAACCCAAACCCAAACCCAAACCCAAACCCAAACCCAAACCCAAACCCAAACCCAAACCCAAACCCAAACCCAAACCCAAACCCAAACCCAAAACCCAAACCCAAAAAAACCCAAAGAGTAAACCCAAAGAGTAAACCCAAAGAGTAAACCCAAAGAGTAAACCCAAAGAGTAAACCCAAAGAGTAAACCCAAAGAGTAAACCCAAAGAGTAGAATTTTTATCAAACCCATGTAAAGAGACTAAGACCACAATTTTTCCAAACACTCCAAAGTCAACATTTATCAATTATCTCAACAAGTATCAATACACATTCAATAATACTTCATAGGTATGTTGTCATATACATGATAAACATGTTATATCAATTTCACAAAGAGTTGTGAACATCATCACAACATATAAAGAGAATGTCACAAATTTTTCAACGTTTCATATCACACCATGCACACAACTATACACAACACTTCAAAATAAAAGTACTCACACTATGACATGAGTACTTCATGATCATGAAAGAATATTTAACATTCAACACAAACATCTCATCCACCATGACATCAAATTTTTTTCAAATGATTAAAGCATTACTCGACAAATACAATTGATGGATCAACGCAATCACTATCACGTGATCACATCATCATGACAAGCATGTTTATCAACTTGAATGAACATTCAAACAACCATGTTTCATCTCATCAATCTTCATGAACAACTTTGAACACTCATTCATTTGGTGATAGCAACGATCGTGGTAGACGTATCCAATACGGTTGAAGGACACATCTACAATCACTACAAATGATTTCAATCATGATTCCGTCATCACAACACCAAACAACACTGACCAATCACAACAACATTTTTTTGGATAAATTCTAAATGCGGAAGTATAGGGTCAGTAAAACCAGACAAAATTCAAAATCAAGATGACATGAACATTGACGCATATCAACCACATACACCATACATTTCACATGCACTGATCATGAAAATCAATGAATTAATTCTTTATTTTCAACGTAGCCATCATGAATCAACACAGAATCTCCATGAAAAATTGTCAAATGTGACATGAGTGAATCCTTCCATCACACAGTGAATCACAACACTCCACAACATCAATAATAACACAATAGAACAAGATCAACACATGAATGATTGCTACAACTCAAGGAAAGAACCATGTCTCACATTGTAATCCACTTCATGACGAAATCTTCTAAGGTGCTCAACAACAATACATTCTAGACATGAACAAATACAAGAATTAATGTCAATGTGTTGTACACCATCTCATCTACCATAAAAAACTATCTGCATCACTCTCCTGACAACTCTTCAAAAATTAATTAATAATCATTTTCAACACATCTCATGTACCTCATAACAAAATCAACTCATATAGATAAATTCCACAAATTTCAAAATAACAATATCACGCTATATACTATCATATAAAGTCACTGTGATATTCTTAAAATTATTCAGTATCGTAATATCACGTGAAAAAGAAAAATGAATTGAAAAAGTGAGACACCACTTCCATAAATTGATGATTCAGTGAGTACAACCAACATGGATGAATCACACTCATCATGACGAACATGTTGATGTGTATTGTTCATGACACAATCGCTCTTGGAAGGATATGGTATCACACCTCTACAACATTCATCATGATACTCCACCAATAATGATCATATCCATCATCAATAGTCATAGAAATACTCTCCACAATGTATTATACAACATTACAATCATCGATTTATCGAAAAACTGAATCAATCAATTGTTATAAAATGATCATTCAATCATACAACAATACATACCAACAACAATTCATCATGATCACATTCAACCACTCACAATCACATGAAACACTTCTACAATGATGATCATAACGTGTCATGATGATAGAATGAATGACATCAACAAGAGAGGAGAACTGTACCCTGCCTCAAGAAATGATGTTTTCCGAGAAAAGCGAAGTGCTCCCATTCAATGAAACAATCATGTCAATGAATAAAACTGATGATTTGTTGTTTGAATGATCAGAACATCCATCCATATCAATTTCATGTAGTTCTGTAAAGTGCTTGTCTCGATCGTACTTTTCAGTACTACCATAGAGCCACCATCGCACTTCACATCACACAAAGTCATGAAATGACCATCACTTTGAACTGAATCAACGATCAATTCCATGGTTTCTGATCACTGTAACAACATTCCGATCATCAGATTCATTCCATGATCATCACATCCAACAGGAGCAGTTCACTACAATTCTAACCGCTACTATTTGATGATTATCATTTCCATGTGTATTCATACACACAAAATATTCCTCATAAATGTTGATCATGATGTGCACATTTGATGTGATCAATATGAATATGACATGATGATGAATGGAAACATGACCCGATCTTGATGATGATCCTGTCAAAAATGCAGGGAGTTTTGGCTTCATTTTTTTTTAATTTTTTTTTGAAAAATTTTCATGTCATTTTTGACCTCACTGAAACTCCTTCAAACTTCATTTTCTCGAAAACTACCCTAAACCTGATCGAATGCTCTATCATGACCCCCATTATTTTCGAGAGATCTACAAAAAAGGTGTCGCTTAAATTCTATCAAAAATTTGACAGCTGTTACCATTTGTTGAACTACTCAACCAACTTAGCTCACTATCCAATGATGTCGCTAGCACGAATGTACTACTCATCAAAATCTATCGAATGAAATGCTTGGATCAAGCTCAACATCAAAGATGACGAAAACCCCGACCATGCACGAGAGGTCTACTTTAAGCAAGTACAGTTCAATAATTACCCATAATTAATGGATGAAAGTCATATCAACACGTAGATATACCTCCATCCCCGACGATTTCATAAAAATTAAAAATCCAATGATTAAGCATGTCGAAAAATTAAGATTACAAGTCAAGCTGGGCACCTATCCAAACCCATATGGTATCAAACCTCTACAACATTCATCATGATACTCCACCAATAATGATCATATCCATCATCAATAGTCATAGAAATACTCTCCACAATGTATTATACAACATTTCAATCATCGGTTTATCGAAAAACTTAATCAATCAATTGTTATAAAATGATCATTCAATCATACAACAATACATACCAACAACAATTCATCATGATCACTTTCAACCATTCATAATCACATGAAACACTTCTACAATGATGATCATAACGTGTCATGATGATAGAATGAATGACATGAGCAAGAGAGGAGAGTTGTACCCTTCCTCAAGAAATGATGTTTTCCGAGAAAAGCGAAGTGCTCCCATTCAATGAAACAATCATGTCAATGAATAAAACTGATGATTTGTTGTTTGAATGATCAGAACATCCATCCATATCAATTTCATGAAGTTCTGTGAAGTACTTGTCTCGATCGTACTTTTCACCTCTACCATAGAGCCACCATCACACTTCACATCACACAAAGTCATGAAATGACCATCACTTTGAACTGAATCAACGATCAATTCTATGGTTTCTGATCACTGTAACGACATTCCGATCATCAGATTCATTCCATGATCATCACATCCAACGGGAGCAGTTCACTACAATTCCAACCAGTACTATTTGATGATTATCATTTCCATGTGTATTCATACACACAAAATATTCCTCATAAATGTTGATCATGATGTTCACATTTGATGTGATCAATATAAATATGACATGATGATGAATGGAAACATGACCCGATCTTGATGAGGATCACCTCAAAAATGCAGGGAGTTTTGGCTTCATTTTTTTTTAATTTTTTTTTGAAAAATTTTCATGTCATTTTTGAACTCAATTAAACTCCTTCAAACTTGATTTTCTCGAAAACTACCCTAAACCTGATCGAATGCTCTATCATGACCCCCATTATTTTCGTGAGATCTACAAAAAAGGTCTCGCTTAAATTCTATCAAAAATTTGACACCTGTCACCATTTGTTGAACTACTCAACCAACTTAGCTCACTATTCATTGATGTCGCTAGCACGATTGTACTACTCTTCAAAATCAATCGAATGATGTGCTTGGATCAAGCTCAACATCAAAGATGACGAAAAACCCGACCATGCACGAAAGGTCTACTTTAAGCGAGTACAGTTCAATAATTACCCATAATTAATGGATGAAAGTCATATCAACACATAGATATACCTCCATCCCCGACGATTTCATAAAAATTAAAAATCCAATGATTAAGCATGTCGAAAAATTAAGATTCAAAGTCGAGCTGGGCACCTATCCAAACCCAATCAAAGATCATCATGAAAAAAGCCTCTGGAGAGAAACGTGCACTTCCAAACCCAAAGGAATCCCAACCCTGTTAAATAAATTCTGTCGTTTCATAATTTACTTATAAGTAACTTTATACAAGTACCAACAGCACAAACAATATCAGGGTCTGGGAAGCAAGCTCTCTCCAAATTTTCCAGCTTGTCTTTACTGACAATATCTTCAATAACTACATGGTATCACGCCATGTTTATCTAGCACATACATTTTTCTGTTAATGCTATCCATAGATATAGATAATACTTGCTGTAACATTGGTTGTGTTAGAACAGAGTCTATCAATGTTCCATCCCTTTTGTACCTGTCAATTTCGCCATCTAAACTACCTAAAATTATATCGTTTGTGGAGGAGTCAAATGCGAGGGTTGAACCAGCATCATTGACTTTAAATTGAGAAAGCAATATGCCCTGTTTTGAGATAGTCATTATTGTGTCATATTCTAGGAGAATAATATTTCCATCGTTATCCAATTTCATGGAATAAGGAAATCGAATCGCAAAATTATCAGTAGTGATCACATTCATCAACATTTGTCCATTCATGATGTCGAATACAGCAATACTATCCATATATTGCGCACATACAAACACCATAGTATTATCGGTAACCATACACGCATTATGGCCAATCTTAGTGGAACTAGGTAACTTGGTTTCCCATTGTACTTGTGTAGCATATAGAGTATAATTACAGCCTAGCAATTCATCTAAATCGTTCGAATCAGAGCTAGAACTACTGGAATCGCTTGAATCGCTTGCATCACTTAAATCACTTGAATCAGAGCCAGAACTACTTGAATAATTGGACGTATCCTGTATTGTTCCTACTGGAATTTCTGTTAAAATTATTTTGAAAACACAGTCTGGAGAGGCCACAACTAGGGTACTGTCCTGATCACATATTGCAACCTCATATGGTGAATATTTAGTTTTGAATGGCTTCAATGATTTTGTGGTAAGATTGAAGATGAAGATTGTGTGCCAACATGTTAAGGAAATATAGAGAGTGTCTTTGTGATAAGTTATACTACGAGGCTGTTGTAGGCGATTAAAGGATGAAATAATTCTGTTTTGAACTTTGAGTGTACCTCTGATTGAAGGAAAAAGGATAGAGGGAGAAGGATAATCTTCTGTGGTTGTCGGTGTGTCTCCTTTGTTGAGAGTAATTATTGATAAATCACAAAATCCAATCTTTTTCGATGATATTGAATAAACAAAACCAATCACTTGCGTTGCAGTTTCAGAATTTTGTGTGTTGGTGATCATCCAAAGCTTTTTTTCATAAAAAAATTGTTTGTTTGGTTTGACTGTTAAATGAACACCAAAAGAATGTTCTTCTTCACCATCACTGAATAATAAACATTCATCTTCAATTTCAGAATTAGCAATTCCATTCAAAAATAATTCATATTTTTCAGAATCAATCAATAGGAACCCATTTGGCAATAACAAATCATTACTATCCAGTGAACCATTTGTTGTTTTTTTCTTTTTTAAAACATGTCTGATATTGTTGTTTTGCTTGCTGTCTTTGTCCCAGTCTTGTCTCTTGATTGCAGCAATATTATATTGTCTCGAATTATGATTAAAACATGATTCAATCAATTCATTTCCATTTACATCTGAATGATGAATAATAAAAGCTTTTGTATTGCTGTCCGAAATGGTTTCTTCGACAATCCATACACCTTGTTGTGCAGAGAGAAAACAATTTTTGGTGTTGCCATTTGTAGTACAATCATCATACACAACCGATTCCATGATGGAATGTATACTTCCCCACACGAGCTTTCCAGAGCACCAAAATTTGACTGGAAAATTGTTGATGGAAGAACATGTTGGTGTGTCGGTTGTGGATTCGTGCTGGTGTTTTCGTTTTTGTGAGAGCATTTTTGTCGGCTGGTGCCGTTTTTTTTTTTTTGAGATCGCAAAATCACACAAAAGGTTCTCGCCTTAGATAGTGGCGAAGGTTTCTTCAAAAATTAGCATTACCCTCTCCTTCTATCTCAATAAAAAAGAGTATATTTATATAGAAATCTAGCAAAACCTTCGCCCAATAGCCGACTCACTCTATATGTACAAAGAGTTATTGCTGAAGTATCCCAAGACAAATTCAAATGCACTCAAGACTTTAGAGGAGTTCTGTAAACACATTTGCCATCAAAATACGCCACTGGACTAACCAATTTAGAGTCTTTTCAAATTAAATCAAACGTTCACAAAAGCATCATCAAAGAAATTGCAAAATGCAACAACTCTATTTGGAATAACAGAAATGTATGGCTTCACAATCACTACACATGGAACCAACAACTATCAAGGTATACAAACATTATCTAATGCTGCCAAACGGTAGGAGTTTCACTGCAAGCACGTTGTCAAGACAACTCGGTTGTAATAAACTTTCTTAAAAAAAATGCTGAACACTGCTGGCACTGTGGGTTTCAATCCAGATGATATCAAAAATAGGCTGGTTGATTTTTTTAAAGAAAAGCACACTCGCACGCTCCTAGAGATTGTTCTTGCGTTTGATGGGTATAGCTATAAACATCAAATCGAACCAATTCTCAGAGAGATTGCGGATTTCAACCATACTACACAAACATGGACATTTACACCACTCACACTACAGAGTAGTCCGTTATCAACAAGTTCGTCATCATCGAATACTCTCAAACATTCACTCGTTTCTGACCAACCAGAAGGTTCAAACATCAAGAAACTACGAAACAATCCAGAGAGCGATGATGAAGAAGAGCTGGATGATTCTGATGACGAAGAAAACAATGATGACTATAAGAATGGTGTTGATGAAGAGCAAGAAGAAACTGATGAAAACGACAACAGTGATGATGAAAATGATGAAGAGGTGCCACCCGATGAAGTAGAAGAAATTGATGAAGACAACAACATTGCAATGATGAATTATGTTATTTCAAATCCTTCCTATCAATCTTGCAAGCATCATCAACCCTGTTATGATACAAATGATGATAATGATGGACAATTGAAGACATGATTTTGTGACATTCAAATTATAACCAAGCAGTACTACTCATCCCAACAAAATCTTCTCCGTCGCAATTCAGTATCACAACAACACATTTTCATGAAACGCATTATTTGTCCGCTTCCCAAAATTATTCCCTTGAGAACTGATTTTTCTCACAAAAGTACAATAGCCGCTGCACGCTCCCATATAGGTAGTCTCGCCATTGATATCCATAACCAGCTAGTGTTTATGACAGATTGTATAACTTTCCGATTAATCATTTTTGATTTACAGAAAAAAGAAATCAAAGCTTGTGTGAGCTCCCCAACGAGAAAATTCAACTGCATACTTAAGATTTGTGAAAATGACAATTCAATTTATGACCTCGGGGATGTAAAGTTAACTAAACACAAATACAACGTTACCAAAATATTAGCAGGATGTAATGAAAATATATTACAACATATTTGGACATTCGACAGTAACACTGCTACTGATCGTCCGATGAGAGATTTAACCATTGATATCGATGACAATCAAGTGAGTCATTGCGGAAGTGGCGTCATTTTTGTTGCTTGTATCGACATCATTTTAGTGCTGAATGGTTTTGATGGGAATTTATTGAAAATAATTCGTGGCTTTCATTGCTTAGAGCGTGTTGAATTGGATGGAAATAGAAATCTGTTGGTTTGTGAATATTACAAGAACCATACGCTCGTAACCAGAGATGGACATGTAATAATGAAGATTAGAAGAATGACTGACTATTATGTTGAATTTCTTCTCCACGATCGCTCATCCAATAATATGATATTGATTTATACCCAAAAACTCTATCCCGAATTTGATGTAATTCAAATACTTAGCCCAAATGGAAGAGTTGTTTTGGAAAGAAAAATTGAATTTTGTGCTTCGGGTGCTTGTTTAAATATGCAGACTGGTGAGTTACTGTTAATCAATCCTCGTTCGGAGTTGAATTGTGAAGGATCGGATTTTAATTTTATTAGGACAATAGAAATCTTTCAATGATGACCTCTTTGTTTATTATTCAAGAACAATATCATGCTACAATCAAGACCTATTTTTAATTGCATTTTGCTCAAAGTATTACAAGATACCCAATAACAATGAGCAAGCAAATGTTGATCAGCAACAAGACAGATGAAATTAACCACAGCGCTTGATCAATGTATGGACTTGCATTTGGTCAAGTTTGATGAAATTCTGATGTAGACAACCTTGACCAAGGTTTAAGAAGGCACGAGTATAGGGTAATAATTTTATTTCATTAATTTAGAAATTACAAGCGTTGACAGAATTCTTTCCGATGGATTCAACTTCAGCATGCTTGCAACGAGTTCAAGAAATTCTGCAGTATGGATTGAGTTTTGGAATTTTCATCAAAATATATTTTTCCAATATCGTTTCCTCCAATTTCATAATATTGAGGTAATGCATTGGTCGTGTAGCCAGGGACAAGTCAAAATATGAAATTCAAGGAGTTAAAATAATCTCGGCTTAAATTTCAACATGAGGAGATATTTCCAATACCAGACTTTGGAAGTTTTCTTCATCATTGTTACAGAACAACTCCAAAATAATTTCATAAATTGCTGCTGTCTGGTTATGCGAATGACTCAAAACGTTTCGTATGAAAATCAAGAACATACGAAGCTTCTCCTCTGGTGTTTTGTTCTTTCCAGAAAAGGAGTCGATTCTTTCACATCGATCCTGTAAAAAAGGCTTTCTCGTTAATAATTCGATTTTGTAAAACCTTAATCATTGCTTTAGAGAAATTGTTTCCTTTAGCCTGCTCACCTGCTACGATGAAAGGAAGCAAAACCATGTCAATCCATTTCCCTGATTTATATCCCTTCCAGTACTTTATTCTGCCATCAGAGTGTTCGTAATTACAACGCAAATACTGCAACAAGATTATCATTTTCATTCATAGAGAAGTTTAACTTACCCTTGAGAACATCAAGTCTCTGAAAATAAACTTTTGAGAGTTGGAGTCTTTTACGAAAAAGTACTCCCTCTCGCAAGGGTGGTTGTCGAAGAAGTTCTTTTCAAAAATTCCTTGCAGCAAATACTCAATGGCGTTTGGATAAAATGGTTTGCATGACATCTCTATCATAGATCTCAAATAAAGAATTGGTTATGTCTTGAAGTACCACATTTAGGGATTGTCTCTTGATGAACGTTTTCTCATTTGCAAGGGAGTCATAAATCTGGATCAAAAAGCTCCAATGCAACGTTCCGAAATGGTGTTGTATCCTTATCAAATCGATATCATCCAGTTGCACGTTGGGAAACTCTTTTTTCAACCAGTGATGGCACTCTTGAAGTTGGTTCTCACTGCAACATCTAGGAATTGTGTATCTGTTCTATGCGAAAATTCGTCTTTGGTGATCGGCAAGCACCTGGATGGTTTGCCTTTCAGCCATTTTTTTTTTGGTTCGGATAGTCCCAAAAAATGGCCACAATGATGAAACCGCACGACCGAGTGACTACACGACCAACAGCAACAGCACCACCAACTCGAACACAAACATGATCGTTACGATCCGTATTAATGAACATACCTTTCCGATGCCTATGGAAGAAGCTGAACGACTTTTTGGTGAATATCATCAAAATATTCAGGACCGGTATAACTTTGATTTTCCTTGCAACATCAATTATTCAACAGCATACAGCTTGCTTAAAGTGATTCAAGGCTTAAAATCAGAATACGCCTCGGAATTGTATGTAACCAAGGAACTGGAGAGTATTATTGAGAAGATGAAGAAAGATGGCCATGATGTCGCCTCTTTGTTAGTGTTTTTGGACAAGCACTTGCCTGATGTTTGCGATCAATTCGGAATTGTTGATTTTCTTATGGACAAGATACCAGACGTTGTGGGATCAGAGGCTAATCAGGTAATTGAAAATTACATCTTTCAAAATGGTGAATTTATGTTAGGAGAACAAACTCCAAAGAACTGCGTTACGATCATCTATGAACACCAGAAGAAAATATACTCCTACGGAGTTTTGATGACTACAAGCTCTTTGAAGAACGACAAAAAAACTATTTCATTCAAAGATGAAGATTTTGTAAGACCTCCCCCGAAACCACACGAATTGTTTAACATGGCTTCTGAGCTATTGCATACATTTGACTCGTGCAATATATCCCTCATTGAAATTACAAGACCAAGAACTGTCTTTATCTTGGCCTCAGTGTTTAAAAAGATAGGGCCACAAATGGATTTAATTAGAGGAGCGAGAGCTTTTGAAATATTTAAACTAGATATGGGAATACCATGGAAGAATTATGCAACGAAAGTGGATAAAATGGATGTTGATGATGATATCAAAAAATTCTTTAAAAAGTTTGTCGAATTAGCATCAGACAAGAGAAAAAAAGTATGGTTTGAAGAAATGGTCAATCATATATTTCCAAAAGAGCAAGAAAATGATGATGACGATGAGGAGGAAGAGGAGGATAACCAACCGAGCTATTTTTCCATGCCATCTGAAATTGTTAACAAAAAGAGACCATTTCAATCTGACTCGACCCAACAAACCAAGAAACAGAAATAAATTATTTTGGTCATTTTGGATTGGTAAGGATCAATTCAAGTGTTTCATAACCTTAATGATCATCAACTTCGCTGTTGAGAGAAGGTAGTTCGTATGTTAATGGTCGAGATTATGCCTTCCATTAATAAAGTTCAACAAGTGTGGAGAGGGAATAAATGACAATCTTGAGAAATGCAATTCCAAAATTCATCCAAATTCATTTTGTCACATTTACAATGAAATTCCACATCAAAGGTCCATAAATTTTCATTCTCGATCGAAAATGAATGATAAAGTAAAACAAGGCAATTAAAAAACTCCAAAAAGCATTCCAAAATCTTTTCCATCTTCCCACTGATAAAGCATTGTTCCCATTTGATTTCTTCAACGGTGGCCATAACTGTGCACTCAAATTTGGAATGTTTTTTTCCTTGCCTGTTGTCAAAAGATTTTCTTTTTTTTGTCTTCTCCTCATCATTTCCAAACGAAATGAATCCTCATCATCTTCATGACCATTCATCATTGAATTTCTAGAAAAGCTGCCATTCAAAGTTCCTCCCGAATTGGATCTATGTCGAGCGATGGTTGTTGAGTGGTTGGTTAAATGTCCCAACAGGGCTGTTGCATGTAGGACCTTCGAGACTGGATTCCCATCATGAGTAATGGATCATCCTCCTCATTGCAACAACAAGTATGAAAACGATGAAACCTCTCGTTTTTTAGTGTCTTCTTCTTCCCCACTCTCTCCACTCGTCATGATGACAGGAGACACCAATCTATCACCAACAACAACACTCACCACATCAACACTCACCACATCAACACCAACTTCTCCAATGATGAATGGAAATTCGAAGAGGAGAAGAATGGTCTTGTTTGTGAATGGAAGAAGGTTCTGTTTCTTCTGAAGTGCCATGTCAACAGGTGGAGCATCCCCTTGATGATGGTTGTTGTTCTTATTGTTGTCATCATGATGAGGATAGACCATGGGAACAACTTCACCGTAATCACCAACAATCCATGTCGAAGGTGGAAATCTTGTTGTTTCGGGATGATTTTTCATGACATCATTTGGGCTCCTCAATTCGTGGTTGGTGTGATTCGAGTCGGAGTGGAATGTTGATGACGACTTAACTGTGTATTACAAAAACTTTAGCACCCTAATGAGCTCTCCATTTGAAACTATTTGAGGCCATCATTTCCAATCTTGCAGTATAAAATGTTCAAATCTGTAAGATTTTGCATTCCATATTTTGCTCCTTCAGATCCGAACAAGCCATGAGCAATATTCAAATGTTTCACAAACAACAATTTGGAAATATGTTTTACACCATCTAAATCAATACCACATTTGGTTATTAACAGTTTCAGTAATTGGCTCTCATTGATCCATAGTATTTCTAAATTGTAAGAAATTACATGTCCAACAATTCTATCAACAAACACTTGTTCAGATGGAGCAAGTTGTGTTAATCCTCCATTCATTATTAAATTCATTCCTTTGCTACTGAGGTTTCCAATCTCAAGTGTTTTGAGAAATGTCAAATTGTTGCTGATTTTTCACATCTTTCAATGAAAGGTCGACCCCACCTACATTCAATGATGTTAGTGTTGTATTTGGAATGGATGGAATGGATGGTTTGAAATTTGTTGAATATAAATATAATTCAGTTATTTTAGGAGATGTAAAAATTGATGATGATTTGATGATATTTCTCCATGCGGAACAAACAGCAGAAAATGAAATGTTCATTTTGTTTTAAATACGGAATGATATGATGAATGATGATATTAGTATTCGATAAAATGTTGTTGCTGTTGCTTCTGTTGATTTTTGGTCTTTGAAATATTCTTGGAATACGGTTCGAAGAGGCCCATTTTTTTGAAGACCACAGTTCATCCAGTTGCGGTTTTGATATTTGTAATGGTGAGCTGTTACAGTGATTGTGCTCCAATCTTGGAGAATGCAAACAGAAAAAAATACACATGGCACGTACCAAATGTCGTACCGATTATAAAGTGTTGATTGTTAATTTTCGATTGTTAGACCAATATTTGAGTATGTACATTATAATAACTTTCAAAATAAATCATCAGAGAAACACATTGAAAAAATTGATGATGAAACTGGAGAACCTGTGTTCTGTGTGGATGTGAACAAGTTATTGCAAGATTTTTCTCAAGTTTATCAGACCCAATTGTGGTTCCCGATGAAATTTTACACGATGAGAGGCTTTCCCATGTCAGAATTTGCTGCACTTCCCTTGTTTACAGGTTTGTTTGGAGACGACAACGATACAGATTTTAGTGAGTTTGAAGGTGGAATTGAAACCACACTTTACAGTGCTAACATGTTCATGCATGCAGAGGAACAAAGTGAAAAATTATACCGTCCCTATCTATCATGCATTTCTGGAGAGTATCCACATGTGAAGGCATGCACCAATGAATTTTTAACTGTCATTCATCCGATACACATGTTTCGTTATTTTGAATTGGCAGAGTTGGCACCAAACGTCTCCGATCAAGTGTTAATTAAATATTTTAAGGACAAAATTGAAAAGAGAGAAGAAGAGGAATTGATGAATGAGAACAATAGTGAGGAAGAAGATGATGTTTCTAACAAACGAAGAAAACTCGCAATACCGAATCAACAGCCAGAAGATAGAGAAATCAAGAATATGGTTAGAGAGATATTGGAGGAAATTGGACCAATGGACTATTGTGACGCTTTATTGAGGCAATATCATTATCGTCTAAATCGGGTAGATCAAGAATCTAAAATACCAGATTCTTGGTGTAACACTCTCAGTGATGACGAGCACAAAGACGATGAAGAAGATGATGATGAAGAAGACCATAATGACCATCACGATGATGAAACAAGTGACAATCAAGACAATATAAGGCTTACATTAGATTTGAAACCCTTGAGTAATCAATACGACATGTTATATTGCATTATGATGTTTATTGGTGATCCAAAAACCTTGTATAACTTTTCAATAGCATGTCGAACATTTTATGAAATGTTTCAACACAAAAATACACATCATGAGTTGATTAAAAGGTTAGCACGTGATTTGGGAGTGATTGTGTTGTAATCTGGATGATTTCAATGTTCTATCCAATCAACCAAATCGTTCCACTGAAGCAATCCAATCTAATTAAATTTCCTCAATCCAACTGTTTCGTCAATTCTCAGGTCAATTCACATAATTGTTTGTTTCAAGAGCCAGTTTCAATGTTGCTGAAATTTTCACAAATTTCCTTTTATCGACGAGGTTTCTCTTTAAAGGGAATTTGAAATGCTGTCAAGTCACCCAAAAAAATGAAACCATTCACTCGTTCACTCACCTTCATCGCGATCTTGTGCATCTCCTTGTTGTTGGCTTTCGCGTTAGTGCAAGCCATTGACATTAGCTTTAAATCAACCCAACAACAATCATCAGACGCAAATCTCAGTCCCTCCATGGCATTCAAAGAGCAAGTGAAGAATGAAGTTTTGAAAGACAAGGAATTGACAAACAAATTGATCAATTATTCATTAAACAAACTTGCTAAGAAATCTCCATCCTCTCATCATAAGCCAAGTATAGCTTCCTTTTCAATGGTTCAAGTTCGTACCAATTTAGCAGGAAGTGAATTGTGTGAAGCATGTGTGAATTTGTTGGATTTTGCTGTTGCTGATTTGATGGCTGCCATTGACACAGGAGTTGTTGTTTCGTGTGTTGATTTGTGTCAATATGTTCCTCCACTCTTTCCATATGCTTATCAAACTTGTGAACTGCTTTGTACAGGTAAGTCATTCATTGTTGAAAGAATTTATCATCGAGTTCCTCATTATTATTATATACTTTCAAAAACACTTTGGAAATGTGATTGGAACGAATAGTTGTTGGAGTGAATGCATTCATTGCAATTTTGAAGAAAGCCGATCTTGATCCTGTCTATGGATGTCAATTAATGAATGTTTGTCCCATTCATGACTGCACAGCCAAGACTTGCGCTACTTTCACATCTCCAGGTGTTTCTCCACAAGTGAGTGAATGTGGTGGAAAAGTCCTTGCCTATTCCAGATTAAATGTTTTCAATGAATCTGGCCCAGGTCAAGTCATCCTTCAAGTGACAGGTCCTTTCTCTGTTGAACAAATTATTGAGAGATACTATCAAGCCAATGGTTTCATGCCAGGATCTTATGAAATTAAATTTGAGATCAAAACTCAAAATGATGATTCACAAGATTTAATGTGGTTCCCTGGACTTTACAAGGTTGTGATCAATGCATGTGAAGGTGAATGTGGAGCTTCAAGACCTCATTCAAGATTGTTGGCTCAAGTCAGTACCAATTTCACATTAACTACGGCATGTTAAAACATGATATTTGACTCGAACATGTTTAATAAAGAGTTACGTGTCTATTGGTCCTCTGAATGGCAAAAGAAGTGTATCACTCTGTTGCATCATTTAGATTCTCATGTTGCTTCACAAATTCTAAGCAAGTCCAATGTCGAGAGCCATCATGGCAACAAATCCAACCATGAACATTAAGGTTGACAATTTTGCTACAAGTCTACTGGGCACCACAAACATTAATGGAATTAACTCATGAATCACCACATAAACCATGACACCACTCGCAAAGGCAAGGGAATAAGGAAGTATGGCAGCTGACGCAAAAACTAAAAGACATCCAAATAATCCACCCATTGGTTCTGTTATTCCTGAAATTGCGCCTAGAAAGAAGGATTTCGCAACGAGTTTCCACTGGATGCCGTAATTTTTCTTTTTCATAATTTTTCTACACTCATTGCCATAAATAGGAAAAGTCACAGCAACACCTTCTGTAATATTTTGAATAGCAATTCCAAGCGAAAGGCCAATGGCAGATGCCAATGTTGCTCCAGAAGTGCTAGAATTTGATGCAGCTGCAAATGCAACTCCAACAATAATTCCCTCTAATGTTTCAAGTGCAAACAACAATTATTTGGATATTGTTATCCAAGATGTCATTTTAGAAATAGTATGTGACACAGAATTATACATACCAGGTATGTTATGCAATGTCATTGCGACAAATATAATCCAGCTTCTTCTGACACCATGTCGACTGTCTCTCAAATTATTTTGAGACTTGTCATGAAATGTCATTGGATCCTCAATACATGAATTGCAGGTTGCACTATTTTCTCCAATGTTACGAACAGATACTGTATTGTTTTCATCCAAAGAAGTTTCACCTTCATTGATTCCACCTTCCTCCAAGTTGTTATAACTTTCAATGTTTTCAGTGTTATTGACATGTGTCGAATTTTCATTCATTGAAGGTGTTTCTTCTAATTGAATTTGATCTCTGACATTTTCCATCTGAGAACCACTTCGGGTTGATATTTTCCTTTCCACAACATCTTGAACTTTGTGAATGATTGCATCAAATATTAAGATTGCCAAAACTCCTACAAAGAAGCTTGATCCAATGGCGAATAATGAATGAGATTTGGATGCTTCAGTATTCGAGAAGTGGTTTAAAGCTGGAAGTAACAAACTAAAAAAGGAAGCTTTGTGATATTCAATACAATTAATTTTCACATGAGACAATTGTTATTCACACAAAATACAAACCTGCAAGCATGACTCCTCCACCAAATCCAATCGAAAGAGGAATAAATAAGTCGTTAGAAAATGAAGCTGTTTTGTTTTGATTTTGTTGAAATAATCCTATTTTGAAAGACAATTCATAAAATAAATTAACGAATTTAGTGACCCATTTGGTGACAGTGTTCGGATTTTCTTTGTCTTCATTTCTATGAGTCGTGTCTAATTTTGAACAACACACTGTACAAAATATCAAACTTGCTCCTAACGCTGTCGTGAGAGCATTGATGAAAGTAAAAATTAATGTTTGAAACACGGGATGAACTCCGACCAAAAATTGCCATGAGAACGGATCAACAGTTGTATTAGAAGTGTTAGATACAAATACCTTGTCCAGAACGGGTGAGAAGGATGATGGTTCGAACATCATTGTTTCGAGCAAGGGAGAAAATGAAGACATTTTTTTGAAATTATGAAATTGCCTTTTTTAGTCGTCACACAACTCGGTGTTCACAATTAATTCGTTTTTCATATATTAATGCAAATGAGTGGTATTTACAATAAATGCAACATCACTGAGGTGTTCACAATTAATTCGTTTTGAAATAAATAGAAAATGTTTGGTAATTGACAAGCTTTTGCTACAATAAACAACAGTATTGTAGTATCCCATGGAAACGGTTATATCTGATGGATTATGTATCTCTGGGAATAAGCATTTCATATGGAAAGTGTTTTCATTCATATCAGCTAGTATTGAACCTAATTGATGCTTTTCGTTTTTTCCTCTAATTTTAGTGTGAAAAAAGTTGTGAAAATTTACACATGAAATTCCAACAGTCAATACCAACCTCAAAGTCATAGTTCCATCATCTAAAATGGCACACGAGTAACTATCTCCAGCGAATATTCGAACCAATGGTCTTTTATAGTCCATCTTGGTCATTGTCGAATAACGCTCGCAGTACTTGGCAGTAAATTGATGGTTATTAATTCCACACACGTACAACTCTCCGTCAGCAGTCAAAAATGCAGTATTGTCTCCTCCACAACTCACATCAATAATTTGTTGATTTTCAAAGTTCTTTTCAGTAATATTATAAAAGATGGTATTCTGGTTTTCATGGTCAAAATTTCCGTATTGATTAGATGCATTGTCTCCGCCTCCATAAACTGTTCCATTTTGGAGAAGAACGACAAAATGAAAACCACCTGTAACAATCTTCTTGACATTACAATCAAACACGTGAAAATCTTGTTTTGGAGAGAGACGACCATTCGATAATTTTTGATGAATATCTTGTTCATAGACCCAATTTTGTCCCATTAATCTCAATTTACGAGAATTGAGGACAAATAGTGAGAATGAAAAGCAACATGCCACGTGTGTTCTATATTGTGATAATTAGAATTTTCCAAAATTCAACATTTACCAACTCAAATTGCAATTTTTCTGAACCCAAAACTTACATTTCATCACCAACCTCTCGACCATAATCCACCAATTGAGGATATCTCGAGAATGTTTCACCAAGTGAAATTTGATTATAGTCATTGACACCACATCCATACAAGTCATTATTTTCAGAAACAATGAGTGAGTAATGCGAGCCACATTCCATCGTCTTGATTTTGACATGTTCTAACAATTTCACTTGAAATATTTTTCGTTCCGTGAGAGTGTTTTGAGAAGAGTGGTGGTCGTGGTCAAAATTTGAAGATGATTTGGTCTCGGAATGATCATTACTACTCTCATTCCATTGTTCTGGTGTGATCGCTAATTGCTTGTGCTCATTCATGCCACATGAAAATAACGATCCATCATTCAGTAAAATCAAACAATAATCAGCACCACTTGAAACTTTCCGAATATACGAAGGAGGAGGACCATAGGCAGCATGAAGAGGTATGGAATAGTTGGGAACATTTTCAGGAATGGAGAGTCGAATAAAGGAGGAGTTTGGTATGGTTGAAATGAGTTCATCTTTGGTTGCGAGAGAATCATTCATCAACACTATGGTGTCATGGTTACTCCGATACGAACGTCCACATCCTTTGATGTTACTACAGGTAATTCCTTGACCACAAATGTAGAAGGGAATGGAGAATGAGGAGTTAGGCATTGATGTTTTGATGATGGCAAATTCTCAAGATCAAAAAGAGTAGTTCGTGTTGTTATTAACAATAATAATTTTTTTTAGAGTGCTCCAATCTTCAACTTGACAGAACTTGACTCATGATTTTCACACAGTCACTGCTAGTCATTCAAATCATGATTAAAAAGGAATCCCAATCCGATACAACCGTTCCTTGTTGTTGTGTGTTGACTTTTTCTTTTTACAAAAAAAATGTCTTTAAATCCCTTCTCCCTTCAAGATGATTTCAGTTTGCTCTCGGATGGTACATTTGGTGGTGAAACGGAGGATAACACAACAACACCAACAACATCAATGAATCATCATCATTCATTTAATAATTTAAATACACCATTAATGACACCAACATCATCCTCTACAAGCGGAACTAACAACTCTTTCTTGTTTTCCATTCCATTCTCATCATCGGAAGCAATAGTACAACAAGATGCTTCCACTCTCCTCTCTCACAATCCTATCATTCAACATAATATTCTCCAATTTCTTCATCCGATTCAAGCTTTGTTTTTGATGAGAGCGATCAGTACTGCCTGGAACAATACTGTACATCGTTTGCGATCGAATATTTATAATGGCACTGTCGCACTTTCATTACTTACATTTTCCAAATTTCCAGATATGAATCAAGATGATGATGAATATATCCGAAAAAACAACAAACCAGTCTTTCAGGACGTAAAAACTAGAATGAAAATTAATTACCCTTTAACAATGCTAGAGCAATTTATTTCATCATCATCTTCATCATCAGCAATTATTGGACCTAAAACCATAATTTCTCATCTTGAATTCCTTGGCTTGTCAATACCCGAAATGGAATACATTTTAAAGAGACTCACCCTAGTTAGTACTTGTAGTACATTGACATCATCGACTCAACGTGATCCACTGATGAGCCCTTCAGGACCAACCTCACTGACATTGGAAGCAGAATTTTTCCCACCAACTCCTGCACCAATCAAAGGTATGATGCACAACGCCACCACATTCCAAACCATCAAGATTGTTTCCATCACTGTAGGATGGGTCAACGAAAAAGCAGTTCACAATTTCACAATACCCAAACTTCCCACTAAACAAAAGAGTGCAGCTCAAGTATCATTTTTCCCGTCACTCGAAGTAGGAAATAGCATTTCTGATGTCGGATATTCTGAACCATCTTCGAAAGGAAAAGCTGAAGAAGAGGAAGATATGGATGATTTCATAGAGTTCGATAATGACGATCAAGATTATACTGTTGATGAGGAAGAAGAAAACGATGACGACCATGACATTGTGGATGTCGAAAGTAATGAACTTGATGAAGATAGACTTGCTTCCACAAATGTTGAGTATGACTCACAAACACTCTCGATATTGCAGAATATTGAAACTATCCTAATTGTTGATTGTATCAATGAAAATGATTTGATTGATCTTGAAACTTTGGACGAACATTGCAAGTTGGAAAAGTCTTGCTCAATAGATGAAGTTCAATTGGATTTATCAAATGTTAGCATGACTAGGAAACAGCCTAGACGACGATTATTAGATTTTATTTTTGCTGGCAAGACGTTAAAGAAGTTAGTTTTTTTACGAAATCCATTCTTTTACTATACCGAAGACTCGAAACAAGATATGATTAATTCTGAGCTCAAGCCATACATGAACTATATGACAGATTTTAAAAAAGGAGGCTCCTTAATCAAGTATTGCAGAAATATGCTAAGTGAAGTCATCGCATCGCAATATCTAATTGACACAAAATTTTTGAAAGAAAACTGGCAAGTACTTTTGAAACCATTGTTTGAAAATGGATTATTGAATTGGAATGACGAGTTATATGCATCTTCAAGCTGGAGAGCCAATATTATTCAAGTTATTTTAAAGTCTGTAGTTTCGTATCGAATTGAAGAAAGTGCCTACAGCTCTGAGCTCCTACGATTAGAGTTAAAACAAGATTTTAAATCAGCCTATGAAAACTTTTGTGCTGAAGAAGAAGTTGCACTTGCTCTGGACATCCTTGAAACAATGAACGAAACCTATAAGACACTAGATGGAATTCTTCTTCCCTTTGATGCTAACCGTTTTTCCGGTCGTCAATTCTACTCTCCTCTCTCTTATTGCCAAACGATTGACAAATTCTTTAGCAGTATCATCAGTAGCATCAATAGAAACCAAGTCAAGGATACGTTTGTAATTTGTTGGAGTGAACTATTGCAATGTGGAAAGAAAAGAAATCTTATTGAACTTGCTGATGAGAAAGCTGAAACAATGCCAAAAAAGAAGAAGATACAGTTGCAATAAATTTACAAGGAATTATTAGTTACAAATGCCTCAACTCGATGGAAACCCACTATCTACTGGTTGAAGAATCAAATTAAGAGTTCTTCAAATTTGCTCATTTGGACAAGGGAGTGTCTCATTTCAAATTGTAGCATGAATGGCAATATCTACCAACAAATTACCTTTGGAGCAAGACAATACTTTTCGTTTCATTAGTTGGGACGATATTCCATCCTCCACGTCTTGATCCCTATAAAAAACGGTGTGCAACCCACCACAAGCTGCGCTATTCACTAGCATGTAGTTATTTTCCTTTCCAAATTCTATTCGTTGCAACCTGGATTTTTGAGAGATGGGATGATCAAATCCACCTCCTGTTCCAAACATCAATTGTCGATTAAGGGCACTAATAAATATGGAGTGAGAATTTCCAAGAGAAATGTCCGAAATTGCTAATCCAAATACATCAATTTTTGTAAACCTGTAGCGGTGATCTAAATTACCAAATGAAAGTTGACCTTCACTATTCCTTCCAGTAACCCAAACATCTCCTCGTTCTGTTAAAACAGCACTGTGAAATTCACCGCAAGCAATTTTGGAAATTTGTTGTACAGTTTGTTGGTTGCCAATGTCAACCTGGGTAAAACTTGGTACTAAATGCACCGACGTTCCAAGTCCACAAGCTCCATACTTGTTGTCTCCACACGCAAGTAATCGATCTGTGTTCGATTCTCCATTCCGTATGAGCAACAAGGAATGATTTTCTCCATATGCAATCATTTCCACTCGCTCAGTAGGTTGTAATATAGTATCCAAACAAGCCACTCTTGTTAAAGTGTATTGACTATCATTTTGAATGGCACTATTTGAAAATCCAAGTTCCCTAAAATTGTTCTTTCCCGTTGAATACACACTTCCGCTCTCACAGAGGACGCTTGTATGATCATAACCACAGAAAACTTTCAGAATGGTATCGAATTCATTCGTCAAGTTATTTCTCAATGATTTCAACGGCACCGAATTTGGCATGCTCACTTCAAGCCAATTTCTCAATCCAATCTGACCATTCGCATTATCACCCATGGCATGCAATGATTTTCCATCTTTTGAACAAATCATGGTAAAGTTACATCCGCAATGTATGGATCTCATCTCTTGTAAGCATTTTGAGTTTTGAATGGGACTCAGATGAGGTATTTCAGTGTCGTTGAAGGCACTTCCTGGTTGCGCGAGTTGGGAGCAGCAGTTGGTTCCACATCCCATCAAGGCGAATGAGCAGGGTTGTTCAATCGCTTGATTTAAGTCAGATTGATGATGATGACGATGGCTATAACAACATTTCTCTTCAGCAACCATTACAATCGTATGAGCAAAACCACAGGCTACTTTCCGAACGGAATATCCAGGTGCTAATTCTACCTTAGTGGGAATTTCTCGTTTCGTAAAATCTCCTGTACCAAGTTGCCCGAGTTGATTATTACCATGAACGAGAATGGCATGGTTGATGGTGTTATGCATGCTGTTGTTGTAGAATTTTTTTTGTATTTGAAAATCAAACAAAGTCAAGTTCTTGGTTCTTTGACCTCAAGGAACAATGAACTAGATTGGTTGCAAGAGAAGAAAAAAAACATTCGCTGCTTGTTGGACATCTTGGATTCGAGTTGTAAATGAAGTTTTTTTTGAAATAACACAAAAATGCTCGACGATGATTGGAATATGAATCACACTTACTTGTTCCGACATTTACTTCCGAGAAGGAATGAGATTTTGAACTATATTCACGAATGGAGAGCATTGAATAGCAAGAATGATGAAGAAATATCACCACTGACCGAGAGGATGGAAGAAATTTTTAAATTTTGGACAAATTTTGACAACACTTCATCCGATACTTTGAAATATCCATCATTAATTATTGTGCAAGAAATTATGAAATTAATTTTGGAATTTTTAAATGAATTTTCATTCTTGTTTACTTTTGTAAATTCACAAAATGGGGATGCCTATGGCTCGAGCAAAGTACAAGACCACACTGACAGAGAAAGAGACAATCATTTACTTTACTTTTTATGGAAAGATAATTATTCAACAAGAGTTCCCAAAGCATGGAGAGAATATTTAGAGAAATGCTCAGATATTCAATTGATAGAATTGATGAATTTCACGCAACAAGAATATCACCAGCAAGAAGACTTCCAAAACTACACAGCCCAATATTTCTCAGACAATACAATACCATCATCATTTAGACGTTTTGTTCTTGGATGCAAACTATTGAGATTCCACAAAGTCATTCTACCAAGCGCTAAAGAAATTGTGAAATATTTGACAACGGATGAAACAAATCCAAAGCAATGCTTCAATGATTCCGACTCGTCGAGTGTGTTACATTGTCAGTACACCTCCTCGGAATGTCAAAATACAGAGCTCTTGAGACACATGTCACCAAAAAAAATTCATGAAATTGAGAGATTAGCTGAATTTATTAGCACGTTTTCACAACATACATTTTCCTCGAAATTGGATAATGATGACAATGAACAAATACCCACCATTCTAGATATTGGATCAGGAAAAGGATACCTTTCTCACGTACTCTTTGCCAAATATGGACTAAACATCATTGCTGTCGATCATAATGAGCAGCTAGTTCAAAAAATTCAAGAAAAAACAAAAAAATTCGACAAATCAACCAGTCTCCGTTCAAAGCAAAACAAACAGCAGAAAAATCAACTCAAAGCAATTTCTTCTCACTTGGAATGCAACAGAGAGCAATTGTCAAAAATGGTCAATCAAATGTTAGAAACCACTCGCTCGATTTATCAGCACGATGACAGAAATGGTGGAAATAATTGTATTGTTGGTTTGCATACATGTGGAGATTTAACACCCATACTTTGTGACATGTATTTGAATGACACCGTATATACCAAGCAGAACAAGTCATTGATTCATTCTTTGGTGAATGTTGGATGTTGTTATCACAAACTCACTGAAACGTACCATGTACAAAAAGATGCAGGCCAGGTCAACATTCACTCGGACTCTTCACAAGCATTGACTCACTTCCACGGCTTTCCTCTTACATCGTTTGTCAATAATTATATTACATGCAATCTGAATGGATTTCAATTAACACGTTCTGGTCTAATTCTTGGATGTACGGAAAACAATATTTGGAATGTGAGAAATGTTACTAATGGAGACAATCACGAAACATCGAGAAACACATCTTACAAAGTGCAAGAGTACTGGAAAAGAAATGCATTTCGATGTGCCATGGAATATTTCTTACATGAGTATGTGGAAAAGAAAACAATTCCTCCAACAATACGTCGACCAGTAGTTTATAGGTTAGTTTTTTCCAATTCAAGTATTATGTTATTCATAACTCTTGTCTGTGGAATGAAACAATAGTTTTGGAAGTATATCAGATAACAATTTGAAAAGTTCAACTTTTGCAACAGATCACAATGGTCACAATGAAGACACAGATTTTTCCAAATATGCAACAAGTGTGTTAGTGAGACTCTATCAAACCAAAACTCTAGATCCATTGCTTCATGAACAAGAAATCATTGACATGGCCAGTACTCAACATTTTACAGCCTCTTTCAAACAACAATTGAATCATTTCTATTATCAGCAATGCCATGGAAATCATGAAACGTCACAAATTAAGAGTGTAGACATTTTCTGGACACTGCGAAGTATGATAGGGCCAGTCATTGAGTGCTTGATACTATTGGATCGATATTTATTTTTGAGTGGAACATCACGCGGTGGTGTGCAAGCAGATTTAGTTCAGTTGTTCGATGAAGATATTTCTCCACGAGGAATTGCCTTATTTGCCTATAAAAAGTAGTTTTTGTTGATAAGATGAATAATTGTTTTAATTGCAACCCTAAGAAAAAAATGAAGTCTTCATCAACGCTGCAGAAACCTGCAATTTCAAAAGCAAATAAGAAATCAGAGCCGTTGAATCCAACTAAAACACCAAGTGCAGAGATCCGAAAGGATGCAACCTCACCCTCTCATGCAACAATTACTAAAAAACGAAATTTAATGGAGGCTGAAGAACGACGATCTTGCGGCTCCTCCTCTTCAACAAGTCAAAAGAATGTTCAACAGTTGAATCAAAATAACCAATCAAAAACTTCAACACTTCCAAGATCATCCTCCACAACAACAACAACCACACGAAAAACATCAACAACACCCAATATTGACGAAATGGCACGGAGAGCTTTTTTATCGTCGGAACAACAATATTTGAATGAACTATCAAAGAGGAAACAACCATCCACTCCTCCATCAGCAAGCAAATCTGTTCCGAGTGTAGATAATTTATTTAAAATTTCTAAAGATGTGTTGCATGAAAGAGTGGATAAACCTGACGAAAAGGAATTATTGGCTGGTGCAAGTGATTTGGAAGCAGTGATCATTGTTTCGACGGAGGCTCATATTAAAACAACTCCATCTCCAGTGTCCTTGGACCCCAATCATTGTCACTTTTCAATTTTGGAGCAACTGCAACAACGAATACCGATAGTTAAAAAACATGTGGAGTATATTAGAAATAAGGTCCTGGAAGAGGCAAGCCTGCCAAAATCCAAGCTGAAACAACCTTCGAAAAAAACGAAACAAGCTATTGCCAACCAAAAAGCATTTGAAAAATCACCGATCGAGTTGCCAATGATTACCAGTACACGCATGGCAAGACGGAAAATTACACGAATTGAACCCATCTCGTCTAAAACCACCAATCACACAAAAATAGGTCAAAATATTGTCCTACCCTATGAATTGGTCATTAACATATTTTCATTTCTTCCTTGGAAAGAGTTGTATACTGTCATTATGAGGGTTTCTAAAAATTGGAAAGAGTTTGTGACTGAATACGAATATTTCATTATATGTGAACACAGCCGTTTGAATTTTTTCTCCGCAAGCCAAGTATTAATTTGTTCCGGTTGTTACAATGAAGTACCTGAACTCTGTAAAGCATGCTCTCAATGTTCTAACTCTATTGATGATCATGAAGACTCTGATGAATTGTCTGCAACATCACCCGAGATATATTATAAGCGAAGATTGCAAGCAAAAGTCGACAAATGGATACTGAATTATTGGAAAAAACATCGAGAACAAATCGATGAGATGAACAGGGAACCAGTCACCATTTTGACAAGTGATGCTAATGAAAACCCCGTTAATGAACCACGTTCTACGCCATCATTGGACATTTCTATTCGCTCTCTTTCACAGAAATGCAAGGAATATATAATTTCTCAAATTTTTCCAAATACTTGGCATTTGACAGGAAAAGGACTGACTTTACCATTTGTATCAATGTTTAGAGAACAGTTATCGTGTTTACATTATTTTCCAGCTGAAAGTGAAGAAAACAAACAAAATACTATTTCTCTCGAAAGCAAAACGAAGAAAAAGAAGAAGAATACAGAAAAAACTAAGACACCAATTTCAGAACTCGTTACTAATTTTACATTTCCAAAATTGACACAAATTTTTTGGAGCAACTCAACCCTATTAGACGCCATGTCTTTGAATTATACCACTGTTTCTAATTTTCATCAAATGTTTGCAAATGTTGAAAAATTTATTTCCACCCAGTCCTTATTTTTTTCTTTGGACATTTCGAAACTATTTGATAGCAATATGAACCGATTGAGAATTTTGGATTTAAGCCAATGCAAATTATTACAAAACTATCAGCTTGAAATACTTGCTAGAACAATAGGAGAGCATGCCAGAAAATGTGAATCTGATATAGTGGATGAAAGAAAATGTTTACGAAAGGTTAATTTATCAGGATGTGGATCAATCACTCAAAACGGACTTCACGCATTGGCAGAGCATTGTGGTCGAACTATCAAATGGTAAGTTGAAAGTATTCAACCATTCGTCGTCTTTACTGTTTCTGAAATACAATCATTTTGGCATTATTCATTTCAAAAATAGTCTCCATTTAAATACGTATCCAAACTGTAAAGAGATTAGTTTGAACCAAATACCTGCAACATTTGAAGAATTAGAGGAGTTGTCTCTCGAAGGAAATTATTCATTCCACTCGTTGGCAAACCTTGTGAATGCATTAGTAAGATGTAAATTTGGGAGCAAGCTGAAGATTTTGAATATCAAAAGCACCTTCATAATGCCACACCATAACGAACTAGTAAGGAAAGGAGTTGCTTCTTCAATCACGCAAACCACCACCAGTAGTTCTTCATCAGCTTTAACTCCCTCCCCAATCATCGATCTCAAGCACCAATTGGTTCGAATTTTTGATTGGATGCTCCCCAAACAACTCGAAGCAGTCAAGAAGTGTGATTTGAAATTGGTCTTGACAGATTTAGGAGAGTTTTATTACCAAAGGAATCACAAGAGAAATACCTCTTCTAGATTCGTGTGGCGAAACCGAGTTCATCCATTTGAAGCTGTAGCCATGTCAAGATCTGCTAGTGGATGTTATTTGGAACAAATTTAATAAATTATGGTGGTATTGAAATAATAATCTTTCGCTTAGTGAATAATCACATCCTTAGTTTCTACTGCAAATCTTGGTATTACCGAAACAATAAATCCAAAGAAGGTAGCAATGGAAATACATGATAGTACAATAAGTGGATTCACTCCTTGTGACACAATTAATCCAACTAAAAATGGGAAAATGGCTGTACCAAATCGTCCGCAGTTATATGTAAATCCTGATCCTCTTCCTCTCAACTCCATTGGAAATAATTCAGGTAAATAAAAAGTAAAGCTTCCAAAAGCACCAAAAACAAAAACTCCTACTGGAAACATTAAACTGAATCTAAGTACTGGAGACATGTCAGGAATTCCAAATGCCACAACAATAGATACTGTAGCAAAAAAGAAGTAAATTCTATACACCCACAATCGTCCAAACTTGGTAGCAATGGGAATTACCATCAAAGTTCCAATCAGTCCTCCAAAATTAAATAACATATTTCCAAGTACCGAGTATAAATCTTGATAATGCTTCTTTTCATCAGGGTCTTTGTAATTGGAAGCTAGATAAGTACTCAAAATTGGTATAAAAGTACTAATACACCACCACGAGATTAATGCAGGACATACAAATAAAATAGAACTAATAGTTCTTCGTCTCAAATCTGCATTAGAAAATAAATCCAAATAGGACTTTCCTTTTCGTTTTTTCTTGAGTGGTTGTTGTGAACTAGTCGTAGAGAGATCAGATTCACTTCGAGTGAATGGAAGGGTTTCAAACTTTTCTCCATTCAAATTTCCGTTCGCATGGGTGGGAGTTCCAAGATCAATTTCTTTCATGTCATCTTCGGAATTGGTTGAAACTGTTGGCGAGTCATCATTTCCAGAAGATGGACTTGCAAGAATTGAATTTGCATACGATCGAATAGGAGTTGGTAATTTTTGTTCATCCTCGTTCAGATTAGTATGAGGATTCGACGTGTTTGCATTCTCTTGTTGTTCATGCTCTTCCTTCTCTCTTCGTTGTTGTTCGACCCATGAATCTGGCTCCTTCACACAAATACGAATGAAAATTCCAACAATGGTTGGAATGACACCAATGGCAAAAAGTATTCTCCATGAAAGCCACACAGGAATGGGTCCTCCTGTAATGACTGGTGCATTAATACCTTCACTCATAATCGTGTCAGTAGATGTTACAAAATCCATCATTGCATGTATGGTAGAATTTGTGACAGTTCCGTTCACTGGTGGTCCTGTTCGTTGAAGTAACACACTCGTAATTAAATAATTGACAGCAAATGAGGCCATACTTCCAATAGGTGCAGCAGTGTAAAGAACAACACCACCAATGACTCGCTTTTCTATTGGTAATGTTTCACTGATGAGGGCTGCTCCTGCGGACCACTCTCCTCCAATGCCCAAACTAGCAATAAATCGTAAAATCACTAGCACACTAATGTGGAAAGAAAAGGCAGCTAAAAACGTGCCAATACTATACACAACAATTGTTATCATCATTGTTTTCGATCGTCCAACTGTTGTAAATTATTTTCATCAATTTAAGGATCATAGAAATTATACGTGAGAAAAGAATCCAAAAAGTGAGATAAAATAAAAAATTTCACACAAGGTGTCACTAGACGCCACACAACTACAAACCTCTATCTGTTAACCATCCGAAAAATACGCCTCCACAGCCCCAACCAAATAACAATACACTACTCAATATACTGCTCCATAATGCAGTCTGTTCTTTAGCAGCAGTAGATGTCAGTTGATCGTCTGCGAAACCTAATAAATTAGGAATACAAATGGGAGCTGCATAACTGAATAGCACTCCATCAAAAATGTCAAAGGCCCAACCAAGCCAAGCTGAGGCCAATACCAAATATTGATACCCAGTTAAGCCGAATAATCTCTTCTTTCCATCATGAGTTTTAAATTCATCATCCTCGTTGTTATCAAAATTGTCATTGCGTAGCGAATGATCCATTGGTGAGAGATCACTTTGATTCACACCATTGCTATATTTGCTAGGTATTACTTCACCATTTGTAGAAGTCTCAGAATTTTTGCTGTTGTAGAGATGAAAGGGAATTTGGGGAGGTAGTTGATTATTTTTTGTGTCTTGCATGGCAGAAGTGGTTGATGGTGAAAAATTATTCACCACAGTGTTAGTTGAAGGGGAATTAAAGTCCAATGTTTTCTTTGTGTCGTCCTCGCTTGGTGATGCAGGAATTACTGTCACTGGAAATAAAATATCATTATCTGAGAATCGTACTTTCTTCTTTTGCGAGCTATTTCTTTTTGATTTCATTTTCACAAAATTGTTGTCTTGCATGACAGGAGTAGTGACACGAACATTATTTAACTCATCCATCATGCTGTCGTTATTGTTGGCATTCAAGTCGAGAGGTTGGTCTAACACCATCGAAGAAGTGTCAACAGAAAGCATGGCAAATCCATCTTCAAAATTCATTTCTTCGGGGTGTGTTGGTGATAATATAACGTCAAAGGGATGTATGGAATTGGGTGGAGATAGGACGTTGTTAGATACTGGTTGAATGGGTGAGACTTGGGACTCTTCAAATATATGATCGATGGACTCGAGTTGTATAGAATTCATAGGATCTGACGATGTAGTCATGGTACTAGAGGTGGAAATGTCTTGTGGCAAGTAATAACGGTCATCACGATGAAGGTATCGTGGTGGCAAACCATAGGGTCCTGACGACGTGTTCGGTGATTTGTTGGATACGGAACTATTTCCAACAGCCCCGAAAATATTATTATATCCATCATCCTCATCATTGTCACTCATCGTGAATGATGTTCGTCTGGGTGGCATACTGTCTCTTGTTATGTCATCACGGTTATTATTTTCCTTCTCAAATGAAAAACTACCATTCATGACATCCTCCTCCTCATCATCCGAATAATAAAATCCATTTCCTCCACCAAGATCCTCTTGTTCATCAACGACCGGTCGTCCCAAATTCAATCCTACATCCTCCGAATGCGATGATGATGACGATGGTTGAAAATAATCATTCCTCGTCGTATGAATATCATCGTTATCATTATTGAAATATCCAACAACATCATTCTCATCATTATTTTCCTCTCCTCCTACTGGTCCATTCATTTTTTTGCTCGCATCATAACAAAAGAGGTCGGAGTTCAAGAGATCCGTTCTAGGCCGAGAAGAATCAGTTATTCATATTCTGTTCTTGTTACACAGGAACACAGAAGGCTGGTGAAATCATCATTGGTTGTTTGTTTGTTGTTTTTTATTTACATTTTTATTGTACAGAATGATGATCATCATAAAGATGATTAAAGGCTTGACCACCATTATATGATTAATTCAACCAAGATTGACATGAAGTAATTTGAGTACTTTGTCCTCGATTGAGATATCGAGTGGGTGGGAATCTCATGGTTTCACGCATTGCTACTTGAGATCTTCCAAAGAATGGATCTTGCATGGGTGCCAAGAAGGTTCCAACACTTTCACCAACTCCCCACTCAGGACTCTCCAAATTGAAATCAATGGTTCTGGCCCAATCCAAATTTCCCATATTATCACGCCAAGCATCTAAGAAACGTTGAGAAGTTGCCTTGATTGGAGCAGTGAATGCAGTTCCATTATTTACATACAACATTGTATAGTATCCATATTGTGCGAGGGAATCCTTGTTGATGGGAGCATTGGTGAATGGATCGATTGCACTTGAATCCAAAGCAACCAATGTCATGAAATCAGCATAGACTCTAATGAGAGGTGAACCAAAGAATCGACTCTTGGTTGTGGTAGCTCCATAAACATGATATCCTTCGAATGAACCTGATTCCAACCGAAAGTTAGTTGGTACATTCGATGAATTGGTAAAATCAATATTGAAACGAGTTTTGAAGAATTGTAAAGCTTCTTGTTGTTTGGCTAATGGAAAACGAGTGGTATTGAGTGGTAATTCGACACGTCTTGGAACTAGTTCAAAAGGAATGGTATCATCATAGAGCAATAATAATTCAGCATCGTAGAGTTGAGAAAGATCACAGTTCACTTGAGCCTGTACCAAGCACACCCGTTGTTGAGAAAGTGTGAAATAAATACAGAGAATGAAGGACAAAAGTAACGACAATTTCATAGTTGTATTAAAAACGACGGTTCTGTGTTCGTTGTGTTTTTTAAATAGTTACAACAATATTGAACGTGCAAATAACATTTGACACAAAAGGGAGAAATGAAATGGTCGTAAGCCAAAAAGGCATTGCGACCCAACCAACACAGCAATGATTCCGCAATATTAGAAGGATCCCTACTGCTATGGTCAAATCAAAAAAATGTACAGAATTTCCTTATCTGGTGAGCAAGACCAATTTTCAATGGTGACATTTAGATTTTTTCCACACTTGAGTGAAACACTTCATCATGTGCGATCTTGAACATTTGATCAGATACGCTTCAAAGCAAAAAACTAAAAAAAACAAATCAACTTACCTTTGTATTCTATTCGCTCTGTATTGCCAACTTTTGCAGTTAGAGGTTCAGAGCTCTTGTACTTTTACCTTTGTAAATTATTATTATCCCCTGTACAATGTCTGTATTATATTCTCCTCGTGATTCACGCCCAATATTGAGCGTGATCGCTCTGCTTGTTTGCTTGTGCTGCTCTTTGCTTGTTCACGCTCAACAAGATTTCAAGACCACTACCAATCCATTCGAGTATACCACTCAATTCCAACTCTCGATTGTTGCTGATACCAGTGCTGTTTTAGGTCCAGTTACTAGATATCCAGATGCGCATGAAAAGGCTACTTCATTCTTTAGAAATCAATATGGTGTGGATATTTCAGAGGGTGGTGCTAAATTACCTCGAGGTGCTCAAGTAATGGAAGGCTCATCATCCACTTATGTGGTGAATTATGCCAAAGTGAAAGGCTTCCCTGTGGTGGCTGGTTCTCAAGATTTGGGTGTTCATGATGATACCATCTCAGTCATGTTGACTGAACCTACCGTGGTTCATGGAGCTTATGGTGGTCCCAATGGTACATGGGCTCCTGCCAACTCGGTCTTGATTTTCGGTTACTATACCTTCTTTTATAAGAACAATGGTTCTGTTGCCTTCCCAAGAGTTACTTTCATGGGTGAAATGCCAATGCAATTCATGCCTGATGGAACTCTCTTGGTGGATTGTCGTTTGAAGAGTGTGGTTTGGGGTGAAGGAATGGCCCGTGGAATTGTGACTTATGCTTTTGATCCTGTTGAAAACAAGCCTTACGTGAGAGTCTTCAGCTCTCATACCTATCCATCGATTCAGAGTGATGTGGCTCCCAAGTGTGCGTATCATACCACTGAACGATTTGCCTATAAGGAAGATTTCGTTTCGAAATGGAACAATGTCTTGTTAAGTATTGTTCGTTCAAGAAAGACTGCTCCTCCTGTTGCTGCACGTGCCATGGCCATTCTCAATTCTGCGGTTGATGATGCCTTGTCGACCTGCAAGAGAAAACGATTCAGCTCTCGAAAGTGCTCTCAAGGAACCTTGATTGCTACCATCTCTCATGCTGCGTATCGTGTGTTAGCTAGTTTATTCCCTGATGAAATTGAGTGTTTTACTGTGGCTTTGAAGAGAGCTTTGGAACATTCTCTCGTTGCTGCTTTGAGTAAGAATGATTTGGAAGATATCAAGAGAAGTGCTGTGTTAGTGGCTGATCGTGTCTTACGTTGTCGTGATAACGATGGTTCCAATGATTTTGTCGATTATCAATTCTCTGAGGCTGAGAATGCTTGGAAACCAACAGCACCAGCCTATCAACGATTCCCTTCATTGCCACAATGGGCAAAGGTGGATCCATTCGCCATCAATGAGGTATCAAGTTACAGACAAGGTGCTCCTCCAGCCATCGGTTCTCCTCAATATGAAGCTGATTTGTTGGAAGTTCAAACATTGGGAGCAAACAATAGTGCTGTTCGAACCTTTGATCAGAGAAGAATTGCACTATTCTGGGCTGATGGTGCTGGTACTGCAACTCCACCTGGACATTGGCTTGTCATTACTCAGAGTGTCATTCGTCAACGAGGTTTATCCGATTTGTACAAAATTTCTGCACTCTTCAAGTTGGTGAGTGTGGCTGTTGCTGATGCAGGCATTGTTGCTTGGGATCACAAATATTATTACAATACTTTGAGACCATTCACTGCCATTGCTCAAAGAAATAGAAATTCAAATTGGTGGCCATTCATTCCAACTCCTCCTTTCCCTGAGTATGTGAGTGGACATTCGACCTTCTCTGCTGCGGCTGCTCGTGTCTTGAGTCTTGCATTGGGTACTGATGATATTCAATTCGAGACTGTTTCTGAAGGGTATATTCAACATGTGAGAACATTCTCAAGTTTTTCCAGTGCTGCCAAGGAAGCTGGTAAATCAAGAATTTACGGAGGTATTCACTTTGAATATGGAAATAAGGCTGGTTTCAATGCTGGTGTTGCAGTTGGTAATACTGTATTCAATGTCTTGTGCAATGGAGGTTCATGTATGAATTAAATATTGTGTATTCTAATAAAATCGACCTCGCATAATTCGATCATCCCAACCTGCCGTCATCCTTTCGGAAACAAAAAATGAAACATGAAGGCGCAAACTACTTCTCTGTTGAACGTATTTTTTCATCATGTCCAACAAGTGAAACGGAAATACTTGAAGGAATTATTGCAGAAAATAATATTTGAAACAATGATTGCAAGAAATATTATTATAATACCGAAACATATCAAGCACAATAACAAGTCAAATTCCGAAGAGATGGTGTTCCGAAAATTAAACGATGATGAAGCGTTTAATAATGTAAATGCAATGAATATTATTTTGGAGGAGTATTATTTGGACTATTTCATGATGCCTTCTACTTTTTACGACGAGTGTTGCAATATTGGATTTTGTTTTATTGATGACGACCATTTGAAATTTCAAACTCCTTATTGTTGGAAGGTGTGTTTGTAACTATAATGATGAATCATAATACCATTCTCCAAAATATGAAATAGTACATTTATAGAGGTTTAAATTCTATTCGAAAAATCACTGAGAGTTCAACACATCAATCCCAAGAAGAAATGAAACTTCTTTTGCATTTATTTGGGTGCCCCAACCCTCAAACTCTGAAACGCATTGGAAACAAATTATTTAAACTTTTATTCGAAAACTCTCAACATGTCAGCAAAGATTCGAAATTAAGGGAACGCAATTTCGAAGAAATTCCATTCTCGTTAAAATTCGAAAAAGTTATTGAAGAAACAAGTTATCAAATTTTCAAATATTTCACTCCAGACGGAAAGCGCTTGTTTTGGAATACTAGAGCAGCGGCGACAATTTTTCAACAATTGTGGCATCATGGAATTCCATTGCAAGAGGAGTCTGTTTCCCTTCTAGAAGAGTCTCCTCAACACTCACCTTCATTACTTCAAATTATCAGATTGTTACTGGACCTTTTCGTAATACCATACGATCGTGGAGTAGAAACGAACACAGAGAGTGATGACATGGTGGAAGAGACGCAACATAATGACACCCTTATTTTGAAAGTTCTCAATCCAATCGAACTTACCATCATCTGCAAAGCCTTTCTTAAAATACATCAGCTCATTTCAATTCTATTGATACGATAGGAAATGAACCACCGAGAGGTGTTTACTTAACAAGATCATATTGTTAAAACTTCAAAACATTATTTTGTAAAGAGAGGCAATCATTCCTTCATGCGGCTGTTTGCAAGATATAAACCCTTATAGATTCGTTCTTTTGTTTCAAGCGGAACTCTTTTTGTGTACATTCTTTAAATCCAATTGATCAATTCTGTGACGAAAGCTGTGGGAATTAAAATTACAAAAAAATGGATCACGAAGAACAAGAGGCTGCAGTTCTTCAGAACAACTCCACACCGATTCTTGATTCCTCAGTTGCCATAACAGCCATTTCTACTACTACGGATGACGGGAATGTTGGTAGTGGACAACAACAGCTTGAGGGTAATTCTCCTCCGACCAATACCGATGAATCATCAACCCAAATATTATCATCAAACAATGCTGAAAATGTAAATTCATCAACACCACCAACAATATCAACATCGGCATTCGGCTCTAACCAAATTCCACGACCTCTCTCGGTAGGATCCCTTTCAAAATCACCGCAAGGACTCTACATACGAACTACGGCATCTCACGCTCATTCATCTTACGATTTATTTGCTACATCAGCCAAAAACAATAACACAGCAACAGGAAATGATATTGCTATTAGCTTTGTACTTGCCAATAATAGTAGTGGCCTTTCACCAACCCTTCAACAAACTGCATCATCACGAATTTCGCCATCACTGGCTGCCACCAACACGGACGAGGATTTTTCATTCACTCCGCAATTTGTTGCCGGAAAACGGTCTAAACTCGGAATGATTCCATCAACAGCAGAGGCTTCTTGTGATCACATTAATTGTAGTCATAAAAGCTCCAAAGGAGGAAAATCTTTATGGAATAATATTTGGTTAAGACTAAAAAGAATACCAAAGTCCTTCTCTAAAGTATTTGGTGATGATGATAAATCCTCTTCTCCGAATAACTCACCCTTCTTTGGAGATGATCGTCACGCACCTCGAGGAAAAGGAAAAAAACAAGCATCCTTAATTTTGAAAGACATGACAAACCGTGTCGTGTTATTTGCCTCGTTGTTTGCCAAATGGATACGTACCTTAGTATTGATTATTGTAGCTTTTTTGTGGAAAATTGGTGTATCTTTCTCGAATGGAGAGTACAAAACCATGCTTTCCAAGAAGAAATTAATGGATCAATTATCTACAAAAAACATTTCACATTGGATACAGAGTATCAAAAATTTAAATCCAGATGCTGAATGGATTGTTGGATATGTGCAGCAATTTTTAATATTCTTTGTGCAGCCTTTGTCTCTGGCATCTGCGAGAAATTACAAGCTTACCACCCAACAACATGCACAGCTTAAAGTTCACTTCTTTGCGTGCATGCTCATTTTGGGATTTGGATTTCTTGAAGTAATGGTTGGGCTTTTCCACTATGGAAATACTCATTACCATGAGTCGAGTGCTAATGGAGGAGAAGAAGAGCTATACGTCACGAGTATGAGAAATCATGAATTTCTAGTTGGACTACTAATTTTGTTTTCAGGATTTTATTTATTGCATAGAGGATTCATGTTTTTAATTGACCTAATTGTAATATTTATGAAAACGACACAAGAACAAACATCACCAAACGGTGTGTGCATTTCAAAAAGCACACTCGAAGCTAAATCCAAAATGGATCAACAATCTTTAACTCCAACAAACCCTACTGTACAGATAGAATCTCCGTTGGAGTCTTCATCTTCATTAACTGAACAGTTAACGAATAACGAAGAGTCCTCATCTTCACTATCATCTACGTCTCGTCTCGTTGAAGAAGGAAAAACAAAATTAGATCCAATATTTGCACCGTACACATTTTCCTTATGGAAACGGTTACGTGTACTGTTACGATTTGCCAATGCCATGTATGCCACATTCCTTTCACTTAGCGTTTTGTCAGAAATGATACAATATGTATTAACAACGAAATTTGCATCAGAATCAACACCCCATACACAACAAGAGCCAAGACAATTGCAAGACATGAGCATTGGATTTTTCACACACACGATTGTAATATTTGGCTTGTTGGTTAATGGACTTTCAATTTATCTCTTTGGAAATTATTCACAAGATGGTGTTTCTGCAACATTTCAAAAGAAACATGAAGAGGCAGATCAAAGTGAATCTACAGGATTTTCATCATTTTTACAATCGCCTCCACCAGATATGAGAAGAGGCTCCGCTAGTGTAAGAGCAGCAAATAGATACAACAATTCTGCGAATGCAATGTGGTACAACACTTCTCCATGGTTCCAACAACAATTCTCGTCATTCAATGCTGCTCTAAATTCAGCACATTCCTCACTTGTTTACAAATTTTACAACTCTCTCATTACCTTTATTCGCTTAAAAATTCCACATGCCAGATTTTGGATTTATCGCATCATGAGAGAGGCTCATATTCACGCCGTGTTGTTTATTTACATGAGAGCAATTTATTATTCCACAGGTGGACTCATGTTCGATTTTATTTTGTGCTGTATGAGTACCATGACAAGCGTTTATTTTGTCGTTCCAGTACTGAAAGCCAATGGAAAAGTATTACTTCAGACAACACCAGAAAATTTGTGTACTCATTTAAATGCATGTGTCAAGGAAGTTTCAACCACCGTGGATGGAGTTTTAGAATGTCACAGCGAACACTTTTGGGCTCTCAATACTGCCTCATTGGATGAAGCAGATGAAGAAGAACTGATACAGGTTGACCCTGAGAAGAGAAAACAAGAATTGATCGCAACCATTAAGGTACGAATTGCCAATGATGTCCAAGTCGATCATCAACGGGTATTACAAGCTGTTCGAAAAATATTTTGCTCCAATGGCATTATTAAGGAACATAACTTGACTGTGCAAGTTGAGAAGAATACCATGCTGGGTTTAGAAAAGATTCATGACCTTGCACCAATGATTCCCTTAGGTGATGTTCATGTTTAATTCTTCCTTGTTAGAACGATTTCGAATAAGCGATTACAATAATTCGTACTAGATAAAATGTGTGAGAATTAATTCAGTGACAACTATTGCCCGAGAGCACACGTGAAGATATTAATTAAGGTTTAAGACAAACAAAAAGAACCACGAGCTCTTATTTTGTGCAAGAAAGACGCTCAAATGTCACTTGTCATTTGTTCTAACCAAAGAAAAAAAAACGTGAAATCATCTCTTCCCTCACATCAGAATGGATGACTATCAAATCCTCTCCACCATCGCTAAAACAGCCACCTCCAAAGTTCTTTTAGCCAGGCACATTCCCACTCAACAACTCTATGCCATCAAACAAATCAATGTTCCAAAACCATCCGATGATGATTGGGGTGCCGAAGAAGTAGTCGTGATTGCCTCCGACTCGGATGATGATAGTAACTACGATGACAGTAGTAGTAACGATGAACATGAACAAATTCACTCTTCTTCTCAAAAAGAACCACAACAACAACAACAACAACCATTATCCATTCAAGTTCCAACTGTTTCTTCGAATACAACTCCATCCACCAGTTCGACCAGTTTGAATAGTGCCCCGGAAAAAACAAATTCTTGGAAACGAAAACAACAGCAGCAGCAACAACATTCAAGTCCACGTGGTTCTCATTTAGGAGCCAAAATTGCATCAACACCTTCTCCGAGAAGAAACAATTTCACACAATCTTCGAATAATGTGACATTGGAAACGGCCTTCTCTGTGAAAATTGAAACTCAATGTGCATCTCCTCCTTCTCCAATTACGAGAAAGAGTAAAGGTATTTCGACATTTGTGGAAGATTTTGTGAATCAACATGTAGAATCCGATGATGATCAAGAGAGTGACGATGATTTGGATGAACAAGACGATTCCAACAAATTAATTTACAAAACACAAAATTTGACATTAAGTTTAGATGCCACTCATACCATGAGTGATAACGTGACAGGTGCTTTATTGAAAAATGAAAAAAAACTGTCGAGTGATAATTTAAATGTCTTTATTCCTACAAGCACAAATCAAACAAAGAAACAAGTCTCTCCTCAAGTTCAAATGACCATGAATGATATGATTCAAAAGAAAAAGAAACAAGAAATGAAATACATTCAAAACGAAATTCATGCCCTCCAAACGATTGCCAAAGGACCTTTTAAAATTTATGACACGTCGACGAACGGAAATTCCAAAGTGATGGAATGGCCATTTGGTGAAAAGCCAAAACGAATTAGTGATGAAGAGAAAATTGAAACCTTCTCGAAATATGTTTGTCAAATGAAAAAAGTGATTGAAGATCCAAAAGAGAACAAACTTTGTATTGTGTTGGAGTATGCAGATGGTGGTGATTTATTTAGTATTATTGAATATTATGATACACATGGGTCCTATGGAAGAATGAGAGAAGAGCAAGCACGTTACTATTTTAAACAAGTGGTTTGTGGTGTCTTGTATATGCATCGATGTGGAATTTGTCATCGAGATTTGAAACCAGAAAATATTCTAGTGACTCTTGATGAAAAGACAAAGATGAATTCTACCACAACTGCTAGTTCATCCTCTCAAACGAAAGCTTTCACACCTTCTCAAAACCATCATCCTGTGTTGAAAATAACAGATTATGGATTTTGTGGTATTTTGAAAAAACCAGGTGCTTCTTCTCAAACTCTCTTCGATGATGTTGTTGGTACTGAGAGCTGGTGTGCGCCTGAGGTTCTCAATCGACAACGATACGATGGAAGAAAGGCAGATATTTGGTCATTGGGATGCATTTTATTTGCTCTCTTGACAGGATGTTTTGCATTTGATCATGATGACATTCACGAATTGCATCGAATGATTGAAGATGTGAAAATTCAATTTCCTTCGTTTATTAATAAGGAAACCAAGGACTTTATCTTGGCCATGATTTGTAAGGATCCAAAACAGAGATTGACCATTGAAGAAGTGTATGATCATCCTTGGATGAAGAAGGGAGCTTATTTGTAGAGTGAGAACATCATTTTCGAATAAATTTTATCACGCATTTTCTTCAAGTCGTTCCATGTCCTAATTCAAACACACCCACCCTAATTGAAATCACATTATTAGGAGAATTCACCAGCTTACTTTTTTCTTGTAGCTGCCAAAAAACCTCCTTCCTTGCCTGTTGATACAATAATAATAGGATTGTGATATTGTTGTGTGTTAGTGAACAGATCAAGTATTTCCTTAGTTTCATGTTTGGATCCAGTGTGATGATCGAAAACAATAAATTCGCCAATATCGTCTCCTTGTGCGGCGGGTTTTGCCAGCACCACTGTTCGTTGATAGTTTTTAGCTACAGCAGCAATCTCATTAAATCCAGGCTTAATCTGACCCTTCTTTAAATGATCGAAATAGTCATCAATAGACTCATGCTTGTGTTCTGTTTTGATGTGTTGCTGCAACTCATGGTCCTTGTCTCTAATATAATCCTCAATATGTCGTTGAACAATATTTCTTTGTTCTCCCAGTAGGGTCGCCAAGGACAAGAATAGATCATGTCCTTCTATGTCCACATAGGAACAACCAATGCTGTCCAACAGCTTGTTAATTTTGTCGAAAGGAATTCCACTATTAAGAGCTGCCTTTTGCTTGTTCATTTGTTTTCTAGCTTCACTTGTAGCAATGACATTCTTGGCGTCCTCAGGGTACGTCGACATGATTTCGTCAAACGCATGCTTCTCAAGGACGAATAAGTCAACATACTCTGTCGAGATGACATTGGCAGTTCTTTTCACAGAGTCAATCAGTGCAGTCTCACCCACAAATGAGCCGCTTCCTAACGTGGACCAAAGCTGTCCAGTTTTAGATCTTACTTCTACAACTCCTTTACCAATGAAAAACATTTCATTTCCTGGTTCGCCTTCTCTAATGACATAAGAACCAGGCATTACAATTCTTGGTTTCAGATTAATCACAACTTCATGAATAAAGTTTTGTGAGCACGATTTGAATAATTCCACCTTTTTCACAATCTCTGCATTAAGCTGCATGGCCACGTCGATCTTTAGAAAATCAGGCAATTCTCTAATAATTTTTGATTCGTCCAATCCCTTTCTACTCTTCCACAAATATTGATAATATTGTAAAATTTGCTTTTTCAAATCTGGTGATAAACCTCTAGAATTAATGTAATCAGTCACAGAGTCCAATTTCTCAATAAAGGCACTCTCAGTGATGTTCAAATTTTGAGCCAAGTCAGACACAATACCAATCACAGTAACGAAGACGGCAATTCCTACCAAATACACCAGAGTACAAAATGCAACTTGTAAATTGGTGACAGGCATGGTACCTCCAAAACCTGACATGGACACCAAACTCCAATAAACTCCCAACATGTACTTGTAGAGGGTTGAAGTGGTTGGTTCAAAGATAGAAGCGCTCAAAGTAAACACTTGAGAATCTGGATATTCTGACATTATAATTGGAAACCAGCAGCATGCAACAATGTGCACAGACATGACGACAATAATGACAAAGTTGAGTAGCTTGACCATTTTGGAGAGGACAGCAAATCGATCGGGAACGAGTGCCTCAATTCTAGTCAAACGTTTGAGGGCTCTAAAGAAGAAGAGTGCTCGATTCAGGCGCCACACAGGTGAATATGTCATGGAACCATTGGTTGCAGCTCCAATGGCCACAGGAATCCAATCGAGTAAACACAGACAGACAAAGTCTGCAAAAAATCCAATCTTCTCCTTAAACACGTATCTACGAGCTGTCTTCTTGAAATCTGTCACTAAAATGTTCATCTGATCTCGATAGGGATAGAAAAAGTTCATGACCACATCGACCCAAAGTAAAAAATCAAAAGGAGCATCTGCCAAATACCAATACATGGAGTTTTCATAATCAAAAGCAGATCGGTAAGGTATTAAAAAACTATTATACAGCTCTATGCAAAAAATCATGAGCATCCACATCTTGTTGAACCATCTATTTCTATCCACAATAAATAATATTTTAGGTTTGATATGTTTCTTGTAAAAGGGTCGTTTGTAAAAGGGTAATTTTGCTTCCTCCAATTCAGCCAACTGTTCATTCTTTTCAGCTTCCTTCCTAGCCTCCTCATCATTTCTCTTCCGAAGAGTATATTCATCTTTACGACTCAATAACTCTCCGAGAGTATTGGGATATCCCGATGATGAAGATGGATTTTTGAAAATGCCCATGGGTTTTAGGGTGATTGAGAAATATTTTTTTTAAAAGTAAAAAATTGGCGCAATTTTAGATTCTTCGTAACCCAATACGAACGATACTGGCGAGCTCAGGAACTTGAAAAAAAATGAAGACACACGATGGTGTGCGAATACTTTTGATCGATTTTTCATCGTTTCGTGCTGATGAAAAATTTCAAAATATTTCTAACAATCATCGGGACCAATATAAATCGTTGGAATCATTGTTGAAACAACGGTTTATGTTACAACAATTGGGAAAAAAGAAATGGTTGCAAAATAGTGAATTGAAATATACCGATTTCTTTCCGATTGAATTTATGAATGATCCACAATTTGTGTTTAATCATCTTAAAAAGTATGGATATGGCTTGTCATTGGCATCATCAAGATTGACAAGTGATAGAGATTTTGTTTTGAAAATGGTGATACAAGACGGTTCTCAATACCTTTCAATAGCTGAAGAATTGCAAGATGATCTTGATCTTGCTTTAAATATCATTACACAACAACCTGAAGCATTGAATTATGCACCGTGGAAAATACGCGACAACAAGGAATTTGTCAAACAAGCATTGCAACAGAACGGTTTGGCTTTGTGTTTTGCTCCAGAAGATTTTAAAAGTGACAATGAGCTTGTTTTCGCGGCAATCAAACAAAATAAGAAAGCCCTAAAATATGCTTCGTACACATTGCTTAGAGATGAAACGTTTATGTTGCAAGCACTCAAATTAGTGCTTCCAGAATTGAATACATTTAGTTATAACAACCCAGAAGTAATGATCAAGGTTACTCAAGAATATGGATTTCTGTTGCAATTGTGTCCTAGAGAAATTAGAGAGAGCCGAGAAATAGTTTTAAATGCTGTCAGCAACGATGGATGGGCTCTATGGTTCGCCTCCAATAAATTGAAGGACGACCAAGAAATTGCATGGAAGGCAGTTCGTCAGACGGCCAAAGCAGTTGAACATTTATCGGAAAGGTTGAGAGGAGATGAAGAGATTATTTTACATGTCATTGAGAAAGATGGAGGATTATTGGAATATGCATCTCGTGAATTAAGAGGAGACAGAGATGTTGTATTGATTGCTGTTCATCGTGATGGCTGTGCTCTTAGACATGCATCTGATGTATTACAAGGAGATCGAGAAGTAGTTTTAGCTGCTGTGACTCAAGATGGAGAAGCTCTTGTCTATGCATCAAGTGAGTTGAGGAATAATCGTGAAATAGTGTTGCAAGCTATTAGACAGAAAGGAAATGCGCTTCGACATGCTTCACAAGAACTAAAGCAAGATAAGGAAACGTTGTTAACAGCAATCCAAAATGGATATTCTTGTAGAATTTCATCAGCTGAGCTGTGCAACGACAAGGCGTTCTTAATACAAGCTGCCAAACAAGGATACCGACAAGTACTACAGTGGGCCTCAAAAGCATTGCTCTCTGACAAGCAATTTTTATTGGAAGTTGTGAAACAAAATGGCAAAACTGTAGAATATCTACCACCTGAATTTTATGGTGACGATGAGATCATGTTAACTGCAGTGAACAATGATGGATTTGCCCTGTGGCACTCCACTGAGGAACAATCACAATCATTTGCAATGGAAGCATTGAAAAGCACTGGCTTTGTTTTTTCATATGACGACGAATTGTTTCACACAAGGATGAAACATTGTTATTATGGTGCTTACTTGGGACGATCTATACGATAATGCTGTTAACCCACAAGCAGTGCGCAATTACGAAATACTCGACATTGGATCTAGAAAAAGGGTGACTGCTGGAATCAAACATCGTATTTTCACAACAATTAGAAAAAATGTTGCACACCGCCCCAACAAAAGCCTTCCTCTCAAAGGAAATCCTCTCCATTCCGTACTTTAGAGATCAGATGGTCCATGTGTCTATGCATGGAAATATTTACAGTATTTTCTTTGATGAGGAACGAAACAGTTTCAGAATTTATAAATTGAATTTACAGCATTTAGAGTATGATGAATTGCCAGTTCCGACACATGATCAGAAAGAACAAGATTTAAAGCTTTATATTCAATCTGCATGTGTGGTTGGAAATGATATTTATATTTACGCCGAAAAAGCGTTTTCATCGGCGTTCATTTTCAAAATTTCATTTTCAAGTAGTGATGACTCCATGCCATCAGACACACCATTTTGTGAGCTCATTCATCAAACGACAAGTGAATACCATCGTTTATATCTTACCCCACTTATTGGCGACTCTCAAAGAAAATGTCTGTATTTAATTGGTGGTTGTTATTTTAAAGGAGGATACAACAGAGATGTGTTAAAGTTTGACATTGAACAACGAACATGGAGTATAATTTCCCAATTTTATTATAGCCCTGCATTGTATTTACAAAGTGCTACATTATGGAAGAATCGATATATTGTCATGTTTGGAGGATTCATAACTTCATGTGCTGCATGTAGTGATGTCATTGCTTTTGATCTTGACACGAAGGAGTGGTGGACATGTTACAAAACTACACATTACGGAGATGCTGATTTACTGTCACCCTATGCACGATATAACTCTGGAATTGCTCTTGTTTCCAATCAATATGCTTCTAATTTTATTTCAAACACCACTTCTCAATCATTATTCGAATTGAACACTTTATTTATTTATGGCGGATTTATTGACACCATTTTGAAGTATAACAATGTCACTCGAATAATTCAACGTGTTTCCCATGAAGTATTATTATTCCCATTGGACGAATCGAAATGGGTCAGTGATGATGAAATTCAAACTATCCAACCTCTGAGTCTCACAGACTATTGCAATCCATGTCCAGAAAAATTGAAAATTCATGAAATTCCTCAAAACAATCCAATCTTTTCCACACATGGTTTTGAAGAAGACAATCAAGACGATTCTTCAGAATTTAAAATTCTTCCTGCCACTATACCTCAAGGACTCTTTCATTATTACAATCCATGTAAAGGAGAAGAATGTTTATTTGTGATTACCATGTCCAATGGTCAAGTCAATGAAAAGTTTAAGGATCGAAATTGTTTAATCAAATTAGTCTTGACCAAAGAACAAGGAACTCTTTTTAAGGGCATTGGTGCTCACAACAACCTCACAGATACTGTTTTCATGCATGAATAGTACTGCAGCACTTAATTATTAAAGAACGTTCAAGATGGAAGATTCATGGAACTCATTTTCAAATTTGAAGAGCAACCACTCCTTTCAAACTTGAAAATGAAGAAACCACACAGAAATTACAAAAAAAAAGTCCCAAACTTCTCATCAACAACAACAACACTTTTCTCGAGAGGCCCCTTTTTCTCATTGTCATCATGAAAGTCATTCCGAATATTTTCCAACTGCCGAATGAAATTCTCTCAGAAACTCTGAGCACCACTACCACCACCACCACCACTACTTCTGAATCATCCTCCTCAACAACCCATAAAACTCCTCAAGCTCTCTCTCTGATTGGTCATTCCCGATCAGCAGAAGCCACCTATTTCCAAATTCCTCAACTCCAAACCAACATTGATATGGGTTTCATTGATAAAAAGTACATGAGTCAACATCCGAATACGTTTCTCATTACGCACACTCATGCCGATCATTCGTATTATCTCAGTGCATGTCAACCTGCATTCATTAATCGAAAAGATCCCAATCGTGTATTCGTTCCAAATGAAAATGTCAAATTTATTGAAAATTTTCTTCACGCCTGTCAAGAATTAAATGCTGGAAAAGAATTACCTAAAGAGAGCGTTCAGGAACGAAAACCAATTCAAATTATTGGAGTTTCTCCTGGAGATACCATTGAAAAGATTGGAGGAAAGGATAATTTTGTGGCTCGTGTCATTAAATGTGACCATTCAGTTCCATGTAATGGTTATGAAATTTATGAAAAAAAAAAGAAATTGAAAAAGGAATTTTCACATTTGAAAGGACCTGAAATTGGAAAATTGAGAAAAGAAAGAGGTGAAGATGCAGTTTGTGATACAATTTTTGAACCTCGTATTGCTATTATGGGAGATACGACCTATCGAGTATTTGAAAATAATCCTGAATTATTGGAATTTCCTGTCATTGTTGTGGAATGTACGTTTTTGGAAGAAGGACAGGAAGAACAAGCATTGGGTGCTTTTCATATGCATTGGAATCATTTGAAACCTATTGTGGAATCCAATTCGAATATTCATTTTATTTTAACTCATTTTAGTTTGAGATATACAGATGAATTTATTTTGGATTTCTTTTCGAAACAAAATGTCAAGAATGTGACACCACTCGTAGATGACAAGTTTTAATATTGTTCAGTAGTAGTTTCATAATATTATAATTTTGAAATGTTAATTTACATTATATATTTACATGGTGGAAGAGTGTTGACTAAAAAACAATTCAAATAAATCTCTCTCAGTTAACTCCAATTTTAAAGGAAAACATCCTTGTGATGATGTCGAAGATACTTGTTGTTGACACGGTGGAGGGTGGAACGGTTGTTGACCTTGTGAACTGAAACTACTACTGTCTGAATGATTGCTTCCCCATGAACATCGAACAGGTTGAAATTGTTGCGATTGTTCCACTGCATGGACATTTGGAGTTCGGTTCATGGTTGTCGCCGTTGTTGGAATGGCTTCAAAAAACGTATTTTGAAAGGAGTGTTGTAAGTTACTGTTGTTCTCAGATGAAATTTGAATCATGGACAATACATATTTGATTTGATGAATCACTTGTGAAGAGTCTATATATTGAGAGAGTGGAGAATTGGGATGTTGTTCTTTAAATCTTAACATTTGAAGTAGTTCTTTCAAATTTTCCACCACCGAGTCATGATTTATTGGTATAGGTGATATAGACATGGGAGACTCCACCTTTAAGGATGATGATGATTGACAAGGTTGGACATGATGTGCCCAACATGTTTCTTGTTGTGCTGGATATAACAGCAGACTACTGTTTTGACCATGGCTTGGAGACATGTTCATCTTCTTTCCATTCGAACTTGATGAATATTGAGAAGAATGAAAGGAAGTATGAGAGGATAGTTTTCCATCACTCGACGATGAAGAATTGGATCGATTCGATCGAGATGCATTGTTGTTGTTGTTCATCATTGTTACTGTAGTTGTTGACATTGTATTTTTACATGATGGATTGGAAGGATTCATTTCAATGATGAAGACTTGTTGATCAACAAGAGAGAGTAATGAATCCAAGAGAGAGATAGGTAGTGCTCGAATTCGTGGCAATGGTTGCTGATATTTCTTTTCGATGGTCTCTGGATCGAATGGGATGCAAAATTATTGACAACTGACACAATGCTATTCTTCAAATGGTGTGGTTGAAACTTGTAAAAAGGAAATGTTTGATAAAGTTAGACGCCTACTATCAAAATTGCAATTTCTTCTTAGTATTGTCTTTTGATTCAATAATGTTGTGATCATGGAAAAAAGAATGAATACAATACTCAATTACTCATGATGTGGTCTGTTGATCATACAAAGGTTTCATTCATTTCGCATGACAATTATGGAGAATATCATGATGACTAAAAGAAGACTCTCATGTAAGTGCGAAATGATCGCATTGGTATCTAATGTCTATTTACGGTATTTAAGACATACAGATCTCCTCAAGAATATTCTCCCTCACGATTGTATAAATAATATTATTATTACTATTCTTCTAACAACACTTTTCAGTATAATAAATTTACACCAAAAACAGCAACAAAATGGAAGAGCCATGGCAACATGACTTCTAAATTTACACAAAACTCGTCATTCCAATCCAACATGTCCCTATACATTAAGGTTTGTAAACACCAGAGGCATTGACAATTCCTGCAAATAGATATTCACTGGCATCAGGTTCTTCTTTCATTAAATCTTGTAAAAATTGGAGTGTTGTTTTTTCATTATGTTCCACACATCGATCCATATCAACTTGATAAATTTCAGCTTCTTCAATGACGTGTTTTCCTTCAATGACCCAATTTTCAAATTGAAGCGATTTTTCAATGGCTATTTCTTTGGTGGGAGCAAGAATACGATAGGCTCTCTTGTAGACACTATTTCTTACTGTGGTCGCAGTTTCTGAGCTGGTACTATCTGCTGCCAACTCATCTTTTTCAAACACTTCCACTAGCACGTCATAGAGACGAAATGGTAATGAATTGCTCGAGTCATTAGGTGCCAAAGTCAATGTATCGAGAATGACCTGTTTTTCAACAAAATAACGAGACAATTCAATACTTGGATTGATATCTCTTCTATACAAGGCATAACTTCCCATCAATGACCGTAATTGAGTCCACGTTTTGAATTGATTTTCAAAACACTTTTCGTTTCTTGACAAGATGACAAGCAAGTTTTCATAAAAGGCCTCAAATTGTTGATTCGAGTTAAGGTTATGGTTGGGTGAGTGTCTCATGCGTGCAATGCAATATCCTAACAAATGCAAACCTTCATTAATAATTGCATCTTTAAATGTGTGAAAGTGACGAGAGAGTTGAGGTTCCAGTTTTTGATAATATTCATCATTAAGTATTTTGGTCTCCATGGTCAATACATGATTCATTGCCATCAGTAAATTATCCCACACTGCAGAAAAGTCATCCCAATTTCCATTGGCGCCCTCCATCAAAAAACTCTTAATAAATGCAAGTTGTAATTTGGCCAATTCGTTAAATGTTTGAACTTCAACTTTTTCTTTCAAAAAGTGAACAAGATGTGACGAGTTCTGCAAATTTTCAATATTGGGCAGTTCTTCGGAGAGTATTCCTAATCCTTTACCAATATTCGTACCAATGTCTAAGAGTCGTTTGATGGTCTGAAGTCTGGATGGAATGTCAAGTTTTTGATCCTTGGTTTCGGAATCTTCATCTGTGGTCTCCTTCTCATTGGTTTCTGTTTCTTCTGCATGTTGCAAAATTAACAACATTTTTCTCAAAAAGATAGTCCATTCATACGACACAATAAGTGAATCTAAAACAATTTGATGACTGGTAATCTTGTCTGTGCTAGCAGTTAAACTTGAGAGTTGTCGTGCTGTGAGGAGAGTGGCATCTTCATAGCACACATCGGCAGATTTCCATTCAGTGGCCATGGTATGTAAATAAGCCAATTTAAGGAGTTGAGTTTTCAGCTCTCCAAATGCTCCCTTCTCGTTGGTTGGAAGTTGAATGACACCGTTGGAATCTTGTGGCAATAATGCTTTCAAATGTTTGGCAGCACTTGTGTAATCGTGGAGCTTTTCCAAGAGAACTGACAAACGCTTATGTACATCTCTAATATATTGTTGAATTGAAGAAATGTATTTGGCTAGAGCATCTTTAGATGGAGCCGAAGTGTGAGTGGTGGCGGTGTTGAGTTCGTTGAGAGCACTCAATGAATCCTCCAACTTGGGAAGAAGAGCTAATAAAGTGCCTGCAGCGTTTTTAAATTGATTTTCTCGTTCATAGATGGCTGCTAATTGAAAATAAGTTCCGAAAAAGCGTGTGACTAGATTTTCAGTCTTTCCACTCTTCAAAAACTCTTCAATTGTTTGTTTGGTCATTGACAGACTGGTCATGTCGTTTTGGAAGTACAATAATTTTTGAAGGATAATCTTACTCAATGACCAACATTGCAATAAACTAAATACTCCATTCATTTCATTGAGATATTTGACAATATGTTCCTTCAGCTCTCTGATAGATGCCTCACTACTATTAGAAGTGTTCAATGTTGAAAAATCCGTCTTCTTCTTTACAATAGACTGAAGTTTGCTTGTTGAAAAGCTCAACTTGGAAACTTCACCAATTTTCATTGCCGCATTATTCTCTGATGAATTTTGTTGTTGCTTGTCAGCTGGTCTTGGCAATTCATGCTCCTTGATATATTGAGCTGCAATTTGTAGAGCAACAAGTTGAGGATACAAATCTTCAGCGGCATCGGTTTGAGAAAGAATTCTTTTTGCCTCACTCATGATGGAATCAATTGTGTTATTAAGAGGTTCCGATGAGGAGGCCACGACTTGCTGCTGAGTGCCTAAACCTCTCCACTTGTAAATTTGAATAATTAAATTTTGTAATTGTTGTTGTGTCCATTTGATGATTGATTCATCAACGACAGCATGGTTCAAAAGACCAGGTCGGAAATTATTTTCCGATTTACTAGTTCTATGACTCATCGAGGTGTGGTATGAAGCTTTTGTTGTTGATTGATGGAAATAGTTGCCATCGCTTTTTAAAGACATGTTACAAATACCGCGTCTACGATCATCATCACGTAAAATTCTCTTGACAGCTCTCGTCCCAATTTGCAGAGCAGTTACGGAATTTAAATGATGATGAGTTGCAGAGGAGAGAAGAATGCCATTTGCAAGTGGTTTCATTTTTAATTGTTTTTGTTTTGGCAAATTCTAAAGTGGAAATATTGGTGAATTCGTGAAATGGTTGGCCAATTTAATAAATGATCAACTTTTATTCATCAAATCCTAAGAATGCCAATAATTCAAGTGTTTGAGGATCCATCTGAAGAGTGCTTCTTGTGTTCGATGACGAAAGTGTTCCCAAGGCATACTCAGAAGGCATGGGAATGCGAAGATTCGCAAACTTTCCATTTGCAAATGTTTTAGACCTCTCCAAAATCCAATCCTTTTCCTTTTCAATTTCTTGCAGTGTGAATTGTGGATACATTCTATTCTTTGCTGAGAATGGAAGACTGGTAGATGACACATGTTGAGCAATTTCATCAAGATTCAATGTATCATACGCCTGTTTTTGAATCTTTTGGATGTGTGGCTGTTTGAGAAGACTTGAAATTTCATATCTATATGCATGGAAGAGCTTGGTAATGGCCAACCAATCCAAGTCAAAGTAATAATGGCCATCTTGTTCGTCATTTACATCTGAAGAAGAAGAGGTAACTGCTGATCCTTCTCGTTCCTCAGTGTTGTCATTAATGCTTGTCTCAGTTCCTTGTACGAGCCCAATTTCCTCTTCTGTGACGCTGTCAATGTAATGATCCAAATTTACCATTTGTAGGAAATCTCTCTTTGGAAGACACTTGTCCAAGGCCAGGAATTTCGTCGTTTTCGAAATAGTATTCGAGGGTGTCAACTGTTCATGATGAGATACAACTGATGAAAATTTGCAATGCATGTGAGCAGAGAACCAAAATTTGGGTTGCAACTCGTTCAGTAATTTTTCGCCCCAGGGATTTCCTAGCTTGTGATCAGAGTCTTCAATTTCTTTCATGACATGATCCTTAAATCTCCTAATATTAGTCAAGTCTCCATGTCGCGTGACTCCTGTTGGCCAGTCGTGTGACATGAAAACATCGAGAGGTTGATCAGATCGTGTCTTCTCTTTTCTACGATTGAGACATACTTTCATATTAAGCATTTTCCAAAATTCAAAAAATCGAACATGATACACGCTCCTTTTTGCTCCCTCAGAAAATGGTACGTGTTGTTCATCGAAAAGCGTCGTACCCAAATGTCTATCGCTTTCCTGTACCAAGCCAGTTTCTGTCTTGGGAAGGAAAAATCTGGCACTGTCTTTGAAAAAGTCTCCATCTTTATAGATTCCACTCCATCCACCAATAAGTAAATTAACAAACTTTCCATCGTGTGGATTTCGCTTTTTGAAATTAATAAAGCCAGTATTTCCCATGTAGTAGATTTTATCGGTGACAAATCCACCGAATGGCAAGCTCATGAGATACAAGCTAGCTTCATGATTACCTGTATCAGATTTACATTTTGTAAATGAAGATCAATGATTTTGGAATCATGATTCAATAGTGCATTCAAATGTATTTTCACAGTTATTACATTGCATATATATATACAATATCATTACTAAAAACAATCAAAACAAACCTCCAATAAATAAAGTTGGAATGGGTGCAATTTTTGTTTCTTCTCCCTCCTTCTTTAAAGGACTTTTTGCAAAATATTTGTAAAAATCCTTCCATTCTTTATACTTATCCGGAACACTCATACTATTCAAATCATCGGCATGTCTAATACTTTCAAAATCTCCACAAATCAGCAACACATCAATGGTTGGTTTCCGATACTCTTGCAAGGAATTTAAAAATTCATCATCCACAGCACCTTCTTCCGAAGATGATTGTAAAGATTTTAATGCAATCTCCTTCTGATCACTCATTTGTTTTTGTTCCATTGCGTGCAACAAGGTTGCATAGATCTTATCCAGATCCCCATGACAACATCCTTCTACGGCCAAATACATTTTTTTTCTCAATTAAATATTAATATTTACATTTCAAAATTGATTTCCATTAAGATGCCAAATATTTCATAATCAAGGGACCATCATGATGTTAGTTAACCATTCCAATTAATATGATTGTAATATGAATTAGAGAAATCAAACCAGTTAAAAAAAATGCAACACAACAACACTCTATTTTCCATGCTTTTGAATCAGCACAATATTAATTTTGATGATGATGATGATCAAACCGTAGAGAACGACCAACAAACAATGATGACCCCTTCTGAACGATCTCAAGCCATTGAAGAATTATTTTTAAAACCTCATGATCAAGCAAGTATGATGATTCCGATCGAGCATCAAATTTCAAGTTTTGCTAGAGTGCAAGGATTAGGCTTGTATTGCATTCCGTGGCATCCAACCGGTAATGGAAGTGCTGTATTCATCAATGCACCTCACAAGACAAAGAAAACTAGTGCCATACAGCTCACCAATGTGCGCTACGATGTTGAGGAAGATGTTGACCGATTTTATGTGTTCAATGGATTTGAAAGATGGAACGAAACTGCAATGGCAGATGTTGATTATGTAGAATTTGTCAGATTGCACTCACCTAGGCGAATCCTGGATAGCTCAGCCACTGTAGAATCACCGAAATTGCAAAGATCAGAAGATGATGAAGAACCTTTTTTTCCTGCAATCGATATGGATACTGTGGTTTTTGAAGATTTCAATGTGACACCAGTCATGAAGCAAGCTCGAGAAAAATGTCAATCACAAGCCATTCAACCAAATGCTAGCGTGTATAAGCCAAGAGATTTTCGATCGACGGCCATTTCAAAACAGCGTCCCAGTTGCCGTATATATCACTCAACAGCATTTGATTCACAAAATAACTGTGTTTATATTTATGGAGGATTTACACGTGGCCGTATCATGTCGAATGATATTATCAAAATGACCTTTACAACAAAAGAGACGGCAGATGAAAGTAGTAGTAGTAGCAACAATGATGATTGTGTGTGTCAATCTGAAATATTGACAAACAAGTTTAAATTAATCAGAAAAACTGAAGCCAATGATGATCTTGATAGAATACCATATAGGGAAGGCCACACAGCCGTCATGAGACGAGGAAAGATGTATGTATTAGGTGGCAATGCAGGTCGAAATGGTACCTTTGAAAAAGAATTGTTGGTGTTTGATTTTGAGACATACACCATAGAGCCTGTTAATGTTAAGGGTGACTTGTTTTCACATCGTGCTTATCACTCTGCAACATATTTAGAAAAGTATGACATTATGGTGGTTTGTGGTGGAAAATTGAGACCTGGCCAAGGTAAGCTCACTATTTACAATTTGACATTTTTTGTAAAATAACTTTTTCAACTTGACATTGTTCTCTACACATTTTACAGGCGCCCCTCTTTCATCTCAATGCTTCATCTATCATTTTGCCACAAGCACATGGGAACTTCTAGATCCAACCATATTTAGAATGCCAACACTTTCGGGGCATCAAGTCTTGAAAATATCAAACAGTGTCATTGCTGTCGTTGGTGGTTCACACGTAGCCTATGGTAAAGCATCAGACATGTCTAAATTTATTTATTTGTACGATGTTGAAAGTAGAGAATTTTGTAGCTTTGACTTAACACATTATGGCTACAAGGGTAGATATTCGATGCCTGCTGCGTACAGTGAAAAAAGCAAATTAATTGCAATTGGAGGAGGTTATTGCAATGACTGTGATGAGAGTTTATCACTAATATATTTGGACATTACTCGCTCTGCTTCCAAACATTTCCATCATCGACTTTTAAAACCTAAATATTATGATATTTCTGTTGTGACTTGTGAAGGTACTTCTAGCATTTAATCAGAGGTGAATGGTGGAAGGTCACAATATATTTCTTTTTGTAAAAAGCTATGATATTTATTGGAAATAATTTGTACCGAATGACTCTAATACAACCACACACGGAATGGAAAACAAAAACTCGGACAACAAAAATGAAAAACAATTCTACAAGTACTTGGGACTACAGCAACCAAACTCCAAATCGAACACACACTCTCCTATTCATCATCATCATCAGATACAGTTGCTAATGGTCGATAAGTGACATTATCAGAAACAGACTTGTTCGATGAGCGTCGTCTTGAATTCTTATCACCCGCACAAACACAACATCCAAATACTGAAATAATAATCGATGCCACTATGGAGAGCAACAATCCCAATCCATAAACCATCCATCGAATGACCATATACAAAAATACAGAGTCGCCAAGAGAGGAAATTTTCGATTGCTGCAGCACAATTTTACCATTCTGTTGTTGAGGTCCAATATCTGTTAAAAACAACAAGGCACATGCCACCGTATTAGAAGTCAAATTAGCTGAATTGGAAACATTTAACCACAAATTGAGTGAGGATCCCATTTCAACCGAATTCATTTGAGATGGTATTTCATTCCATGAATTTCCATGAGCAGTGGTGCTGACAGCATGAGATGATGAAAATACATGTGAACTCGTAATTGTTGTTAAATTATTTCGTGATATCAATTCATGACTTCTCAATGTATGATTCATGGCCACCAATTCCACAGTAAACCACGAAAATAATCCCAAAATTACTCCTCCAACAATGAACCATTTGAAAATCAAATATCCAACATGTGAAATGCAAGTGGTTTGTGCCATTTCACTTTTATCTTCATCATCCATCCAATGTTCATTCATGGGTGGAATTTGTGCATCGGCAGCACCATCTTCCACTCGTTCTTCATGACTCTGTGAAAAGATGAGTGATGGATTTTCAGAGAGTTTTTTTCGTTTCCATCGATCGAGAGCCAATCGTTCACAAATTTCTCCTCCAAAGCTCGTAAAGAGTACATTGATCCAATCTGCGAGTGTCAATGCAAATAATATGGTAAAAACCATACATTGGAAAATGAGAGGAGTGTAATAGGAATTGTTGGAAGTGTTGTGAGTGGAATTGTTGAATGATGACTCACTGCTGTGAAATGGTGATGACGACCAAGTCATAAAGATCGATGATGATGATGACGACGAACTACTAGTACTGCCACTGACAGACCCATTGGTCGATGGTTCCACAATAATAAACGGATCCGAAGTATAATTCTGTAATTTACTCAACACTGCATTATCCACTTTCACCGTATTGTAAAGTAAAATGGATGACCATATAGCAAATATCACACTAGGTAGAACAAGAATTGCCAAATCAATTCCAATAAATGTCCTCTTCACGAGTACCAAGAGAGAGGCTCGGGCAGAATGTGTGAGTGGAGTGTTGCCAGATGATGACAGCGACGACGTTGACAGATGCCTCCTGTTGCTAAACATTTTTTAATTTTTGAATAATTACGATAATGGATGAAATGACCAAAGAATATCTTGTGAATAATCATTGAACACAATCGTAGATTCGCACAAACTTGTAACCTCTTAAAGAATTATTCTTCCTTCCACACTCTTGGCTTGAATAGAATCAAATCATGCCAACAAAGAGATGTCTTTCTCAAACTCTAAACGATTTCATTGGCGTTTACATCAATTCCGAGTATTCTTCTAAGAGCGCGTGAGTTAAAAACTGTTCAAACACTTCCATATTTCTTTTTAACATCTTATAAGCTGTTGTAATGTTGAATATTGAGTTTCTGTGAGATATTTGATCTTTCACGTTATTCACACATTCTTTAAGGCTCTGTTTAAGGTTGTATAATCTTCCATCTGTAACAAGGTGCCTGGCAGTTTGTAATCGTTGTCGTAAAGGACGACTAAATAAAGGATATGTCACTGATGCATTAGCGTTGATATAATTAAACATTCCATTTCCTTTTAAAAAAGCATGGAAACTGTTTTGTAAACTGTGCTGGCTCTATTCTAACGTCTATTATTTTCAAATCACCACTTGGAAGAACGAAACCGAAATTGGTTGTATTATGAATCACGTCTCGTATGTTGAACACTCTTATTATGATGTCTAACAAAGTCATCTGATTCACGAATTGATGCGCCTTCTCATCCAAGACATTTGTCTCGTCGAGTTCACAGTCTAATTCAACTCCTTCTTTAAAATGTTCCAATAAATTTACCCATACATGTCGTCCCAACACTTCTGGCTGTTCAATACATTTTGAATATTCATGAAAGTTTTCATCTTGACCAGCGTTAAGTGTTGCAATGTAGAAATCTTTTGCGTCTTTGCAAACAAAATGGACTTCAGGACACAATTGAAGCTTTTCTAAAACTTTGTACATTATGAGCTCAAGAGCTTGTACTGGTATTGGATCAGATGAACTACTTTCCTTCCTTCCATGAGAATGCGTTTTGATAAAATACCGAAGTGAGTTTTCATTTCCTCGTCTAATTACATTGATAATCACTCCTAATTGGCCTCCTCCTTGTTTTATGCTGAATGATATTTCACCTTCGGGATGGAGAATTTGGAAATATTGTTTACTGTACTCTTTGAGCCTATTAAAAGCAACAGCTTTTAGTTTGCTTTTCAACTTCAATACATCTAAATAACATTCCTCTTGCTCACCATTCATTTGCTCACATCCATTAAGGAGTATTGGTATTAAAAACATCCCAATCGACATCCCATTTAGCAACTTCATCAGAGCCAAATGCTTTTTCAAAACGGGCCTTATGTAATTGTTCAGCCAAATCTAAAAGGAAACGATATCTTGGAGTTTGTTTTTCGGGTTCAGAGGAGGAAGAAGGTGTGTAAGGGTTTGTTTTAAGGTTGATAGGATACATTTTTTAAAGTTGGAAAGGCGGGAAATTTAGGAATGTTCCATTTCAGTGGCATAATATATACGTTGCTATTACAACATTCGATTGAGTTGCATCTCTTCAATGGCAAGTTTCATATCTGTCATTTGTTGCACACATGCTTGCATGAGCAATTCTTGTTGCTGTATGAGTTGAGTGAGAATTCCTTCGTCAATGTTTTGTAAATCTTTACGAATGGTTGGATCCTTCAAATTGGACCAATCTCCCAAATCTCCAAAGGATGAACTGTTCCTAATTCCAGAAGCATTATTCGAGGAAGAACTTGAACCAAAGAGTAATTCATCCACACTGAGCCATGTTGATTTTTGTTCGTTTGATGACGATGGAATAGATTGAGATGGATCCATCACACCGCCTGTAATGGCTTTGGGTGCATTCTCAGCTTCATCAATATCAAGATCAATTCCCATATCTTCACTTTCTTTTTGTTTTTCCTTTTCTTCTGTTTCGTCTTGAGCTGCATCAAATTCTGCTAATAATTTGCTGTAAATACCACCAATAGCCATGGAAGGTAAGGCCATGACCACAATACCTGAGAGAATGGTCATGACAGCAATAATTCGTCCAGTTACGGTGACTGGCGTAATATCACCATATCCAACGGTGGCCAGAGAAACAATTGAGAACCACATACAGACCATAATATTCGAGAATGGTGATGGAGTACCATCGGGTCGAAGCCATGTGCCTGATTTAGCATCAAACAAACCACGTTCAGCATAATAAATAAGTGTAGAGCTGATAATGGCTCCCATTACTGTTAACACTACTAACGATAACAATAATTCAAAGGATCTTCTGATAGAAACAACAAGTAGTTGGAATTTTGCTGACAGTCTCGTCAATTTGATTAATTTCAGTAAACGTAAAATTCTAAACACTGTTAGTGTTTGTGCATAAAAGTGGTCGCTTAAATCTGCTTCATATAAAATCAAATCAATCCAAAAACTGCTCCAACTCATAAAATCAATAATATTCATTCCACCAGTTACAAAATGTCTAAAATCTCCCCAAGTATGCACATAGGCCACCATTCGCAAAATGTATTCAATCATGAAATAGATTGAGAGGAAACCAGTAATAAATATCCACAAAAACTCGAATTGAAAGAAGAATGGAAATGAACGCAATACCAAACATACAGTTTGGATAACAGTCATTAACGAAGAAATAATGGTAACAATCATGGCCACATAACTCGACCTAGGATGTTCCAAAATCAGGTACATTTTTTGCCTCCACGACCGGTCGGCACTATTCTTCGGAATGGAATTGATGATGGCTATCGTTCTTCTACTTCTGAAAAGTCTCGAGTGTGATTCCATAAATCTATCAATATCTACCGATCCTCGGGCTGGTGTTGTATCATCAAGAACCTTTTCCTCTTTGGTGAAGTCTTTTTTTGATGATATCTGTGCAAAAGCACTTGTCGTTGGTTCGCCATCATCTGCAGCAGTTTCAATGGTATTCGTAGGAAAATTCATACTCGATCCAAAACCTTTTGATAGTTTGTTATTATTGTTGAGCGTGGGATTTCGGGATGATGATCCATCTTCTACTCCGACATCAACGACCACTTCATTCATTTTTTTTAAGAATTAAAATCAAAAATACCCAAAACAATTAACAAAAACATTGGACACTGATCAACCACAGAAGGATCCCTGTATAGCTCCAAGATCTTTCGCTGGCAGTCTTGCTATGGAAATTGCACTCAAATCATGTAGAGATTCCCATTGAGAATTATCAAAATCTCACTGTTGAAAAAATGACACCACCACCTTTTCATGAAACCGATCTCAAGTTACAGCACGAGTATGATGAATTGCAACAACAAAAGGCTAATCTTGAACGGAACATTAAACAGCTCGGAGATGAAAAATCAGAATTGATGGAAACGTTAGAATCTCATACAGAAACTTTGCAAATGTTGCAAGAACGACTACAGAATGCTCATAGCGATATTGAAGAATTATGTGTAGAATTGGAACGAGCAATGATGGAACGAGAACTAGCAAGAAGAATGGCAGAAGAAGAAGAAGAAAGAAAGCGTTTAGAGGAAGAAGACCGAAAGTACATGGAAGAGAGAGAACGGAAAAAACAACAAGAATTGCAAGTTCATGCAGAATTGGAGAGGAAATATTCCAATATCAGTAACACCTCGACCACCACAACACAAAGTACCAACAAATCCATTGATCCATTATGGGCAGATCGTTTCTCCACTGATAACTCTCTTCAAAGGGAATACGATTCTCTCTTGATGAAGAGAGATGCCATCTTACAGGATCAAGGCAAGTTAATGGAAGAAAACGAGGGATTGAAACAAAAATTAATTTCTCAACATGAAGTGTTGAAAATGATGAGAACACGAATAATCACAGCAAGAAAAGATGTAGATGAATTGTGTGAAGAAATTGATATGGTCAGATGGCAAAAGGCTAATATCAGCAAGAAAGAGGCTAATAGTCAAAAAGAAGAGGCCAATAGTCACAACGACGACAGCACTCTCAGTATTGAGTACATTATGAGTCATGAAGATGATTTTTCAAATCCTCAACAAGTGATTAAGATTTTGAAAGATCACATTCGAAAATTAACCAGTCACAAGTAGTGTTAGCCATTTGTTGTTGTTGTTCGATAATGAATTCCACTGTACTTTCATATTTACCACCACACAAAGCACAAATCATTCATGATATATTAATTTATTTAAAATTCAAAATAACATTTTATAAACCAACACGCACAAATAACTTGTCAAGTGAATTTTCCAAAACCTATCTCACATCATAAATGAAACGAACAGCCAACAATGTTCGTCCCATAGGATCCACTAATTTACACTTCACTCGAGTCTTTGAAAGTAGCGAGTACACCACATCACGTTCAGGCAAAGTAATCACATAACGTTCTTCACGAGGTTCCAAATCAGAGACTTGAGACACAAATTCCAATCTCGAACCAACAGTATCAATCTTTTCATGGAATGAACACTGTGAAAGATATTCATTGACGTAGAAACGAATTTCCAATTTGTACTTCCATCTCTTTCTGAGTTTGATCAAGATTGGATTCGACTTGACTTCAATAGGTTTGACATTTTCCTTATCCTTTTCTGAGGCATGTCTCGTCACATAAACATAGGCAGCTTCCAACACCACTCCAGGTTCTTTGTGATTCACACGAACGACCAAATTATTGTTGTGAGGTTCAATAAACGTCTCGTTCGCATTCGAATCTTCCACAAAGTTAATATTCACAACATCATTACCACTTGGTGAGAATGAGAAGGTATCTGCAATGTTAATTGGAAGTTTCTTTTGAGCCTTCTTCATGATTGCATTCGACAAGACGTCCAAAATTTCAGTCTTCTTATCTGAATCGTACAAGTAATCGTATGAACTTGGAACATGCAAACAAAAATTGTCGTCGGCAAAAGGACTCATCGAAGCGCCCTCAATTTCATCCAAATCAATAATACGTTTCACCTTAAATTCTTGTGGATCAATATTGTAAATATGCTTATCAGTAATAATCATGATACGTTTCTGAGTTTTGAGTGATTTGTTAATTTTCAACACTTCTGAAGCGAACAGTAATTGAGTGTCTCCATTCTTTTGTAATAATTGTTGAACAAGTTTGTTGTAATAATTTGGTAAATAATCTCCCATGTGTTCTCTCATCATGGATGCCTTCTTTCTTGCTTTTCTTCCCTTATAAATATCAGCTCCAATGGATTGTTTCACCTCAGAAACGAGTTGATTCTTTTCGGCTTCTTGTGGAACGTTTTGTTGTTGTTCATCGACTTCAACATTGTTGACCTTAATGAGAGCACCCGTACTGGTTGGAATGATAAGAGTCGATTTCACTGAAAAATCATCTTGGAAATCAAGAGTTTTCACACCCTTTCCTTTGTGAACGGTATAGACAAGTTTGTCATCTACTTGTAATTCTAGTGATCGATTTTCAACCTTTTTCTTTTGATCCATAATTGCTTTGATGATTTCTGTTTTGGCTGGACTTGAAAAGAGATAATCATATTCATCGGGAACTTTCAAAATGAAGAAACCATCTCTCATGGTACTCACACTGATTCCAGAAATTTCTTTAAATGGAATTCTTCTTAATACTTTCAAGTCATTATCCAAATTGTAGACAGCTTGATCAGTGACGAGTAATTTACGGTCCTGAACGAGATATCGTTTGTTAATTTTCTGAACTAAACCGCTATACAAGAGTTGACAATCTCCAAATTCCTTCTTAATTTTCTCAAATGCTTTGGTGTTGGCAATGTGTAAATAATCTCCAAGATACCATTTCAAGAGAGAATCTTTTCTTCTCAACTTTTGTCCTTGATAAATATCTTGAACTACGTTTGTATCCAATTCATTACTCATCACTTCTTCAACTTTGACTTGAATTTCAGCTCCGTAATCGGTAGGTGTGACATGATTACCACGAATGGCAGTCACTTCCTTAAATTCCAATCGATTTTCATTACCCTTCTTCATTCTGTGTTTGATTGAATTCTTGACAAAGAATTTCATCTTGGCACGAGTGGCATTGGTGTAATTTTCTGAAAGAACTTTCAAAATTTCAGTCTTCTTGTTACTCTCAAACACATAGTCATATTCATCAGGAGTGTGAATCACAAAGAAGCCATCAGTATATGGAGAAACTGTCACTGCTTTCAATCTTCTCATTGGAATGTGTCTGTGAATAATGTAACCATTTGGATCAATGTTGTAAATGGCTCTCTCAGTGATCAACAAGATTCTTTCTTGTTTCTTGTACTTTTTGTTATACTTGGTCACAACACCACTGAATGACACTTCTTGATCTCCAAAATCTTCAGAAATCTTTTTCATGAGTTCTGATTTGGCCAAGTGAATATAATCTCCGTAGAATTTTTTATGGAAGGAAGTCTTTCTTCTCAATTTCATTCCATCAAAGACGTCATCACTTGGTTTTGAACTGACCAATAAACCTTCAGTGGTCACTTCGATCATTGTTCCAGATTTGGCATTGAAATTTTTCACAAACTTGACTCTCTTATTCAATGCCTTCAATGGATGGAATACAAATTCCTCACCAATATCTACACGCAATGTTTTAATGCTGTGATCATCGGTGGCTAGTGCTGCAACATTCTTTGAGAGATCATCATTCGATGAAGCAGGATCTGTGGCAGTAGATGGAGGAGCATTTGGATCAGTTGGAACATCTTTTCTAGGTGTAGATGAAGAGTTTGCTGCTGTATCTTGTGACGAATTGCTATTATTGGAAGGAGCAGAGTTGTCACGATTAATGTGTGAAAAGAATAAATCGTACGAGTCACGAATGGCCTTCATGACTTCATTCTTACTGTCTGCTTCGATCATTAAATCGTGAACTTGTGGAGCAGAAATAATAATAACCTCATCATTCAATGCAGAGCATTTCAAACTATCAATGGTCTTGTACTGCACACGTTTGAGAACGGTATATGTCTTTGGATCTACCAGATAAATGGCACTTGGTGCAACGACGAGAAGTTTTCTTTGACGTTCTCCAGTCTTCCAGTTAATTTGATTCACCAAACGTTGGAATAAATTGTCACACTTTTCACCAAATGTCTTTTCCAAGGCCTTTTGTAAATGTTGTTCAGCGAGAACCTTTTGTCTGGCTTTGTACTTTCTAAAATTTCTCTGAATGATAGAAGCCATTTCAATTCTACGAGAGGCAATCTTTTCATCCAATGCAAACAATTGAACTGGAGTTTGTAAGAATACCTTACTTTGACCTAAAGCATACTTGGACTTTGGTATTTTCATTTCTTGTAGAATTTTCTTAACTCCAGCCTTGGGAGAGCCATTCCAACGTGGCCATGTAGCATCTGAACACATCTTGTATCGATCTAAAAATTTATCAAAATCCATCTTGAAATAATAACCACTGTTTCGAATGTGAACATTTTCTGTAATTCCCAAATATTTCACTTGTTCCATGACGACCTCATCCAAGAATTCATTGGGTTTCTTTTCATGATTAGGTTTGATACATTTCACAAAATGATGATGCTTTCCTTTCATTTTGCCCACAAATTTGAGAACATCTTCTGCAAATTGCATGGTCGTTGTTTTTTGCAATTTACCAAAAGAATCTACCTTTTCATCTCTAGGGAAAAGTTGTTGCATTAAATTCGATTGAGATCTTCTCATGGCCAAAACAAGATCTTCAAAAAGTGTGTCCTTATTCATAGTGACCCATCCCTCGACATCATACGTCACTTTACCTGCAAAATGTTTCAAATCGAAAATGAGACCAGCAAATTTCGATTTCTCATAACATGCATAACCTGTTCCAAAAGCAGTATTCAATTTTTGCATGTATCTTTCATCGGTACCATTAGGAAAGAGTGATTCTTCATCCAATAATTTGTAAATACCTAGTGGTCTTCCTTCAATGACTTCCACCGTTTGATCGACGTTTTTGAGTGGAATGGGTGTGTAAGGAATTCCTTCTCTCACATATTCATCTTGTTCGGATTGAAGCCATTTCTGAACTTGTTGTTGAATCTTTTCATTCACATAATTGATATTGAGCTGTTCGAGAGAGTTCTTTTCTTTGGTATACTTTTCATAAATTTCAAATCCATAAATGTCTAAAATACCAATGGAATATTTGGCATCGTCAGGTCTCTTCACAGCACTGTTGATACGACGAATGAGCCATGCAAAAAGTCTTTCGTAAATACCTTTCGCAAGAGCATCTCTATTGTATGCAGATTTCTCTGCATTTTGTAACGTTTTCGTTGCCTCTCGACCGACGTGAATGGTTCTGTAGAGAATGGCATCTCTCAAGACATCGTAATCAATTTGAAACAAATAGGCAGCAGTTCTTAAAGTGTCCTTGTTTTCAATTTCAGCAGTTTCCTTTCCATTGTTATTCACTTCTTTGAATTTCACATTTCCCAAATGTAAAATACCAGCGCACAATCGAAAGATTTCCATTTGTTCCAAAACGCTGATACCTGCCTCAGTCATACTCTGTCTCGTATTTTTAAATTCTAATTTATCATTCACTCCTGAAATGGTGAGCGCTTGATTCGATGCATTGAGACCATTGGCAGTCAAGTAATTGAATTTTTTGGCATCGTCCAACTTTAAATCTTTTTTCATCGATTCATCAGCACCTGCACACATTTGATAAAAGATGTGAAAGTTTCGTTCTCCTTTTCGATGAGTCACCACTCGAGACTTTTCCAAGAGTGAGGTTGTAATGTGTGCTCCTTCGAGTTGTCCTTTAAAATTGAAGAAAATTTCCATGTATTTACCAAATCGAGAGGAATTGTCATTACGAAGAGTTTTAGCGTTACCAAATGCTTCTAACACTGGATTGGCTTCAATCAGAATACGTTTAATGTTTTCTGTAATGAGACCACTGATCGAGATGGCACTAATATATTCTAAAAGAATTTTACAACTTTCTGTTTTACCTGCACCACTGTTGATGTGAAGAGTTTGTTGTTGTTGTCGTCGTCGTGTTGATGTGAAACAAGAGGGTGTAACAATTGTGTTGATGTGATTGTTGTGATCATACCAATGATTCGAAGAGAGAGAGACGATGATGTTGATGAATGATTAAAGAGACATGATGACGGGTACGTGTTGTGATGACACGCACACACATGTGAAAATATCCCATACAATCACATGTATGAGAATTGTAACATTCATTAATGACGATGAGAACAGTGTGAAAATTTAAACAAACACATACCTTTCACCAGAAACAATCACTGTTTGTCCTTGACCTGTTTCTTTCATTTGACGATAGGCATCTTCAGCCAAAGAGTACAAATGAGGACCAATTTCATAGGGTTGCTTGGCATGATAGAATCTAGTGTGTTAAAGAGTCAAAAATTACATCATGGTCAACAAGAGAATCATGACACACATTCCAACATTTTTTTAAAGTGTCAAATTTTCAAAACCAATATTTAAATTCCATCGTTATAAAACAAAAACAATAACAACAACAACACCAATAGGACTGACTACTCACGTTTTCACATGATTCTTGTAATGTTTTGTCTTTTGATAAGGATTTACAGCAATAATTGTTGGTCCTAAATATGTATAAAATTGTGAAGTTCCTCCATTGATGTCTGGTTGTTGATTATAAAAACGATTTCTCAAAATTCGAGTCACTGTTTGATCGGTTGGTTCTTTGAGTAATGATAAATCATCAATTGTATCCGATTCAAAGTTTCTTTTATATAATTGATAGAGAGCAAATTCGGAAGTTTCATTGGCACTATCTAATTCATTGGGATTGACCGATTGAACCACAACAACTTCAGAATCTTCTTGTGGGGTTGAAGAAGGAGGTTGTTGTTGTTGTTGAGAAGAAGAAGAAGGAGCATTGTTGGAGAGATTGGGTGAACCACTGCCAGCACCACGAGGAGTTGTCAACATGTTGTTGTTGCTGTTGTGGGTTCGATAGAAATTGTTGTTATTGTTTTATATATTTACGACTCGTGTGTGTGATGATGATAATGAAATTAAAGAGAAATATTGGATAGACGAGGATAACAAAAAGGGTCGATGGATGAGAATGTTATATATTTCTTGTATTTTCAAATCACACACACTCTTTGGCTTTGACAACCAACAACAATGGTGTTTCTGATTTTTTTTGATAACTGACTGGTTTGATGGATGCCGCCAAAACAGCTGACACTGCGAATTAGAGAGTCGTTGCTCGCACGGCCTTTGGTATTGTGGAAGAGACGCACAATTGGAACGGTTTACTTTTTGTTGAAGTCGACTTCAAGAAACAATGACACAGAAGAAAAAGTAGAAAAAATTAGGCGTCGTATCATACAGGCCGTTATTAACGAAATACATTGCTCGTTCATTAAAATTATATAATTTTTCAACATCTGTGCGCACGTTAAAGTATTAAACAACAACAACAACAACGGCATTACTATTGTACGCAATTCCGAATGGCTCGTAAAAAGTTTTTAAATTTGCAAGAGGATGATGAGCAACATCAGGTAGATGGAATAGATCAGCACGCATCCGATGAAGAAGAACAAGTAAATCATAAGAAGAACCATAACAACAAGCGTAATGGAACTACCAGGACGAACATGGAATTAGAGGAATTGGGTAATGAATTTATGGATGATGAGGCTCTTCATCAGAACTCTACTTCTGGAGGAGGAGTGAACGGTAATTTAGTCATGGACGATGATGATGAAGATGTAAATGCACCCTATTATAAATCCAACACGTTAACTTCGCCCTCAGAAGGAGCACTGGCTAGTAACAATAACCTTGCATCACCGGAAGAAGAAAATCATCAGGCACACGCAGTGGCTGCAACGCCTCTTCCAATGAAACAATTAGCTATTGTGTTTTTCATATATTTGGTGGATAGTTTAAGCTTGACTGCAATTTTTGCATATATTGGATTCATGGTTGCAGATTTCCATATTGTTGGTAGGTTCAGCATGTTTGGGTTATATATTCTCAATTCTTTTCAATTTCTTACTTGGTTTGTGGTGCATTTTCAAATTTCAATAATTTATTGTACTTGGATCCAACTACTACGCACACGGACATGTTTTCCTTTACTTTGAACATTCATAGATGATCCTCAAAAATTGGGTTATTTTGCTGGCCTTATTGCTTCCTCCTATTATCTCTCTCAATTGTTTTCTAGCTTCTTTTGGGGTTATTTGAGTGACGTTGTCGGAAGAAGACCAATTTTATTAATTGGCGTGACACTTGGTTCTCTTTCGTGTTGTCTATTTGGTTTTAGCAAATGGCTGTGGTGGGCTATTCTTTCGCGATTCCTTTTTGGTTTGTTGAACGGTAATTTGGGAGTGACCAAGAGCTATTTAACAGAAATTACAGGTAAGTCATGTTAGCAAGAAGTTTAAATGGAAATTCGAATGCCATCTTTAATTTACTATTTTTTGAATTTAACATTTTGAATCTTTTCTGTTTTTCAAAAGACGGTACCAATAGAGGCAAAGCATTTAGTATTGTAGGCGTAACGTTTGGTTTGGCTGCTGTGTTGGGCCCACTAAGTAAGTGTTGACTTTATATCTTGAGAGCTATGAATTTTCAACTGTTCAATAATTATTTACACACGCTAATTTTCTTTCGATCATGAATCTCAGTTGGGGGAGTGTTTTCAAGACCAAACGTCCAATATCCAGAGTTTATGAAACTATTTCCAGAATGGGTTCAATACTGGTGTGACGTTTTTCCTTATATCATTCCCAATGTCATGGTGACAATCTTAGGTTTAATTTCAGTCGTACTAGGTTATTTCTATTTAGAGGAAACCAACAAGGAAAGTAAATATTACAAGAAATATGTTCTGAAACAAAACACGACTCCAGCAAAGGATTTAGAAGCTTCCTCCTCTGTACAACAATCAAAATCCTTAGCTGCTGCTGTCGATACTGATGATGAGGCAGCCATCCAACCTAAAAGAAAAATCGAATGGCGTGCACTATTCAAACATGAAATATTTGAGGGAATTTCCCCTCTTGTCGGTTGTTTCTTGTACATGTTGGTTGGTTTTGCTCAAGTCATGTTTGATGAAGTTTTTCCATTGTATGCCATGTTACCAGTGTCAGATAATGGTTTAAATTTCACGCCCTATGAGAGTAAGTAGCCTATGAGAATTATCAAAGTAATAGTATTCTAATGAATGCAATTGAATTGCTAAACTCAAATGATGCATATTATCTGATACAAAGTTGGAAGTAAGTATTGGATATTAATAACATTGCGATTGAAATGTGACCATTTGAATTCATATTGGTGTTGAACTGTGTTATTTATCAATTGTTAAAATAATACGATCATTACACAGTTGTTGGAGCTATTACAGGAGGTTTCATTTTCCTTAATCAATTGGTATTTGTGCCATTCTTAATGTCGAAACTTGGATCCATCAACGCATTTCGTGTTGGTCTACTCATTCACACAGTTTCTCTAGTTATTTTCCCAGAAGTTTGTTGGTTTGGAAATGATCCTGAAAATCCACAGACATGGAAGAGTGTAATTTTGTGGACTTCTCTGAGTATTATTTTGTTAGTAAGACAAATCGGAGTGGGGCTCATGTTCTCATGCTCATTCGTCTTCACATCGAACTCGGTGACAAACAAGAGTCAAGGAGTTTTGAATGGTGTCGCTCAATCGATGATTTCCATTGCAAGAATGGTTGGTCCGCTCTTAATTGGAGTGAGTTTTGCAGCAATTGTTTCAAGCGGTATTGGATTTCCAATCGATCATCGTTTAGTATTCTACTTTATTGGAGGAACGAGTGTTTTTTCATTTGCATTAACCTTTGCCATGAAGAAGAAACTGAATGTTCCAAAAGATGAATTATTACAGTTAATGAATGAAAAGGGGCTGCCACTCGAAGAGGCATATCAAACGCTCTTCAAGAGAAAGGGTGCAGTTCAGCATGCTGCAATGGAGTAATTTTGTGGTCGTGTCGTGCAATACACGTCGGAATAATAATTATTAATTTAATAGGTCATGTTCTGAAATCCTTGCTATTCTTGCTCTTGTCTCTGAATCTTGATTGCTGAGATAATTGCCTCATTCAAATCATCTTTGGAAATTGGCTTGTTCAAGCACGAGTCAATGCTATCCATATTGTTGAATTTATCCATTAAGGCGTCAGCAGTAAGAAGAATGATTTTAGTCTTGTCACCATTTGGTAACGATCGTATTTCATTGGCAGCTTCAATACCATTCTGAAATTGTAGTCGAGGTTAGTGTGATACAATTAATTCCGCAAAACATTAACCTAAACAGTCATTTCTAAAAAAACACTTACCATGCAAGGCATGTGCAAATCTGTTACAATAATATTGTGATATTCGTTTTTAAAGGCTTCCACAAGCTCAAATCCATTTGAACTTGTTGTAATGGATTTAAACCCTCCTTTTTCTAGTAGTTTTTTCAGGACTGATAAATTGATGGGATTGTCCTCAGCAAGAAGAATTTTTGTTTCGTAGATGTCATCTGGAACAGTGGTTGCTCCGTTCGGTGTGGGTAATGTTGACGGTGATGAAGAATTTGGATGTTGTTCCATTGAAGTTGGTGGAGTCAGGTGATGACCGTTCATGTGCACTATTGTTCCTACTCCTTTTGGTATATTTGGTTTTGACTGTCGCTTCTTCATCATGTAAAGCTCTTTATGAAGTAGATGAGTCTTCTGAAGCTCTGTATCAATACTATTTCCATTATCTGTCTCGTCATCTTTGGCAAGATTGGAAGTAGGTATGATACTTGAGGTGGCTGACACTACACTAGCCTCTCCATCCCCTCCGGAAAGGCCATTCGAAACGATGGGATGAGATCTCAGAATTTCCTCGATTTGCTTCAGAGAATTTTTCTTTTTTCGATCTGGAAGTTTGAAAGGTATGGAAATGGAAAATGTGGTTCCTTGATTAGGAGAGGGAGCACATTCTGTCTTGTAAGAAATACCTCCTTTCATGTTAATAATAATTTTTCGTAGAATAGTTAGTCCTAGACCTGTCCCGATAACGCTACCATCACCTGTTCTATTGTGACTCGAGAATGGCTTGAACAATAATTTTTGAACATCATTTGGAATACCAACGCCATGATCAATCACACGAAATACAACAGTTTTTGTAGCTACGCTTTCTGAATTTGGATCAGAATTAAGAACTGTTTCAGGTGAGGGTATTCTTGGTTTCACAACGATGTTTTCTGGTGTGTTGGATCTTCCGTCGTCGACCAAATCTTCAGGGTTGTCGTCCTCTGGAACTTCAACTGCAAGTGTAACCACTTGATTTTTTTGGGATGCCTTAATAGAGTTAGTAAGAAGATTAATGAGAACTTGTTGTAAACGCACGCTTTCTCCCAGTACATAGGGCGGCAGGAATTTGCTACTCACAAAGTCAATAGTGACATTAAAGCTAGAGGCGTACGCACTTGCAATGCTCTTGACATGTGAGAGACAATCGGAGAGTGAGAATACTGTTTTTGAGGTGTCGGCCTTTTCCTCTTCATCTTCAGGGCTATTGGTTTTTCCAAGCATTGAATTGGTGGCAATTTCCATGTTTGTTTTCTCTAGCTTCGAATATTGAAGAATATCTTCAATGAGGGTGAGCAAGATGCTACTACAGCTGCCAATAGTTTTAATGTAGCCTACTTGCTCTGATGTTAGGGGAGTATCTAGCAGTAGCTCAATACTTCCAGAAATGCTCATCTGTTAGTGACACATGATTTCGCAAACGTTGCAACAACAAACATTCATGAATTTGGAACAATATATGAAAATGTTGAAAATGTGTCTGACACAATAAACATGACCACCTTGTAACTTACCAATGGAGAACGGAATTCATGAGAAATTGAACTCACTAAGGCGTTTTTGGATCTGTTTGCCTCTTTCAGTTTGCTCGTCATTAACTTCATTGTATTGAGACGGTTCATCAATTTGTAACTCACAGAATTCAACATGAAATTCAACACAGTCAAGAGACAAAATGTTCCAAATGCTTCCAGATGGCGATGATGGATTGCTGACAAAATAAATGCAATTCCAAATGACACTACATGTTGGGAAAGTATAATCCACATGATGGCATCGTAGGAATGCACACGACAATCCACCAAAGCATTCTGTAAAATAATATATGAATAATTGTGAATGGTGCTCGAGAGAAATCCAATCATTAACCATCCAACCGTGTAGTCCTTTGTACACAGCAATAGCCGAAGGAAAAACACAATGACATTCATGACAATCATTACTTTGCAAGTGTAAACTTCGAGATATCGTTGCCTTCTCGCCAATTCGCCCATATCAAGGGATAGATTTGAGGAAGATGAAGAATTTCTTGACGATATCAAAGTTCGTCCAAATTTCCAAAAATCTGGCGAGTAGAAAGGTGCTGAAGTGTCTATTGATGATTGTTTCGAATTCATAGCGAATGATGCTGCAGCTGTTGTTGAAGAATTAGGGGTGGTTTTTGATGAGGTGGAGATGTCTTGTTGTGATGAGGAAATTTCAATTTCTATTCTTTGTTCATTTTCCTCAACAACGCTGTTATGAATATTTCCATTATTATTATTATTAATTTCCTCAGTATTACCTCTATTGGTAGTATCAGTGTCAGTAGGGGTAGTGACAGCTTGGTTAGAGACAGAGTTGTTGTGATTGATCTGGCTCTGATGCGTGGAGCCAGTGTTAAAAAGGCCTTCTTCATGAATTGGCTCATCCAAATCTATGAAACGTCGTTTCACCATGCACATGATGACCAGTTGTTGTACCTTGGAACGAACAAATTTAAAATTAAGCACAATTGCCAAAAGGCATAGAAAGGCCATACATATTGGATAATCGGTAGAGTACAGAACGAGATAGGAGTAACATAGAAACAAGCAAACAGGAAGGAAAATTTGATGAATCTTCTCGTTGAGCATCATGGCTGCATCACCTTGAGGTAATAAGGGTGTTATGGAGCATGAGCCCAACAAGGATGATTGAGAAGATGGATTACTTGATATTGATGGTGAGGAGAGTGTTGCTGTTTCCGAAGAGCTGCTTCTTCGTTGTTGTTGTTGTTGTTGTAGCTGTGGGTCGTCGGAAATTGAAACTCGAGCCTTTCTTGGAGGAGTGGAAGAAGATGCATAGGAGTGAGGAGATAATAATTGTTGCTGAGTGTTGTGGTTGCAACTCTGCTGTTGAACCATGTGTGTAGGGGTTGCTGTCGCAAAGTTGTGTTGCTGATGATGTGTTGATAGAGAAGCGGTTGTTGTTGTTTCTGCTGAACACAGATGTTCTTCCGTACGACTACTCTTTTCCTCTTCGTCGTAACGGTGTTCGTTCTCCTTCAACAACAATGAAGTCGTCGTGGTTGCAGCCATCAGAGGTAAAGTATTTGGTGCTCGTATTTCCTCCGCACAAATGTATTCTTCTGTAAGAAGCGAAGAGGATGATGGATCGGATGTTGTTGTAACAGGAGATGGCTTCTCGTTAGGATCGTCATTGGATGATAGTGGTGGCTGTTGTTGTTGATCACTGGCCACCACACCTGTGGTTGCACTCGACATCTTTTGCGGTCGTATTTCAAAGACTGGCATTAAAACTTGTCGAGAAATTTTCTTTTGTCTACAATGGAGAAATGGATCGGCTTTTTTGGTATTTATTTTCAGGAGCTGCCGTTGTGGCGTAGTGTTCTCGCAACAATGGTGTTGATGGTCTGCTGCAGCTTGTTGTTTTTTACTAAAAATTGACTTTAAAGGTATTGAAATCACAGCATGCGATTGGGAAGGAATGTTGAAGAAAGGAGATGAAGTATACCGAGATCACAGGTTCGTTCTTTATTGCTTCATATGGCGAATGCATGGTAAACGAAAGAGGAAAGTGTTCAGAATTATTGGTAGGATGGCGTCTTGTCCTGTAGATGCTTCGACTTTGAAGCTTTAACCTTAAATGCTGAATAAACTTTTGTAGTCATTGTGAACAACAAGAGAGTTGGAACTTGGCCAAAAAACAAGAATTTGGATAACAAGAATCCGTGGATGTGGCCGAAACAAGATCACTTCCATGGTGTGTGAATATGATCATAAGTCTTGCATAAACAGGCCATGACCTGTTTGAGCATTGCAATTACATTCTGTTACTTGTTATGATTAGTTCAAAAAAGGTATTTAAATTCAAAACTATTATTGTTTTGATACTCAAAAGTACTTGTAATGGATAATTTCAAAATATATGAAACAATATTTTCAGCCATGTAAATATGAATAGTTTTCTCAACCCTTCTCTCTATGAGCACTCGAGCAGACAAGGATTCAAAGAATAATAAAAATTGAATATACCTCATATTCGAGAATTTACAAAAGTTGACCCAAGCCAAGTTCAACCGTGACATTATTGTTGCTGCTCTCGTGCTTGTTTCTCTTTCATGTATTCTGCTTCCAATGTGAAATAACTCGATCCGAGATACATTTGTAATTGAAGAGGAGTAGCATTTCGTACGTTGACCTTGACAAGTTGTTTTCCGAGTTGTTTGTGAGCTTCGAAACGATGACATCCTCCAAAGACATACAAACATCCACTCGGAGATCTTCAAAAAGGAGATTCACATTGTAAAATATTGTGAACAATATGAGCGATTCATGGGTCCAACATTGGTGATATGATTCGAAATTCAAGTTTTAGGAAATTAATGAAATAATCATTGAATAAAAATTGAAAATAAAAGCACCTACCTGAGGGCTTCAATGGGAGGCACTTTATCATAATCTTCTTCGATGGTATTCATCAATGATTCCACTTTGCAATAGTCAAGTTCAGGAACGATGGGCTTTTTGATTTCATTAATGTCAACCAATTGAATGTTATTGTATGCAATTTCGAGACGATCGTTAGGTTGTGGATTTGTTGGAGGTTTAACATAGTTTTCGGGAACTTGGATGTGATACTTTTGTTGTGACGACATTTTTTTTATGCTTCAAAATATCATTGCATCAGGATTGCATAAATATGTATTCGGATTTTAAAAACGTGCGTCCTTCCTTTCGCGATTCTTCCCACGGAGCATTTTTGAACATGCCATTCATTTGAAATAAATTTAATGTACGGTGAGATGGTCGAGCGGTCTAAGACGACACGTTTAGGAATGGTTAAATTCCGTGTTCCGCAAGGGCGTGGGTTCAAATCCCACTCTCATCAAAATTTTTTTTTTTGAAAGTGCCCACTGCACGGCGAAGCAAACAGTAAGGATACTCTAAAGACAGGAAATGTCATCTCAAATAGACTCAAAACACATCTTTTTAATCATGCATCAGTTCCTCTCGCAATGTCGTTGTGGTAATATCGTAAAACCATTCGGGCACGACAAAGTGTTCCACCACACTAACCTTATCATTGCTAAATATTCGTTGGGTCTTGTTCGTAAACCATGATGCAAATATGGTTGGTGTAATTGCTAATTCATACGCCGTGCATGATTCCTTATTGTAAATTGTTGAATGTAACAGTCGGCCCAAATGAGCTGTATATTTGTTAATAACATCTCCAGGTTGATTATTTCGCAATGCCCAATCCAATCTCATGTCACAAATGAGAAAAGCTTGTTCAATGTTCAAAATAGTATCGGGATATCTCATTGGTGTATCATCACTGTTTGTATCAGGTAAATATTGACCAGTGTATCCAAAGAGAAATATATCAGCTTGTGTTTCAAGTTTATCACTTGCGTCATTCCAACATTTACCTGTGGTAAAAATTGTGAAATGTTGTGAAAAAGATGAGGCCCATCCTTCATAATTATTTCACCACAAAATTCATAAACTTACAAATTTCTAGATATGGATTGGCGATTGCCTCCGTTTCAGAAATTTGAGTATGCTCATCTTCCATCCGATTCATACTACAAATTGCCTTTTGGCGTAGTGGTTTCTTAATCGTCATGGTTTGATGTTTTCGTATCAGGTCCTTCATAATGTCCTCCAAAAGTTGCTTCTTACGGCTCAATCTTGAATGTTCTCTCTTTTTCTCTAAAATTATACTAAATGCTTCATCTTTGGTAATTTCTTCAATAAGGGTCGTAATCACTTGTGATTTAGTTTTGTATACTGAAAATGCTGAAGATAATTGTTGATACGGGTGTGAATATTGAATCATGGAATTAATGTCCCTCAATGCCATATCATACAATTTCAATTGTCGATAAATATTCTCTCGCTGACCATAAGTATTGACATCACCAAAATCAAATCCATATTTTTGATTATAATTTCGTGTCATGATAATTGAGAGAGTGGCATATTTTACAGACTTGTGTAAATAGGATTGTTTTTGTTTGTTATCTTCTTCCAACTCGGTTGCCAGATGATAATACGATTGTGAAATCATGGAGGGTATTTTGACCAAATAAAAATCATTCAAGATGAATGAATGATCATTTTCAAGTTTCCTTCGTTTGGTTTTTTCTTTGATTTCAAATTCTGTTCTTAATTCTGGAGGTAATTCGGCTAGAAAAGAGCATTTTGTGTTGGATGCTTTTTTCCATATAGACTTGTACTCTCGAAGTGCTTTATCATACTGTGAATTGTAATAATGTGAATATGCCATCGTGTACATGGGTTCAACATCGGAAAAGAATAAATATAATCTCTCGTCCTGTGGCGAAGTTCCACATTCATTGAGAACTTTTCTTACTTGTTCGTAATAGTGTTCTCGTTCTCGTTTGACATCTTCCAGTAAAGTTTCACTCGATACAAAATTTGCATTGACAATATGTTTCCAAGCTTGTACGAGTGTAATAATATAGGTTGGAAAGGGTAGTAACTTGCTCGAATGATTTTGTTTTTGGTTCATCAAAATGGTGAGAGCTTTATCAAGATCGGCTTGTGCTAATTTTCGTGACTGTTTATGGAAATAGCTACTTTGATACCACTAATACCAAGAGAGAGAGCAGAAAATTGTGTAAAATTTGTGTCACATGAAGAACATTTCCATCATTGAGAGAAGGTGTTAAAATGATCAATTCAACATTTAACATGTTAATAATCACGCGGTAATAATTTTCGAAAATTATTACCAATAATTTTAAAAATTTTGATTAAAAATTAATTGATTTGTTTGGTTGGTTCAACATCATCCCGATGATTATCATCACAATTAAAAATTGATAAATGACACAAGAATGAATTCCATTCAAAAACTCACCCACGGAATCCATTTTGCTCTTTGTAACAATGGTTGATAACTATCAGCATTCTCACTCAAACTTTGATTTAATAGACCCAAACTTTGATTCGTCTTTCCCTCTCGCCTCCAAAATTGTTGTTGGCACATGACACGTTCCATTTCTAAATTTGAAGCAAATGTATTTTGCGTGAGAAAGGGACATTCCCGTAGGTAGTCTTCAATGGAGGCCGTTGGAGAGGACGAGTACGAGGATGATGAAAAAGCACCCAATAACGATCTCAACATTTTTTTTGTTATCTAGGACCCATCTACCCGAAACGAAATCTACCTTATAGGCAAATCGTTCAGTGTATGATACGCACACTTGGGAGCCACATCACTATGAATGGATGGATAGGTATGAGAGCTGAAGACTCTCACGTGAGGCTTGTTTTCAAAAGGATCAAAAGTATACGGCACAATTCCACGAGCCATTCCTTCACCCCAAACCACACTCTTCAAACGACAATTTACTAAGAGAGTTCCATCAGGCATGAATTGCATTGGCATTTCACCCATAAAAGTAACTCTTGGGAAGGCAACAGAACCATTGTTCTTATAAAAGAAGGTATAGTAACCGAAAATCAAGACCGAGTTGGCAGGGCGAAGTACTCGAATTACTTCATGTCAATCTTGGTTGAATTAACAACATAATAGTGGTCAAGCCTTTAAACAAACTGTCCCGTTCTCGCTTTCTAGTACACGAATTCTCTTGAAAGGAACATTACAATTCCATTAATTTCTCGAGCAAATACCAATAAATGTTCCCTAATTTCAGCCCTCAAAAAAATGTTTGGATCCCCTGGACGTAGTACAACCATCAATAACAATCCCGACACTGCTACTGACATTACTCTCTTGAATCTCGGTGATTGTTTGAAGAAACAATGGGAGATTCATAATCGATCAGTAAGAACATCCTCCAATGATGATGATGAACTTCATGAAGAAACAGAAGTTGATGATCCATCGTTCCTGACGCCAATCCGTGAATGCAATGTTGACGACCAGTACGATAATGACAGTGCACTCGTCAAACGTTGGATTATTTCAGATCAACAAGAAGGAAAGAAAAAACATTTATTCAATGATGGCGATTGTACAACATCAAACACCTCACAACAACATGACACTCTCGCAAATCTTCTTGAATTGATCCGTCAGCATCTCGATGACAATTCTAAATATGATATTTTGGAATACATTCCTACCTATTCCAAATGGGCTGTGTTTCAACAAGAAGGATCTTATCAAAAGTATCTACGTGCGATCAAGTATCCCTTCCATGATGCTTCACAAAAAACTTTACCACATCATCTCGAGTATCATCTTGACATTCCTTTCGTGACTTTTCACAAAATGAGATTGATTTGCAAACGATTCAATACACGAATGATGAGACGAATTTTACAAACCACAGAATTGTGCTTATTTTCCTTAGATGAACATACCTTGCCATATATTGCAACGTTTTTGAGAGTGCAACGATTGTTTAAAGAAAACAAGGATCGGCTCGCAACCGAAGTTATTTGCTTGTATGACGATCGACAACATTTACATATGGAAACGAGTGTTGGTCACGTTGCATCACATAATCTTTTTGGAGCATCACCATGTAACCAGTTACAACTCAAGGATCGAAACTTTTGCTCCAATTTGACACATTCTTTGAAAACTGGCTCAGTGAATACATTCTGCTTTGGTTCATCAGAAAGCGCTACAGATGTTGCTGCAACTATGGTTCCATCAAGTCCAATAATGAACATCTCAAAGAATGAAAAAGATGAACATCAAAATTCAAATGCTTCTCAACAACCAACATTCGGCTTTAGTTTTGGCGAATCTGTACCGACAGGTTCATCTTCGGTGGATCAGCCAACAACCTTTGACCAAACGACTACTACTAGTGCTACTTTTAGTTTTTCTTTTGGTTCTACCAATGAGAATGACCAAGAGAAGGACATGAATCAACAATATAGGACATTATCGGATGACGAAAATGAATATTCAACAACAAAAGCACCCACAACGAGTGAGAATGACAGTGGTGTGAATATTTCATCGACAGCGTCTGTTTTTCACGGCCTTTCAAATTCTACCATCAATGCTGCTGCTAATGGTGTTGATAGTGTTTCTGCTTCGAATACGAATGCTCACATTTCTCATGATTGTATGAAATCCAAGTATGAAATGAAGGCCAAAATTGGTTTTGGCTTTTGGAATGAATCTACAGGAAAATCATCCTATGTTCCGTGTGTGGAAGAAACGATTAACCATTATGCTGAGTCCAGTATTGAAGAGTCTGTTTGTTCCCTGTTCATTGGGGATAATACGACTCTGCAATCCTTGATCATTCACACTCCCTCAAGTGAGGCATTCTCCATTACCAGTATATTGAGCTGTTTGAAAGCATTGAAACATGTCGTCATTTGGACGGCGAATGCAAATGTGAATTTCACACATGAGTGTGTAAAGAAGGTAGTACTCGTCAACTCAAAATGTAAGGCCGATCTTGTGAACTATCTTCCAAATGTGGAGAAAATCGTGCTCTATTCGTGCAGTATGGACGATACTGTGACTCCATTTTCATTTGGAATCGCATCAACAGTTACACTCCAAGGGGAAGCATTTGAAACAACTAATGGTAGCGGCATCACTGAATTATTACAAGAATTCGATCCAAGAATTGCCATGAAGATCATTGAAAAAACCACCAAAAATCAAAAAGGTGTTGGCTATTCATTTAACGGATCTTCACAATTATTGTTGAAAGACATTTTAAAACTAGCTTCTGACGTTGATATTGAAAAAGCAAAACAATTCATTTCGTACGTGATTAAGGATTTGAGAGTACCTTGTCAAGATTTGAACTTGTGTGAATTATCTTTTAATTCATTGACTGATCAATGTATTGCACAGTATATCGTTTATTTATGTAACGAGTATCAAGGAGGAAGATTATTGAGAGTACCAGGATTGCATGACAGAGGATCTGAAGAATTTTTGTTGTTGTTATTGAGCTATGGATGGAATTGTTGGAAACAGAAAGATGAGTTGATTTACATGATGTGCTCATGGATTACCAAGCACCACTACATTTTGGAATTTTTATTACGAAATTTTTACAATAATTGGGATGTGGATGCCTTATACTCATTGATGGTACACTGTTGCCGGCGTAAAAGAATACGAGCTCTCGATGCCATTCTCTCATACTGTTTAGTGAACAAGGAAGAAGTATTGATGAAAGCTCTGACGATGCCTGTGAAATGTTTACACATTCCTTCAACATGGGAAATGAGAGCGGCCTCTGTTGACACTTGTACAACTCCACTCCTCGGATTAGTCATTCAATATTGTGCCCAATCCTATGGTGGATTCTTGATGCAACGAATAATTGAAAGAATGAGCCAAGAACAATTTGATAGTCTTGGAGCAAATGAAAATGGTGATAACATTCTTCATTTGTTTGCTTTCGCTGTGAATTCGACGAAAATGAGTGGATCTCTTTTGTTGACACTCATTCGAAAAGCACCTCATTTACTTCGAGCTGAAAATTCAAAGAAACAGACTCCATTAATGATGATTCAACTGCCTGAATCGTTTTTGGAACGTTGTATCGAGCAAGAATTGGGAATTGAAGGGCCATTGGAGTGGAATCGAGAAACGCTCGAAGTGTCAAGTACTATGTCTTGCCAAATTGAAACAACAACAACCAACAACAATAGAAGAGTACTAAAAGCAAGAAGAAGCAAAAAGTGAACATGGCTATTCCTCCAAGGGCCCCTATCAACTCAAGGCAGATTGGTGATACAAATAGGAATTCTTGTCGTGCAATTTTATGCAGTTTTATAAAATTTCTCTACGTTACAAAAAAATGAAATTCTCCATTCATTGCTTGGGAGTAATGACCATGGATTATTTGGCTATCATGAATGAATTTCCCATTCCGAATAGCAAAATGAGAACAAGTTCTATGGAAATGCACGGCGGAGGAAATGCTGCAAACGTGGTGTTTCATTTAATTCAAATGATGAGAGAGAAAATACCCACAATCATGATGGACAATGAAGATCAATACACCACAAATAAGCCAAACAAAGTTCAGCTAGAATTCATTGAAATTGCTCTTATCAGTAAAATTGGAAATGATGTCGTCGGAAAGGCAATCTATGAAGAATTTGCCCAGTTACAATGTCATCATGACGATTCGGTCGAACGAACAACTATTGATTTGAATTTGAATAATATTGTAAAATCACCATCGGCTCAGTCTGCCTTTAGTTTTATAATGATTACACCTAATAAGCAAAGCGGAAATGACCGAACCATTATTAACACTCCACTTTCGGAAGAGTTTTCGTTTAGTGAGCTTACTCAACAACAAAAACATGCCAATATTGACATTTTGTTTCTGGATGGAAGATATTCTTCAGTTGCGATTTCGTATGTCAACACTCACACACCAAAATATGTCATGATGGAATGTGAAAGAATGCGGCCGACTTTGGAATTGAACACATTCCTAGAATTAATTACCAAGTCACATAGCCTGTTCTTGTCCGAGAATTTTCCAATGGAATATTTAAACTATGTGACACAATTGGATAGGCACGATTCACTGAATACATGGATCAATCAATGTATTTCCCAAGATGGTTATGATGCAAGATTGATATCCATGCACTTACTTTTTTCTCAATTGTCATGCAATAATGTGGAGGTACCAACTTTTATAACCTGTACACTTGGGTCGAAGGGATCCATTGGAATGATATTGCATAAAGAAGAAGAGCATTCACTTGAGGCACCACATATCAAGACAATGGAACAACTTATTCAAGACAAAAGTAGTAGTCAAAGTGACAAATTTCCTCAAACTACATTGTCAACATTCTCACTTTCAGGCCCGTCAGGAGAAAATTTCCAATATGCACTAATCTATTGTACAAGCCATAACGATTCCAAATTTCCAAATATTGTGGACACAACTGGTGCCGGTGACGCATTTAATGCAGGCATGGTTTTTTGTATGAGTAGATTTCTAATGGAAACAACACATCGAAAAGAACAACGAAAAACACCTACTCTCACCATCTATGAATTGGGAAAGGCCTTAAAATTCGCAAATATTTCAGCCTTCTACACGTGTACTGGCGTTGGTGCAAGAGGTGCAGGAATTGATCACGAAAAGGCAGAAAAATTATGGAACGAATTGGAGATGATGTGAACTTTGCCAACTCCCTTTTATCCTGTAGAGAAATCAGCTGATACTATCGAAATTTTTGAAGAAAACAACACAACCAAAAACAAAATTTTGGAGCAGAAGGGAATCGAACCCTTGACCTCATGCATGCGAAGCACACGCTCTACCAACTGAGCTACTACCCCTTAAATTAATTAATGAAAAATAATGAAAGTGTGCAAAAACCAAAAAGTTGTGGACACGGACGGTATTAATTTAAAACGGCGTCTTTGGATTTAATAGAAATAAATACAGTAATACCGTGCTATGAGATGAAGACAGTTTTGAAGATAGAAATTTAAAAACCTCTCGACTTAATTTAATGTGAAGGTGATATAGCTCAGTCGGTAGAGCGTTGGTCTAATAAGCCATTGGTCGTCGGTTCAATCCCGACTATCACCAAATGTTTTTACCTTTTTGAAAGAACCCTAATCAATTTTATCTTGAAGCATTCTGGTTGAAATAAAGATGAAACAAGACTTCAATTTAAAAAAAAATCCAATTAATTGATCGCCATGTTGCACGCCAACTCTTCACCACAAAAATCTATTACTTCGATCCGATCAAAGATTGAGAAGAGAAAACGAGTGTCGAATGTATGTACCTTTGATGACGGATCATTCTATTAAATTCCGATGACGACATTTTAAATTAATACCATCCGATCATTATGAACAACCATCATGTTGGGATTTGCAATTCAATCTTTATATTTCCAAAATTATCAAGCAGTTCTCGGCCACCCGTCTTGTTGATGAAGTCTATGGCTCGAATCACTCGATTGTGCAATCTCTTGGATGGAGTCATAAACTCGTTGGACATCATGTATGTAGTTAAATGTTATTACCGTCATTGTTGGAATCAATTTTGAAACACAAATTCGAATTTTCGTTTCACATTTTCTAAATGACGTTTTTCAATCAAATCACCTAGGGCTGTGTGAATGCCATTAATTTTAACACCAATGGAGATTTAATAGTCACTGGAAGGTAAGTCCATACATACTCATTCTAGTCCTATCCTTAATATGAAACATAACTCCAATCTTTTCATGAATCCCATCATGATTAATTTTTTGAAACTTTCATGATCCTCATCATACTTTCATACATGAACAACAACAACACCTTAACATTTATTGTTGAACCTAATGATGATGATGGACTCTCATACACATGTCATGGACTCTCACAGTGACGATGAAACAGTTAAAATTTGGAACACATGGACAGGAAAATGTCTCACCACTCTCTCTGGTCACATTAGTAATGTTTTTGCCACAAATTTCTTCAACTCGAACCATCATCAAATTATTAGTGGTGGCAATGATTCTGATGTTCGTTTCTATGATATTGAAAAAGATGTCTGTACAGTCTATCAACATCACACGAAAAAGGTTTTAAAAATTGCAACTTGTCCACTCTTACCTCATTGTTTCTATTCATGTTCAGCGGATGGTTCTTGTCGAATGTTTGATGTGAGATGTAAATATTCAAATTCAAAAATTGAACAAGAAAAGATTGTAAAAGAGACCAGAAGTGGTAGTAGTAGTAGCAATGGTAATAGTAGCACTGGCAACACTCATCATCCTTCTCGATTGAATGCTTACAGTAATTATAATGATACCATTTTACCTCAAGCCATTGGAGGTGGAAGAGCAATTTCGAGTCAAGGAGGAGTTGTTACCACAACAACAACAACAACCACCAATCCTACTCTTACTGGAAGTGTGTTGAATGATCATTCTTATGGTAGTAGTAGTAGTAGTAGTTCGACCAATTCCAACACACATCCAGTGAGTTCCTTGGTGGTCAATTATCGAATGCTCGAATATCATACAAAAACAGTTCCAACATTGTATAGTGTGGAATTAAATCCATTCAATCCTCATCAACTCATTATTGGTTCCTATCTTGGAGATACACGACTCTTTGATACGAGAAGGATTGAGAATTTTAATGCCAATTCTTATGTGAATATTTACAGACCTGTAGAGCCTAATTATGATCCGAGAGATTATGAAGTCACTGGATGTGCATTTTCACAAGATGGTTCAAAGATTGTGAGTACACATTTGGGAGATTATATTTACTTGTTTGATCGAGAGAGAAACTTTGAGAGGGATGAAGGTGTGGATTATAGTCGAGTCATTCCATCGCCAACAGCAGGTGCATCCTCGTCATTTTCACAGAGTCTTTTATCGAGAAGATCGAGAAATAACTCGACGACAACGACAACAAGGACGACGACGACAACCACGAGTGGAAGAACTGTTCATGAAAGTGTGAATGGTTCTTTTATTGAAGAAGAAGAAGAAGACGGTGAACGTGTGAATGTTACAATGAATGATTCTATGGAAGATCCAACTGCTCCCTCAACTTGTACCTACGAAAGAAAGTTCACTGGTCATTGTTCACGACAAACCATTAAGGGAGTCAACTTTTTTGGTCTCCATTCAGAATATGTCATTTCAGGAAGTGACGATTCGAATATCTTTATTTGGGAAAGAGAAAGTGGAGAGCTAGTTCGAGTGTTATCTGGTCACGAGGACATTGTAAATACAGTAGTATGTCATCCAGAATATCCAGTGATTTGTAGTGGTGGAATTGATGATTTTGTCAATGTTTGGGCACCCTGTAATGATTCCTTATTGTTATCGAGTGAGGAAATGAAACGAAGAAAAACTCATTTGGAAAGTGTGATGGAAGAGAATGCACACGAATTGGATGATGAAGAAGTGACACATATTCCAGCACACTTGTTGCAAGTGTTAATGCAATACTTTATGTCAAGAGGAGCAGATATGGAGGATGATGACGATGATCTTGACGATCTCGATGATTGAGAAACATAATTGTGTATTTAATTTAATGGATCAATTGTGAATTAAGAATCTGTATAATAATATGTATGAAATAATGACCTGTAAAAAAGAATTCTAACTGTACATTAAATGGAGGCTTTGGCCTTGTTCAAAAGCTCTGGCAACTGTTTTCATCATTTCTAGGTATAATACACCAATGAATTGGATTGAGCCACCACTCTCTTGTTATTGTTCTCTTTCCTCCTCTTCTTGATATTTCTTGACCAATTCATCAATTTTCTTAAATTGCCAAGGGAAAGCCACATTGTAGAGGAATTGTCTCAAATCAAATCGATTATCCTCTGGAGAATAGGATTCACAGTGATAGGCAGGTGTTAAGGTGGTCATTTTGTGTCTATTGATGGCATAATATTTGAAAAAGTGTTTGACCTTATTTGCAATTTGTTGAACACTCATCTTGTCTCTCCATTCATACACTAAATTTGTAAAACTTTCTACAATACCATTTCCTTGAATTTTACGTAATTCTCCAAAACGTGACAATTCATCATATGTTAATCCCATGTCCTCTTCGTCGGTTTGATTGGACTCTAAAGGTTGAAGTTCGGCAGTTGGCTTTGCAATTAACACATCCATCAGAGAAGGATATCCTAAATTTTGAGCAGCATAATACAAAAATTTCTTCAAATCTGTCTTACTAATACTTCCAATTGGATTAATATCGGCTGAGCTACAGTCATATTTTGTGAAATATCCTGTTCATCATATATGTCAACATCCAATCAGTGGTTGTGAAAAAGGTCATTGACACATGAATTCAACAACAACAAACCTCTTAAAGCTTCATCCACATTGGAAGAACCAAGCACTAGTAAATTTTTAGGCTGTGGCATGTCTCTACTCCAATTCATTAATTGAGCAAAGAAATAACTCACAACCATTCTCAATCGTGCTTGAATATTTTGTAATGCAATATTTTCGCCATACGTTCCATCAAAACGTGGTGTTTTTCCAGTCGATTGAACAAAGAGTTCTTTCATAGAGTCTACGACATGATCAATAGAAATTTCCATGTGATGAGCACCAATTTCTTCGGCGACTTTTCGTGCTCGATTTCGTGTGGTTGCAGAGCTATTGACAGTTGCCATGTAACAGGTGGTAAAGATGATATTGGCAATTTCTTTTGGTGAAGATGGAACCCAGGAATCATCCTTGCAACAAATTCTACGAATATCTTTCAGGATAATATTCTTATTGTATTCATCTTCGTAGGAATTGACTGGCTCTGTGCAATCTTTGTGAATGAGTTGACACATTTGACCTACAATGGCAGCCACTGAGGAAGAATCCGCACCACCAGACAGTGGTAAAAAGAATCCTCCCTATCATTTATATATATTGATGAATGGATTAAAAGCAAACAATGACCAATTCACAACGTGACATCACAGTAATGTTCGATTCGAATTCATTACAACATTGCATATATTGTTACTCACCTGATTGGAACGCCTCAAATAATCAAACAAGTAGCATGCAGGACCGAGTGCAATTTCCTCCACTTTGGAAAAATATCGAACTTCAACCGGACGTGTAGGTTTCAATCGTTGAGAATAGTGATCGTTTTTTAAGGTAAAGTCAACTCTAATTCGTGGAAATGCGACAGCTTCAGAAGCTTGAACTGCTCTACTTGCTATTTTGTTTCTGAAAGCTCTGACTTGATCTAAATCCACATTGGCACTATGTGTGAAATTATATGAATTTGAATGTCGGTAAGAAATGCGTTCGGGAACATATCAAGTGAGACGCCTGTGTTAAAATCATGCTTGAACTTACGTCACAACTTCAACTTCCTTAAGGGAAAATTGACTTCCCTGAGCTAGTACTGCTCCATTGACACTGATCATGGCACATCCATCAAAATATAATCGGTCTCCATCACATCCTTGTTGGTTAGCATACAAATAGACAAGCCCATTCTTTGCAGTAGCATTTCTAATAAGGTCCACTCGAGTATGCAATTTTCCAAGTGAAGAGTGAGAACCACTTCCATTACTAATAATTTCAACACCATCTAATCCAAGATAAATATTTGGAGAATTTGGAGTGAATAATTCTTCACAGGTTTCAACAGCTAACTATTGTCGTGGAATGATGAATGTATGAGCGCAGTAAAGCATCAATTATTTGTCATGAGTGAGATACTAATAAGGCCGACCTAGTTCAGTACTCACCTCCGTGTCATTGAGTGACACAATTGCATCACCAATTGGAACAGTTCTTTGTCCAGTTATTTCTCTAATAAAATCAGGCAAGACAAAATCTTCGATTGTAAATCTCTTTGTCCATGCACTAATGGACAGGCAGTATTTCAAGAATTCACGAAAATTAATGTGAATTCAGTCACACAATAAACTTACCAAAACCAACGAGTTTCTCTATAGTTTCCATCATTCGCTAGAAATAATTTTGGACTTGAGGAGTTAAGACGTGAAGAATGGAACCCAATTATTTTCTGCGACACAAATACTACCTCTGAATACCTACCGAATTAGGAGAAGCTTTTTGTTGTGAACAAAAACTCGACAATTATAATTGACTCCCTTATGCTTGATAGGCATTCCGATATCCACAAGAATATCATTGGTTAGATCGGTTGACAAAATTTCGGCCAAACATTCCATGGCTAAATATTGTGATATGAATGCGGGTGGTGTAAAAGTTCATCACGAACAAATTCGTGTGATGAAAAAATTGAAAAATAATGATCAAATGAATTGGTTATTAATATTTACAATTAAGAGTGGAATCGCTTCGGATCATACATACAATGAGTGTAGGTGTCTGTTTCTAAAAAGTGATCTTGACAACCATAGCCAGATAATTCCAACTCAGGACCCATTCGGTATCTTGCTCCCTTATCCTTGGCAATTTTGATGCTCTGTTTCACTCTCTCTAGATTGCCCGAAAAATCAAGAGCCCATTGATCCAAGTTACATGTGGCTAAAGTGACTAAATGCATTTTTTTATGTTTGAACTTTTTCTCGAGTTCAAATATGGTCAGATTTCGAATCTTGTCCAATTTTGAGTGCCACCACATACAATTTCTTGAAATTAATTCACTCAGATCTGATTGCTGCTGTCACGCCATGTCCAATGAGTACAAATAAATGGCAGGTAGAAACGGACATGTTTGGAAAAAATCCTCATGAAATTCTTATATTATTGAATGAGCTCAGTCAAGTGAATTTCTTCCTGATCTGCCAAAGGGCTCGATGTCTTTAACTCTACTCGATCAACGGTTGCAAAACGTTTCCTCATTTCCTCAATGGCTTTCTTAGATTTTTCATCCCAATCCTTTTCCTCGTCTGCATCCATAACCCATCCTCCAACCTTTTTCTTTTTCGGAGTTGTACTTTTTGACTTTGTTGGAGTTTTTCTCTTCTTTGGCGTGATTGCATCGTTTGTGTAGTCTTCATCTTGATTGTCGTTGCTAGTGTCTTTCTTTTTTCTTGGTGTTGATCGTGTTTTGCTCGGAGTTGTTTGTTTCTTCCTTCGTGCTGTTCTTGGAGGAGTTTTAATTTCCGTTGTAATATCATCATCACTTTTTTCTTCTTCCTCGGATGTAACAGTGACTTGATCTTCCCTTGCTGATGATTCATTAAATAATTTCAGGCTGTCATTTTTCAAAGAATTAATATTTTCATTTGCCCTATTCGTGACGACACTTGTTGTAGGTGTAGCGAATTGTGGAGGTGTTGGTGGTAGTAGTATGGATCTATTATTTCTCTTTGGTGTTGATAGTGCTGGAGAGGATATCAATACTTCATCATCTAGCTGAGTCAAATCATCAAAAGCCTCTCTCAATACCGAAGTATCAATTTGAGACAAATCAAGAACATCATTATGGTTTGAAGTACTAGGGGTTGATACTGATGATGATGGAGGTGCTGGACGAAGATCGTAACGAGGAATTTCAGCCGGCTCCTCTTCATTCAACAAGGCAGTTAGTAATGAGTCTTGAGTGGGTGGTTGGCTTGATGATGAAGTTTTGGGAAAGGAAACCGTTGTACTTGTTGTTGATGATGATGAGGTTGGCTTGGAAGATGAGGTTGTACCTACTCCGATAAGCCTTCTGAATTCTTCATCGCTGATCATTTATGAAAAATCGGGTTGATGATCAATTTTCTTTAGAAATTTTTTTTTGTTTGATTTATCATTTTGGACAATTCCAGCAAGACAAAGAAATTGTTAAGCTGATCTGCCAAACTTGCTATTCATTATTGACCTTCTCAAAATACTCTCTCGAATCTTTTGGATTTGCCTTCATTGTTGGCTTTCCTTGTTGCCATCCTGCTGGACAAACCTCTCCATGTTGTGCTACATATTGGAACGCTTGAACCAAACGCAAAATTTCATCCACATTTCTTCCCACATCCATATCATTCACTGTAATTTGTCTCAATACTTGTTGATCATCAATGAGAAATGTGCCACGTACAGCTGTTCCATCTTCCATTAACACTCCGTATTCTCTCGACAGAGATTGATCCAAATCGGAGATGAGAGGAATTTTGAGAGGGCCCAAACCTCCTTCATTTCTTGGAGTTTGTGTCCATGCAAGATGAGTGAATTCACTATCGACAGAGACACCAATGACTTGAGTGTTCAATTTTTCAAATTCTTTGACACGATCTGAAAATTGAATGATTTCTGTGGGACAAACGAATGTGAAATCGAGAGGATAAAAGAACAAGATGACATATTTGCCTTTATAATCACTCAAGTTGATGGTTCCGAAAGATCCATCTGGTAACAAGGCAGTCTTGGAAAAGGATGGAGCTGGTTTTTGAATTCGAGGTGTCATGTGTGATTCAGTTGTTGTTGTCAAGGTGTTTTTGTGTGAAAAATATTTTTTTTAATAAATACGGATTTTAAAGAGAATTATCCACAATGTGACAAGAAGATACGTAGCACCCCTCCTGTATTTATTTACCAAAAGGCGCTCTCAAATTGATTTTTCTCACCTCCATTAACCTTGTACAGATAGGGACTCTTCTCTAGTATTTGAGTGACCTGTTTTTTCACATTCGCTATACGTGAACCATAAAATCCAGGTAGTTGCAAATGCGTTAGTTGAGAAAGAAGTGGAGTTGAAGCGAGAGCATGAGCATCATCCAATTCAATGGGTGGCTCTAGAATGCAGAGGCGAGTTAAATTTTCAAGTTTGGATGCCTTTCCAAACAAGTAAGGAATGAATCCTTTCTTGAGTGTCACACATAAAGAGACGAGTTTTGAGGCTGAATCGAGAGAGGCAAATTGTTCGACCTTTTCACACGAGACAAAATCAATACATCTCATCGTTAACGTTTCTAAGCATTGTAAATGATGTTCGAGAGCATGTAATACAGTGTCAATGGTAATTGAGTGACGATAATCCGAAATGCATAATTGTTTAAGTTTTGGAAATTCTTTTGTGAGCTCTATGAATGCACTTTCCTTAAAGGCGTAATTACCAGAAATCTCCAAAGAGGTGAGGTTCTTAATGTACTCACTAGTGGCCAATGGTGTGAGATTTGTAATATGTGTACAATCAAGCTGTAGTGCTTCCAAATTTGAGAGACCTGAACAATTGGTTATTAATTTCCATTCATCATCTGTAATAGAGCCACACATTAGGTTGAGCGACTTCAATGAGGTAATATTCTTACAAGCGACTAATTTTTCAATGTCACTCAACCCTTTCGACGAGAACCTAACACGTTTGAGCTTTTTCATTGGTCCGTTTAAAATGGTCGCGATTAAATTGGAATGGGTTCCGTTTGATATGTTAAACTCGAAATTGAATGTCTCAACATTTGATAAATTTTCACAAGATGCCAAATAGACAATACCATCCTCTGAAATTTCATTGATATCGATATGGAGACAGGTCAGGTTGTTAAATACTGAACTCTTGCCAATGTATTTCACACCACTAGATGTAATGTTATTTCCTGACACGTGTAGAGATGTCAAATTTTTCAAAAACATGCTTTGTGAAATGTCATGAAGAAGAACGTCTCCCATTCTGCACCGAGAGTATTGTAATTCCTTTAAATTTGACATGTAAGGCGATGAACAAATGCTCTGTACACTCACAATGGAGGTCTTTGTTTGACTCAAATTTAAAAATGTTAAATTTGAAAACAATGGATTTGACGCAATTATTTGAATGGATTTGTCATGTACTTGTGCCGACGACAGATCCAAATGTGTTAAACTTTTCAAATTTTGAAAGCTTGCCATTCCCTTCACAACAGAATGATCAAAGTATCTCTTTGCCAATTCTAATTTTTGTAAATTGGGAAAACAATTAAGATATCGATCTAATCTCGTTGCAAATTCTTCTTCGTTTGTGTGTAGTAGTTCATCCTCCAAGTCCATGTCTTTTGAGAATTGAGATAATTCTTGTCCTCCAAAAATTTTCAACCCGTTGACATGTTGAAAATATCCCTTCTCACAGCATTCGACGAATCGTCGTGTCCTATGTATGTCATTTCGCAAATACACATGTAATTCATTTCCGAACGAGTAATTCGTTGATGTTCCTGTGGCAATACAATTACATTGTCGACAAATTAAACGGAATACTCGATACACCCAAGAATATTCGAAATGAATGAAAATTTGACAATGAAAGACTTCGATTGGGATGTCAATGAATAAATGAGCTGCCGATGAGTTGAACATTTTTTTGTGACATTTCATCTTTGAAAATGCATTACCACTACCAAATGGTAATGATTGGAGATATCAAAAGCCATCCCAAACGAACAAGATCATTTCGCAATTGTAATTCATAACCTTGCTCGTATTCAAAAAAAATGTCTGAATCTTCAACTGCTGGAAAGCCAATTGAATGCAAGGCTGCTGTTTGTTGGGCTCCAAATCAACCACTCTCATTAGAAACTGTTACCGTTGCTCCACCAAAGAAGGGTGAAGTTAGAGTAAAATTGTTGTGTACTGCTTTGTGGTAAGTGGATTGGGTGGTACTGCGGATTATTGATGTTCGTTTGGATTATGATTTGTTTGATAAATAATATATATTATTTGGAATTGGTCGATGATCCATACTAATGATTCTTGTATTGAAAAATATTAACTTGGATTTTTATCGATTATTTTCAATCATATTCACATATTCCGTTATGATCATCATGATTTCCGTATGGATTACATGGTGATACAACAATTTTAAATTCATTCAACTTTAAATACAGCCACACTGATGTTTACACTTGGTCTGGAAGTGATCCAGAAGGTATTTTCCCAACAATTTTGGGACATGAAGGTGTTGGTGTTGTTGAAAGCGTCGGAGAGGGTGTTGAGAGTGTTAAAGTTGGCGATACAGTCATTCCATGCTACACCCCACAATGTAAAGAATGCAAGTGGTGCAAGAGTCCAAAGACCAATTTGTGCCAAAAGATTAGAGCTACTCAAGGAAGGGTAAGTCTTGATCATGGACGCATTACATGATTGGAATTTCAATAATTTTGACATTTGGCATGATGGTACATTTTATGGAAATCTTCCAATGACCACCACCACCATGCTACTATCGTGTAATACCACCGATTCAAACTCATCATTGTGACATGAATATTCATCATCATGCATGATGATCAAACATTGAATTCCAAAATGACATTTGCAGGGTTTGATGCCTGATGAAACTTCAAGATTCACTTGCAAGGGACAAACTGTGTATCACTTTATGGGTACTTCAACTTTCTCTGAGTACACTGTCCTTCCTGAAATTGCTTGTGCCAAGATTAATCCAAATGCTCCAAAAGCAGGTGCTTGCTTGTTTGGATGTGGCTTGACCACTGGTTTGGGCGCAGCCTTGAACACTGCCAAAGTGGTAAGTTATAGAGGTTTATTATTTGTTGGACATTACTCTCGGAATATTGTAATTTAAATTTTCTGGAATCATGTGAAATGCCATGAACACACCATTTGTGACATTTTCAAACATGTGAAAATAGGAACCTGGATCAAATTGTGTTGTTTTTGGGTTGGGCGCAGTTGGTCTTGCTACCATTCTTGGCTGTAAGAAGGCTGGTGCTGCCAAGATTGTTGGTATTGACATTAATGATGCAAAATTTGAGGTTGCCAAGAAGTTTGGTGCCACTGATTTCATTAACCCAAATAAGGTTGATGATGTTGTGAAGGCCATTGTTGACTTGACTGACGGAGGTGCTGACTTTTCTTTCGAATGTGTTGGTAACGTCAAACTCATGAGACAAGCCTTAGAATGTTGCCACAAAGGTTGGGGAGTTAGTACCATTATTGGAGTTGCTGCTGCTGGTCAAGAGAGTAAGTTTTTTATTATCATTTCTTCGAATCTTTACTTTTGTTGGGAACTCACCCAACATTGTTACAATGATAGTTTCTACTCGTCCATTCCAATTGGTGACTGGTAGAGTTTGGAAAGGTACAGCATTCGGTGGATATAAATCAAGAGACTCTGTGCCTCAACTCGTCGAAGATTACATGAAGGGTGAAATCGATGCTGATGCTTTCATCACTCATCACTTTGACTTTGAAGATATTAATCAATCATTTGAGGCTCTTAAGGTAAGTTGTGCACATTTCCAAGCATCCATGTTGCAAATTAATTTTTTTCTTCCAACAATTCATTTACGCATAGTCTGGAAATTGTTTGAGAGCAGTCATGTACTATGACAAGACGATCAAGCCAAAACAATAAACGATTGTGCTTTCTGGAAGCTCTCATTGAGAACGACATTTTAACTCTTAATATTAACATGTACGACCGCACATCTTGATGCAACTTGGGCGTGAAAAACCTGTTGATAACAACAAAAAACGAAAATTGTAATGGTTTTTCACAAGCGTTTTTCTTGTTAAAAAAATGCACCTCTCAGCACCTTCCTCTTCTCTTCTCACAACAACGGACAATGAAAAGGCTCAACGTCGCTTGCACATGATTGGAGCCCACTTGATGCAATCAAATCAAAGATTTTCTTCTGAAAATCAGGATATCATTGTTTCATCAAACGAATGTGCTGGTTCCGCTTCCTCGATGGGTTTCTCTGCTTCCACAGCCTCCATGATGAAGATGGGAGCTAGTATTCCAAACAAGAGACAAAAAACAACAAAATGGAACGGATGGGGATACAAAGATACTGATTTTGTCATGGACGAGAAACGTGATGTCTATGTTACCGGAGATCGTTATATTCTCTCAGGTCACTACGTTCCAGATTTCCGTCCTTGGTTTGAAAACTTTACCGGACTCGATACCAAGTATCCATCACCAGCTCAATCATGGGAAGATATGCAAAAGAAGGTTGGCAAACCAATTATTTGCAAGCCTTTCGTTGATGATATCAAACAAGCAAATTGCTTTAAATTTGTTGCTTTTGAAGACGAAGTTCGGTTGTTGCACTCTCACGGACACTCATGCCAAGAAATTTATCAATTGAGATATGGAAAGTTTAAGAGATTGGTAGATATGGTGATTTATCCTGGTTCACATGATCATGTTCAACAAATTGTCTCCATTGCAAACAAGTATGCCGATCAATTAACCATCATTCCATACGGAGGTGGTACCAACGTCTCACAAGCTTTGATGTGTCCTGAGAATGAAACTAGAATGATTGTTTCTGTTGATATGCAAGAAATGAATCGTGTATTGAGTGTTGATTTTGAGTCTAATACTGCAGTTATTGAGGCAGGTGCTATTGGAATTGAAGTTCAAAAGGAGCTCAAAGAAAAATATGGTCTCACTCTTGGACATGAACCTGACAGTGTTGAATTTAGCTCGGTTGGTGGTTGGGTTGCCACAAGAGCATCAGGAATGAAGAAAAATTTGTATGGTAATATTGAGGACATGTTGGTCAATTTGAAGATTGTTACACCAACTGGTACTTGGTCACTTCCATGTAATGTTCCAAGAAAATCCACTGGTCCAGATTTGTTACAATTATTCCTCGGATCAGAAGGTACTCTAGGTATTGTCACTGAGGTCACTCTCAGAGTTAGAAAATGTCCTGATTGTCAAGTTTATGGCTCAGTTCTTGTTCCTGATTTTGAAACTGGAGTTGCTTGTCTTCATGAGGTTGCCACTAAGAGAGTTGCTCCTGCTTCCATTCGTCTCATCGACAACTCTCAATTCCAATTTGGTCAATCTCTCAAACCAAAGCAAGAGAGCGTGTTTGAGGGCATTGGCGATTGGTTCAAGAAGATTTATGTCACCAAAGTCGCAGGATTTGACCCTGAAAAGATGTGTGTCATTACATTATTATTCGAAGGAACTCAAGAAGAGGTTGATAGACAACAAAAGATTATTTATGACATTACTTCCAAGTATGGAGGTTTGAAGGCTGGAGCTGAAGCAGGTGGTAGAGGATATTTACTAACCTATGTGATTGCATATTTGAGAGATTATGGTTTCAATTATTATTTCATGGCTGAAAGCTTTGAGACTTCTGTACCATGGTCAAACATTGTTCCAATGATTAACAAGGTTAGAGAGAGAGTGGTTGATTCTGCCAAGAAGCATGGCGTCATTTCTGTTCCATGGGTGTCTGCTCGTGTCACTCAAACCTATGAAACTGGTGCATGTGTCTATTTCTACTATGGATTCATCTTTAGAGGATTGAAGGATCCAATTCATGTCTTTTCCGAAATTGAGGCTGAGGCAAGAGATGAAATTTTGTTACAAGGAGGAAGCTTGTCACACCACCACGGTGTTGGTAAATTAAGAAAGCACTGGATGCCAGAAGTTGTCAGAGAACAAGGTGTGGACATTTTGAAATCTCTTAAGCAAAAGATCGATCCTAACAACTTGTTTGGAAATGGTAACATGGGCTTGACCAAGGCTGATTTGTCCATCTCTGCCATTATTGATTAATCTGGCTATGAAATTGTGTAATAATTTTCCTTCACTTTTGAATTTGTCTTTTTTAGTCCAGCTATATTATAACAATGCTTCTTTTTAAAAAAAGCAACAAAAAAATGAAATCAAGTTCCGTTCTGCTTCTTTCTTTATCGTTGTGGTTGACTCTTATCGGAATTATTGATTGTGGTATTAATCCTGTCGTATTACCACATTTACCATATACCTATCACGAGTTGGAGCCACACATTGATCAAGCCACCATGAAAGTGCACCACAGTGGCCATCATCAAGCCTACGTCAATAATTTAAATGGAGCCATTGAAACTCTTTTGAAAAGCACCAATGACGATATTCAAAAATTTATTTGGCAAGCACAACGAATTGAAACCTTGTTGGCAAATTTACATTTATTACCAGTGGATGAAGCTACAAAAAAGATAATTCGAAATAATGGAGGTGGATTTGTAAATCATAATTTATTCTTTGAGTTGATGATGGATGAAAAACATAGAACATCAAAACCAAGTGAACGAGTGACTCGAGCGTTGAGCAAATACTTTGGATCTGTTGATGAATTTATTAAGCAATTCAATGATCAAGCTTTGAAAGTGTTTGGAAGTGGATGGGTAGGTATTTTGCTGTGTGTGTTTGTTGATCAGATACATTCCTATATTAATCACCATGACTGTTATGTCACATGGCCACCACACACTAACTGATGAATCATTACAATCAAATGTAATAACCATTGACAGGTCGTTCTTGTGAAAAGAACAAATTTGAAAACTCTCAAGTCAGAATTGTTGATCAAAACCTATGCCAACCAAGATAGTGCTTATATGAATGAACAATTACTGACAAACTCCCAAAAAGGCTCATCGTCCAACACTGTAGAATCTATCGACGAACCAGTGCTTTTATTAGACGTTTGGGAACATGCTTATTACCTCAAACATCAAAACAAACGAGCTGCCTACGTGTCAGATTGGTGGAATGTTGTTCATTGGAGCAAAGTAGAGGATCGTTTATTTAAGTGTGAATTTGATGTTGAATTTATTGATGATGTTGAACTCAAACACCGTTCTTCATGTAACAACAAGGATGAGCTTTAATGATTCTTCATGTAAAAACAAGGATGAGCCAACATCTGTGAAAACACTGATCTTGATTTGTGAAATAAAGGTTTCTCGTTGGAAATTGACAGAACTGATCCGTGCACGACATTCCATAAGCGCTCAAACATGCTCCAATTATGAAAACTGACGTTTCTATTGGCACTTTTAAAAAATACCACAACCACACAACTCTGCGTTTCATATTGATAGCTGAGTTGTTCAAAAGCTCTCTGCTATTCATCCAAGAGCGCTTCCGTGCTGTCAGTCATCATTTTTTTCATCGAGCAAATATATTGACAAGCGACGACAAGACTTTCAACAGACCATCATCATCTTCAGTTGAACCAATACACAACAACAACAACCACACACCGAGCCGAGAACCAAAATAATTTCTTTCAAAAAAGTCATTTAGAATACACTCTCATCAGTTTTATAAGAAGAACAAGTATTCATTCACGCCGCGCGAACATGAAGACGGTTAAATATAGTATTTGTGTCATGTAGGTAATTTAATTTATCTCGTCATGATGATGATCATTCATATTGAAAATGATATTTTGAATATTCCATTGGTCTATTTCATACAATATGAATCTCTTGTATTCATTATCAACATTATATTACAATAATTATTATCAATGACTACAATCACAACTACAATCACAACTACAACACTACAAATGCGTGAACATTTTATCATGACAACAGGGGTGCTGCACTTGTTGGAAAACAAGAATTTGCCAAAGCTGCCACCGAATTATTTGATGGTAAAATCATTCAGGTGAGACCTGGAGCCAACAAGTGTAAGTATATAAACAGATATATATATTTATAATATATATACATAATATATTCAAACAAATATATGTGGTTGTTGACATGAAAAACTGACACTTTAAACGTTTGTACAATGATTTCAAAATGACATTATGAACTCATATGATTGTCATTTCATCATCATCATTCGGATCGGTATGGATCTATCTTGATCATTGTTGATGAAATTGGGAAATGATGAATGGGACTATTTATGGAATGATTCTATCTCTCTCGAATGTTGTTCAAAATTTCATCTTCTTTGAATCTTTTAAAAATCCATACTATTATTACTACAATTACTATTACTATAACACTATTACAATGTTATGATATAAATATGATAACAATTCAAAATCACACTCCATTCAGATATATTTACTGTTGAATTTCAAAATTGTAAATATGAACTCTCCATGATCACTTTATACGACACTGGTTTCACAACTGAGGAAAAAGAGGAATTAAAGACACATATTGATGGATATTTACTCATGTATGATGTCACAAACAAATTCTCAACCGAACGTGTCAAGAATTATATGAAATTAATTCTTCAATTATTGGATCCAAGTTCTCCTTTATTGGCAGAGATGAATAAGAATTCATGGCAGAATGTTCATAAAAAAAAGAAGGAATCAGCAGCTCAGAAACAACAGCAACACGGATCGACACGAAATCAAGTGTCTTCTCCTTCATCGGAACCATCCTCTCAAATGTCAAATGTCCATCCATCGACAACAGTGAATTCAGAACAACAAGGAGTAACAACAACACTCGTCGGAGATGAAACGAATGGAGTATCATCATCCTCTGCTACTACTTTATCATCCACTTTGCAACAACCTCAACAACAACAACAATCGATCACAAGTCCTTCCTCTCCTTCTGAACAACCTCCACTCGTTGTGAATACCTCCACCACCACGACTAGTATGGTTTCAGTAAGTTCGAAAACACCTTCCACACCAGGAAATGCAACGTCACCTTCTGTGACAACAACAAATGCAACTTCAATGAGTAGTAGTAGCAATTCGAATCAAAATACTACTATTACATCCATTTCTTCGAATACAACAAATATTTCATCAAGTTCGATTGCAAGTACTCCAACTTGTACTACAACAACTGCTAGCTCAACGATCTTACCAGTGATTATTATTGGAAATAAGTGTGACGTGAGTGATGAAGAGAGAGAAGTCGATACAAAAGAAGGTTTGAAATTGAGTGACTATTTAGGATGTCCTCTTGTGGAAACTTCAGCGACATTTAAAAAGAAAGGAATTGAGAATGCATTTATTGAGCTAATTAAGAGGATTGATAAGGTGCGTGAGGAGAAGCGTAAAACTCTAGTTCGTGCCGCTAGTATGGCTGGTTCATCTGTGGCAGATGATTCTACCATTGACAGAAGGAAGAGTATTTCATCGATTTTCAGCTTTGTCAGCGTTTCAACTTCTGACAATGTCGTTGATGATTATCAACAAACAAGGAGAATGAGAGAAATGAGGAAACAACAGTTGGCCTCAAACAATAACAAGTAAAATATTGATGATTATTTATTTAGTAGCCATTCATTGCTCGTTATCTTGCTTTTTGAATCCACTTATCGACTGGTCCAAAAAACGGTATCGTGTTGTATTTGGTACATGAGTTTGTTCAAAAATTTGGTGGTGAAGACTCTGTTGCAGTGTAGCTTAAAGGGTTTGATTTCTCATTTCTCATTGCTTGATATTCCAAAATTCAAAATTCCTGAAATACTCTTGCTAAGGCTTTTTTTTGGAGTTTTGGATGTAAGCAATGTATCCTCGTGTTTGTCTGTGTTTTCTGAAAGCGTTGTCGAGGTTGGCTTATTTCTATAAAAGGTCGTCAATGACGAAAAATTCAACAATAGCTTTAACTCTTCACCCACAGATTTGTTATACACTGCAGCAAGCTTTGATTTCCAATTTTTGTGACATGCCAATAACCAATTTTCATCATTCATGATTAACTCGATAGAAGCGAAGATTACAAATTTTTCATCTGCTTTGATTGCAACAGAGCAAATATCCTTGTCATTACTGAAAGGACATCCAATGATTAATTGAGGATGATGTTGCATAAATTCCATGAAAAACGATTTGCTTCTCAAAGTACTAGGTAAATATTGCCAAAATTGTTGTACCATGCTCAAACAATCTGAAGTTTCAATATTTGCAAATACTTCCAGGAATAATTTCATCAATAATTCATGATTGAGGGATGGTGACACTTTTTGAGTAAAAGAAACATCCTTCTCAATGATAAACGATAAAAATTCTAATTTTGTGAACACATGGTCAGGAAAATCATTCAAGAATGAGGACCTCCTTGAACCAATGGAGGCGCTGGAATCTGTTTCATGCACTAACAAGAATATATTCTTTAGCAATTGTGTATCTTTGAAAACTGTTTCATGACAAAATTTCAAAATATCTGCTCTTTTCTTTTCCTTAACATATTGCCAAATGAATTCTTTGTTACTTCTAATTTTTTCACAAGCTGATTCAACATGATGATGACATTCATGAACACCAAGATTGTGTTATGGTAGGTATGGATTTACAACCAACAACCTTAAAACTATCCAACCTACCTAGTTCAAAGTAATCAACATGTGTGTGAATGGCTTTTCTAACACAATCAATGTCTGATCGCACTAATGGTGACACTACTGGAAATAATTTCGGATTTTTCTCCACAATATATTTGACAATCTCAAAATCTTGCTGCATGTTTTGAGAGAGGTATGGCATGATGGAGTATTCACCCAAAGCGATGGCTCTCATGATTAATTGCTTGTCATTTCCAAATTTTTCAAAATTAGCTCCTTTCAGATATTTGGGAAATGTTATTTTCAACCATGTCTCCACCACTTCTCGATCAAAAAGTACATGGTTATTCTTGGCATGATAGAACGATTCAAGTTTGTTACACTCGTTACTGATTTCTGAAATGTGATGCTGTGTGGTTTTCATCATATCAGAGAGAGATTGATACTTGGTGTAGAATCTTTCTAAACATGCCATAATCATTCGCTTATCATTCTTAATATTTGGAGGCGCAAATTCAAGTAACCCATAGTTGGCTTCGTGTCCTTTCGAAAAAACTTCAATCAACAAGTCCTTATTCGACACAACTTTGTCCCTAATACCGTCTACTGATCTTGCCATTTGCAGAAATTTTGAGAAAGGTGTATATTTGAGCATGACACTCATGATAGACACATCTTGCTTCAACTCGGTATTAAGGATTGGATAAATGAGGTCTGGGTTTTCCTTGACAGCTTCTAAAGCAACCAACTTGTCATGTTGAATCCATTTTGGGAGTGAGGAAAATAGAGTTGGATTATGAGAAATCCACCTTCTCAAGACCACTCGACTTTGGTTCTGACCAGACATTTGAATAATGTCATACATTTTATGGTGTCGAATCATCCAAGTGCATAGAAATTCATTCTTCTTATCATCCTCATCCAAATATTGTGAATATTGTTGAATGTGTTTAAGACTTGATGAAGTACTTGTTTGCATGAGGACAGGCATTGAAAAAAACCAGCATTTGGCATACTCTACATTCACCGAAGATGACGATGCCATTGAAAAGTACGATAATAATTCCTTCTCGTTTTGGAAGGTTGATCTTATATTTGCCAATACTTCAGCCAACTCGACGAAAAACTTTCGAAAGGAAGAATTGAAAAGCAAACGTGGATCTATACTTTTTGCCAAATCAGACACCAATTTTTGAGTATGAGGAAAGACTCCTTTCAGACTCATCAAGTTATGGAAACCATGCCAACTATTACTTAAATACTTGTTGTTTTGATAAAAGGCAGAAACGAGAGCATAATTCAAGCAATAATTCTTCATATCATCATTGTTGGAGAGAATTTCAAAGTGATGATGATCCGTTGTTGTAGTATTGGTGGTCATACGATTCGGGAATAATAGAAAGGAAACCTTCTTTGGATGTTGGCACAATAAATTCTTGTGCAACGATCGGTGTTGCTGTATGAACAAGGGTAACGTGATAAATTCTTCATACGTTAAAGATCCCATAAAAGCCTTTTTACAAGCAATATCCAACGGAATGAATTTCTTACATAATTGATTCATGTGTTTTGAAACGAGTACAAGTTGAGTATAATCAAAACAATCACAAAAGGCAATAATAATGGAGAATAATTCATCGGGAAGTTGATCATTCCAATGTTCTGTTGATTCCGAAGAAGAAGAAACTGCTTCATGATGAGTTACATTTTTCTTGTGTTGATCTGTAATGGTCTC